GTGTGTGTGTGTGTGTGTGTGTGTGTGTGTGTGTGTGTGTGTGTGTGTGTGTGTGTGTGTGTGTGTGTGTGTGTGTGTGTGTGTGTGTGTGTGTGCCCCCTGTATATACATGACATCCCCAGACACTTCTTCGTCTTCATTGCTAGCAATTGAATTGGGGTATATGTGTATATGTATATATATTATAGCGAAAGTCTAGCTCCAGTCCAATCCAACTACAGTCCACTACAGTCCAGCTCCAGTACCACGGCAGTGGAATAAGGTGAAATTAAGGTAGAAATAGAACGTACTTACGTACGGATTGTTGTGATGGAATTTGGTAGGAGGGTTCTGTGTGTATTATATTTGTGTGTGTATATATATTTCAAATGTTTTTTTAAGGAATGTTAAAAGATTGGAGTATAAGGGGGAGATAATCTAGAGAATCTAAATATGTATGGTATATATATGGTATAGTGTAGTGTAGTATAGTACAGTTCTTTTAGATGATGAGCAGGGAGCATATACCGCTAACAGGCATACTATAAAATGACAGTAAGTAATACAGTCGTGGGCGGGTGAAGTCCTAATGAAACAGATAGCCATGAATCGAGGCCACCTAATCCTACAAACCATCAAAATTTACACATACAAACACAGTGGATATCTTACCCCCTTTCACAACGCAGCTTGCAAATACGGATGCTGCAAAGCCTGCGCAGCCGTCGGCCGCTTCTCAGGATCCATGACCAGTATCTCCCCGATAAAATCCAGCAAATCCCGCGGCACCGGCGGGTCGGGAATATACTCGAGCTCCGTCCGCCAGTGGCCTCTCTGCACAAGCTTGGACTGTACACGCGTAAGCGGGTGGTCCATGACGGCCAGCTGTCGCGCGAGCGCGAACTCGTCTTCGTAGGCTGGGTTGATGGGCTGGCCTATGGGGCCGACGAGACAGATGAGCTTGGCGATACACCATGCTTCGGTCTCGCCTTCGATGATCTTGTCGAGGTGGCCGAAGAGGGGGAGGGGTGAGAGTTTGGTGGTTAGCTTGTAGGGTTAGCGTGTCTTGGGATATCCGGATTCTGATTGATACGGACTGTGACTGCCAGTGACCAGACGTCTGAGGCGTGTCGGCAGGAATAGCCTTGCCAGACCTCTGGAGCTCGACATGGTAGGCTTTGGGCGCGTTGTTTTGTATAGCTATCTTTGATTGCTAAGCAGGTCAGAGGTTAACTTAGTCTAGTAAAACTATGTTTTATATATACTTACTAACTCCCAAATCTCCAAGCTTAACGACCGGACAATCACTATCTGCATTGGTAATAAAGATATTATTCGGATTGACATCTAACAATTCAATCCATCAGCAATCACGCAATAGAACAGAGATAGAATCCACTACCTGTATGCACCGCATCAAGCGTCTTGAGCGTATGCAGAGCCGACAGCACCGCCTTCGACACCGCTCTAGGCAACGCCGGCCTAGACCGGAAATCGATCGCATACACAGATCTAAGGTCAACGTCCATCCACTCAAACACCAGACATGGTAATTCATCTTCATGCTTCGAGTCCGACGGGATAGTATCGCACATAGCCCGGATATGCGGGCTCGATGCGATTGCAGGAATGCTATAGTTACGGTACTCGCGTCTCAGGCACATCCTCTCATCATCTGTACCTGCCGTTTTAACGACAGCCCTAGAGTGAGTGAGTGAGTGATGGTGAGTAAGTAAGTACGTCATAACCCCTAGATATAGGGCTGTAGATATATAGTCTTACCACTTTGACTGAGGCGCAGAAGAAGAGCTGGATAGCACTTTGGCCTTGAAGACGCTGGAGCCCTTTAGCGGCTGTAGCAACTCATATACGCCTCTGGCCCCCTGGAGGACTTGTCCGATGCGTAGTGGCATGGCCGAGGAGATGGGGAGTATGGATGTCAGAGTCGTATGAAAGCGAAGTAAGAGAAGGTGTCCACAGCGTGGTGCTGGATGAACCCGCTTTTGCGACTTTGATGGTATAGATCTGTTAGGGGGGGGCGAGGTGTGGTTGCTAGTAGCGATGCCGTCTAGCCTTGTTCATCGTTGGTTGCGTTAGAGACCGTTGATCCGCCGAGACTAGATAGCACTACTAGTTAGCTCAAAGGAACTTTCTGATAGTAGTCTAGTACAGTATATTCAATAATCTAATAATAGATGACAGTAACATATCTTGTCTCTCTTACCTCTTTTATGATTGGCCTCTATTAGTATACAATTCTCGAGATCTTAATCTCTAACTGTAAAAATATAACTATTGGAAATATAGGAAATGTCCATGTTATACTGTAAGAAGTCACTGTTATGAGTCACGCACGTGTATAAGGCACGGACCATGTAGCTCAGCCCTAGCTAAGCAGCGGGAACCACCGTCAAAGCAGTAATTAGTAGCTTTGAAATTCGGTCCTTTTGGTATAGTAGTTAGCGCGTAATCATACAAAACTAGTATATAGTAGTGCTTTTATAATTAATATATATCAATAGCTAAGCATATTACAAGATATCATCTCTACTATAAATCATGTGCACGCAGCATGGACGGACATCGGCTGCCAAGCTTTCCCAGGATGCAACTATGGTTACACCGATATAATCTCGCCAAAGGCGAAGCTGCACAAACGAGAACTACATTACAGTACTTCTTCAACTCGTCGCGTTTCCGCATCCGCAATCAGCAATGTCCCTTGAACTAGTCGGGATCACAGATCCAGACCAACATTCTCACTTGACTATCAAGATCGAAAATGTACCGAGTAATCGATCCTAAACTTCTTCCAGTCGCTAATGATACCCCTATAGACAGAGAAACGAGACGTTCTGCAAGCAACCGAGAAGAAATACCAGAAGCTTTGGCAAGATGAGAGGGTTTTCGAAGCTGATGCGCCTTCATGCTCAGAATATCCTCCAGGATCCATGAGCCATGAAGAGCTACGTGCTCGAGTGCCGAAGTTCTTGAGTAATGATACTGGTCACCCATTCCTACAATTTAGATTGACTTTGGCCAGGAACAATGGCATATCCGTAAAGGAGAATCTTTACTTGCAGATGGCAATCAGCTGATCTAGATAGATATGTCAACGGCTCTCCACACTTGGGACATGCATTCACCATGTCCAAGATTGAGTTTGCGGCTCGTGTTGCCAGAGCCCAGGGAAAGCGAACGCTGTATCCCCAGGGTTACCATGCCACTGGCATGCCAATCAAGGCATGTGCAGATAAACTTGTCCACGAGATCAATCTGTTTGGTATTGATTTCGCGGACTACGATGAGAATAACGATGGAGACGTGGTTGCATCTCCTGACTCAACACAAGCGCAGACGAAGGAAGATATCACCAAGTTCACCAATGTTCGAAAAGGTAAGGAGATTTCAAGCCAAGTCTTGCTAGACTCAGCTCAAGTTCATTCCAGGAAAGGCCGCTTTGAAGTCCGTCAAGGCCAAATACCAATTCCAAGTTATGTTGTCCTTAGGCATACCTCGTACAGAGATCTACAAATTCGCTAACCCCCAATACTGGCTACAATACTTCCCGAAGCTGTGGCAAGAGCATTTTACTGCATTTGGGTGCTCAATTGACTGGAGGCGGAGCTTCATCACCACCGAAGCAAATCTGTTCTATGATTCATTCGTACAGTGGCAAATGCGACGATTAAAAGAGCTGGGAAAAATTCGTTTCGGCAAGCGATATTCTATTTACTCGCCAAAGGACCGGCAGCCTTGCCTAGATCACGACAGAGCTGAGGGAGAATCTGTTCGAACGCAAGAATACACAGCTATCAAATGTAAAGTCAAGCAATGGTCCGAACAAGCACAACGTATTCTAGAAGGTAAAATACCTGCTGATGCTAATATATACATGGTTCCGGCTACCCTCCGTCCCGAAACAATGTACGGACAAACTAATGTATTCGTCTCACCTGCAATCACCTATGGCATTTTCCGAGTCTCGGAGACGGACTTCTTCTTTGTCACGAACAGAGCTGCTCGCAACATGGCTTTTCAGGGCATTTTCACTGGCCTAGATTGGGGAATCGTCCAAAGGGTCGTAGAGCTCAGCGGGTCTGATGTCATTGGTTCTACAGTCAGTGCTCCATTGAGCCGTCAAGGAGAGGTTTATGTCATTCCCATGGATACCATCTCGGAAACAAAGGGCACCGGTGTCGTCACATCCGTACCATCTGATAGTCCCGATGACTACGCTATGACCATAGAGTTGTCAAAAAAGGCAGACTTTTATGGAATCAGTTCGGAGTGGGTGTCTTTGGAGCTCTTACCTATCATTGACACACCTAACCATGGCAATCTTATTGCTCCGACTCTTGTAAAGCAAATGAAGATTAACTCTCCAAAAGACACCCAGAGGCTGGCCGAGGCAAAAGAGCAAGCGTATAAAGTAGGCTTCTATCAAGGAACGCTAATCGTGGGCGAATTTTCGGGAATGTTGGTTCAAGATGCCAAGAACCTTGTTCGACAAAGTTTGATAGATTCCCACGATGCGATTGAATATTGCGAGCCCGATGGAAGAGCCATATCGCGATCTGGCGACGACTGCGTTGCAGCATATTTAGATCAATGGTTCTTGACCTACGGAGACCTCGATGAGACATGGCGTGATGAGGTCCTTGGGCATGTCCGCAACAACGATGGGCAAGGATTCAACTGTTTTACGGCCTCAACGAAACACGCAATCGAGAATACCCTGGCATGGATGTCCCAGTGGTGCGTTACCCGACAATATGGCCTTGGCACAAAGCTGCCCTGGGATCCTTCAGAACTCGTAGAGGGTTTGTCCGACTCTACAATCTATATGGCGTACTACACGGTTGCCCACTATCTACATGGCAACATGTATGGCACCCAGCCAGGTATTGCCAATATTCAGGTACCACAAATGACTGATGATGTGTGGGACTACATCTTCGCCATTCGACATGAAGTCGAGACGGATATCGACAAAGACACTCTTGAGAAAATGCGAAGAGAGTTTACTTATTGGTACCCACTGGACGTTCGTGTCAGTGGAAAGGATCTGATTACCAACCATCTCATCTTTTTTCTCTACGTCCACCAAGCATTGTGGGGCAAATGCTCGCCTCAATATTTACCAAAGGGAATCAGGATTAATGGTCATGTCACATTGAATGGCAGTAAAATGAGTAAGAGTAGTGGCAATTTCCTAACGCTGGATGCTGCAATCAGGAAATTTGGAGCAGATGCCACGCGAATTGCCCTTGCAGACGGAGGCGACGGGGTGGAAGATGCGAACTTCGAGGAAAACGTGGCAAACGCCATTATCTTGAAGCTTTACGAACTTCGAAAGTGGATTGAAGAGGTGATTACCGGAGCACGAATCCTGAAAGAGAATGAGGCATATCATGGACTTCAGGAGGGAAAGCGATCCAAAACTTCTGATACAGATCAAAGGGGAGGATCAAAATTATTCTGGGATGAGCTCTTTGAGAATGAACTTGACATTCTTGTGCGGGCAACGGTCCAACATTTCGCGACGTAAGTATACTTGATCCATATAGACAACACTACATGCGCTGACGAAACAAATAGGACCAACTATAAAGCAGCCCTCAAGTCAGGCTTCTATGACTTCACAGCAGCACGCGACAGCTACCGCATCTCCACCACATCTGCAGGGGTCGGCATGCACCATGACTGTGTTCATCGCTTCGTTGAACTTCAAGCACAGATGATTTGCGTTATTGCTCCGCATTGGTCGGAACACGTCTGGAGAGAGATTCTGAACAAGGTATGTTATTTACTATCGTAAAAGACCCGAATGATACCGTTCCTCGCATCCAAGGCACTACTGATTATTCTTATAGCCGTCAACGATTCAATCTGTTCCATTTCCCGAAGTACCTGAGCCTAGAGAGTCCCTTACCGCAATTTCTAGTTACATACGTTCAATCATGGCGACTATCAGCTCTCTGGAGGGCACGCAACAGAAACGCATTGCTAAAGGCAAACACTCCAATTACGATCCAAACCAATTTAAACGCTTGACAATCTTTGCTGCAAAGTCGTGGCCTGCTTGGCAGATTGAGTACATAGATTTGGTGCGTGAGATGTTCGACGGAGTGACGCTGGATGTTAAAAAAGTGGGTGAGAAGATTAACAGAGCCGACATGAAGAAAGCGATGCCATTCATTCAATTGCTCAAGCGGAGATTAGAGTCGGGAGAGTCAAGAAGCACGGTATTCGAGAGGAAGCTTGGATTCGACGAGATCAAAGTGTTAGGGGAGCTGGCACCAAGTTTGAAAGCGACAATTCCCAAGTTGAAAGAAGTGGACATATTCCTGGTGCAGGATGACGCTGGGAGCGACAAGCTGAATGCGCTTCCAAAAGCAGCTTCTTTAGCTGAACCTGGTTCACCTTCCTTCGAATTTGCGAATCTCTAAGGCCTTTGTAGCAGATGAACTTTACTTGCATACCCATCGAAATGTCTGTATTGGGTGCAGTATACCATCATGACTTAATAGACGCGCGATGGATTATGCCGCACGAGAGGACAGCTGGAGGCTCACGCAAACAAGCGAATAACGACTATCAAGCTAAGATTCACAACTACAAGCTGTGACACCTGGTTTAACGCACCTGGGCAGCTTCCGTGGCTCCCCTCTCCATTCGTCCCTTGCGAACTATTGCATTGATTGTCCAAATGGGTGTATATATGCCGCTTTATAGACACCATGTCACCTAAAACAGGTAAATGCGTTGGGGTTGCTGCTAATGAATTTGCGATAGATTAGGCCTAGATATATATTATCGACCAAACTTCAATGGCTTATTATTGGGGTTTCTAGCAGTGCATTCTATGTCTATACCTATTGATTGGCACTATTTGATAGCACCAAGTCACCCTGTCAATAATGACAGACATCTGTAAGAGATGTTTCACTAGATAGAGATAGCAATCATCATACCATTACCGTGATATCCCTGTTCGTAACAAAAGCTATAGAGTCTAAAGCATGTTATCTAGTATGTAGTAAACATAGTAATCTACTTGATCTAGATAAGAAAGTATAGTAGATTTCTTACTTCTATCTATAGCTACGTACGTATTAATTAATACTTGGAGCTTTATTCATTAGTTATGGATAGCTTTTAGCTTCTTCTTCTTCTACAGGCCCTTTATACATATAGATAGTTTTAAGTAGACTACTCTCTAGAACATATATAGTTGGACTATTCTAGTCTAAGATAAGTTTATTAAGTTTATCCAAGTAATATAGAGCTATAGATATATATATATATATTAGATTAGATATGTTAAGTAAACCCGCTATATAAGTCGGTTATATGACTATTTTCTACTCCCAGAAGTTAGATCTATAGATATAGGAATTTCTAAATTTTATCTATCTCTATCAACCTCTATTAAATATTCTCTTATCTTATTTGAACTACTATTCTATAGTAATAGAGAAGAAGAGAAAGATAGAAAGTAGTATTTAGTACTACTACTACTATGTTTGCATGTTATCATGATTTACACACGTATTAGCCCGATAACTTACATTAATAATATCTTTTTTTTCTAAAATTAGGTATTACAAACTACATCATGATTATTATCACGTAGAGCTTGGTTTTAGTCGTTTACACGTGCTTACGTACTCGCAGAGTACAGATGTCGTATTCCATCTATTGTACTGTATTACTACTACGTCTGTAGAAAACTAATTGAAAGTGCCTGAGCAAGAGAAGGAGGAGCTGGGTGGCATGAGCAGCCGGCGGGTGTATGTGTGACTGGCTGGCATGAGATTACATGTAATGTGACGAAGAGGGTAGAAGGGTGTTGGTTGTGCGACACACGACATCTATCCATCTACTCAAGAAAAGCTATTTTCTGAATCAATTCGACAACACAAACCAGATTTCAAGATGGCCTCGAGGAGCTACTATGGGCTGATTAGACGAAGGAATGAACAAACGCGAATAGCACAGCGGGGCTTCTTGAGTATGTCGGTCAAGGAGGATATTTGCCTCATTGGAAAAAGCATTTTATACCGACACTTCTAGCGCTCTTGGGCTGTGTATTTGCAAGCTCTAGATCCAGTAGACAGCAGGAGTATATGACAATCGATCATGTCGACACGACAAGTGTTTGGTGCGTGTGGATTCAACAGCACAAGAGTTGCTAGCGATGCAATTCATTAGCTCAATTTCTTGTTACAGACGAAACTCGGTATGTATGAGCCATCTTCCCAACATTCCCCAACAAAAGACCATGATAAGTCGGCCATGGGAATGCTCACTCCACACTCCGCTCCAACCTGATAAAATCAACTTCCCCTGTCATTTTTAATCGTCACCTTGCATCCGTCAAGTCGGTATCCACCGAGTCGAGCCCGGTACACCACACAGATGGACTGCCTTTCTCCCAAAAGTACACAGCCTAAAAAGTCATGGAGATAGCTACATATGAGCTAGGTGCTTCCTCCCTCGGCTTGTGTTCTTAACTGCGGTTTGGATCAGGGAGAGCTTGCGCTAGGCTGGTAAGAACGAAGACCAGGATAACCGTTAGATTATGTGTCGAAAACTCGACCACACATGGTTGTCATCGCGCTTTGAATAGAGCCTGAGTTGGCTGCCCGAGTTGGCTGCTCTGTGAACGTGTCTTGAGTCCGACATGTAGTGTCTCTCAATTCGAAGACGACGTATTGACGGAACCTGGGTGTATACATGTGTGTAAGATGCATATTCAATACAGTACAGTATTTACGGGCTAATGAGGACACTGTCCCTCGGCTGCCAGTCCTTGTATTCAAACTCCAACGCCGGCTGAGATTTTGGTGAAGCTGTTATAATAGATGATCGGAGATGGAGGCCGTCAGAAATCCACCGCGCTTCTGAACTCATCCAGGTTCATACCTGGCCCGACCTTGTCACTGAGGTCTCTCCTGTTCATTTGAATGAACACTCTTCGTAACGTGTCGAACAGATTTGTACTCTGGTTGTGTTCGAGCATTCTTTCCACTTCTGGCTCCGGAATGTCTCCTACGACTTCGCGCACCTTGTCTCGCCCTTCTCTCTCGACAACCCTGTGCATGTCTAGGGCACCCAGCAGATGCTGCGCGGCTTGCTCATAAACACCGATATTGATACAGCTGACCCCGAGATTGTACCGTGCTCGAACGAAGTTAGGCCGCAGCGCAAGAGCACGCTCGTAGGCGTCGATGGCCTCCTCGGAGCGTCCAGAATTGGCTAGGGTTGCACCCATGCGGTTCCACAAGAGGTGTATCTGTGACCTTTGGTTTGTTGTCCCTGATTCTGTAGATGCGAGCGCAGCACCAAAACAATCAACAGCTTTGCTAAACTCTTCGGCACCGTAGAACAGAACACCAAGTCCAACCTGTACATCGGGGTCCATTTGATCACCGGAAGGCGATAGCTGAGCTGCCTTGATAAATAGGTCTGTGACTTTTTCGTGTAGCACCTGTCGGTCTGTGAATCCAATGTCTTCCCCGCTCGACAGAGGTTCAGTGATGAGACTAGGATACTTGGTTGCCACCCAGCGTTCGAGCGAACGATAAGCCGAAGTGTCGTAACCTTCGTTTGTGTAAGACACGGCAAGTCCCATCAGAGCCTCCAGGTTTCCGGGATCCAGATGGGTCGCCTGTCGTAGTGCTCGGATTGCCGGAGTCTCTTTCTCGTTTTGTGCTTGTGCGGAGCCGAGTTTGGTCCATGCTTCGACATGCTGTGGATCTTTTTGTACCGCTGCCTCGAATGCTAATGCGGCCAGAGAGAGATTTCCGCCCTCCTCCATGATTTTCACGCCCTCTTCGAACGGATTATGCAGGGTCTTGAACAGATTATCCTCTTCAAATAGGTATTGCTCGAGCTCTGGTTCGCGGGAGGCACCAAAGGTATTCAGAGGATTGGAATCAAATCCCTCCCACTCTCTAGAATCACCCATGTGTTCCGCAAAATCTTCTTCGTCCATGAGTTGCCTATGTCTGATGTATAAGTCTGGGTACCTCGCCAGATGGTTTCAAGGTCACCACGAATATCTTCAAGATGTACTAACCTATCAACATCATTCAGTTCACGTTCTATAGCAGCATTCGCTGCATCGTCCAGGTTCGTCTGATCCGTCTCGAGCTGCGCGAACTGAGCCTCCCAATCTTTGTCATCGAGCTCTACCAGCTTGCCTTTACCCTTGCCCTCTTGATTCTCGGATTGCATCATACCATGCTGCTGCTGTTGTTGTTGCAGGTAGGGCGAGTACCCCACACCCATACCCATACCCATACCCATGCCCATGCCCATTCCCATATTATTCATTCCCATCATGCTGCTCATTGGTTGTTGATACCCCATACTTGGGCCATTCATTGGACTCGCTGTTCTTGCCGTGCTGTTCTGTTGTACATGCTGGAATCTTTGAAATTCGGAAGTATTGAAATGTGACGGCTGCGAGTGCTGGAACGTGGACTGCGATGCGTGGCCTTCCACCCCAGGATCAAATTCGGAGGCCCACCCAGGAGATGGTGTGCGGTGAGAGGCCCTTTCTAGTTCACGCCGCATCTGCTCCATAGCGAAGGGCGATGCTGGGCCTTGTGGGATCTGATTTGGTTGGTGCATAAACTCGTCCATCATCTACAACAGAGTGAGCTTGCGAGAGTTAGGTGCGTGTCTGACTTACATTGTCTTGACCTCGCATAACTTGGCTTCTCATGCCCTCCTGAATTCCACCAGGCCCCCTCCCGACCAAACGGTCGCGCTGCAAGGACTTGTCGTCCTGCACATGTTTGGTGAACTGACTGAGCGGGTTACCCGCGGTAGAGCATTCCGCGCCACCTAGAAAAGACATGGAGTTTGAGGATTGTTCCAGACTATGATGATCGATACTATTAATGTCTGGAGGTGACAGCCGAAAATAATTTGCATATAACGAACCCGTCGAGGGGAACGTAAGTCGTCGAAAGCGGAGGACGCTGATGGGGAAAGGCCATCCAACCTCGGCAGCGCGTGGGGCAAAAGTACCAGGGATGAACTGGTAAGAGTGCCTCAGGCTTCCCATGTACGAGAGTACCACAACAGGCATAAAGAATCGTGATACATAGTCGACCCGCGTTGGAGTAGAGGCTTCGATATGTATTATGTGCATGCCAGTCCTGTCATATTTGCCAGGGACGGAATCGTCAATCTATGGTACATTGAACCGGTACTTTACAAGAAGGAATGTTTGATGATACTGAGAGCAAGAAGTGACAAAATATGCCTGATGTCCCAGAAAACACAAGGTAACGCTATCAGTACAATTAACCCAGTCCTAGACCCTTGGACATATCCTTCGGACTCAAACTGAGACTGGATAAACATTCAAAGCTCATATTCAGACCTGGCGGTTCTGTGAGCTTGGCCGGGAGAAATCAACGCGTAGCTGACGGCCATAAACGCTCTTGCCTGCAAGCAACTCAGCCGCCTGTTTAGCACTTTCAGCATCAGTAAAGTCAGCATGTGCGAAACCTCTGGGTTGGCCAGTCCGCCGGTCGACTGCGACGCGGACATCAAGTACGTTGCGAACGTCTCTGAACAGGTCATTGAGATCCTTGTCCGACATCTCAAACGACATGTTCCCGATAAACAGCGTCCTCGTCGGTTCGCCCATTGTCGTAATATCGGGGATAGTTCGACGAGATGGTTTGACGGTCTGCTTGCTGACGACCATACGACGGCCCTCAAAGACCTGCTGATTGAGACTGGAACAGGCAGCATCTGCATCTTCTGGACGTTCGAATCGGATGAAGCCAAACCTGTGACCGCGTGTTAGTCATATTGGGTTTAATGTAAGAAAAACATACCCTCTGCTTAGACCACGATTATCGCAAACGAGGGAGATATGAGCAATTTTGCCGAAGGGTGAGAACACTCGTTCAAGTTGATCCTCAGTCACTTCAAAAAAAAGGTTTCCGACATAGACCGAGCTTGATATTGCTTCTGCTGTGGCAGTATTTTCCTCGACTGGAATAGATGAGCTTTCTACAGGCGCATTATCTATTGCATCTGTTGGTGCAGCGGAAGGCTCCTGCTCTTTCACAATCTCATCGCTGTATAGACGACGTTGCAGTGAAAACGCGAGGATCGGTCTTTGTAGCCTGTTGATGGCGGGAGAAGCTGAATTGAGAGCTCGCGATTTGACAGACTGGGAAAAGGAAGGAGCGGAAAGCGCTTTCAGCGCAGTACGGCGGAGGAGAAACCTAACAAAACACCGTTAGTCATTGAGTAGTGACAGTCGTTCGTATCAAACATACATGATATGTGGTGGAGTCTTTTGTGGAATGTGTCAGATGGATTCGTCTGGCAAAGGATAGTTACGAAGTTTCAAACAGATGCACTAACTTTTTTCTGGAGCACACTAGTAACACATCACGTGCAGTCGCGTTTCCAGTCACGCTTCGATCACGAAAGGTGAGACTCCTTCCATCTGGAAGGATTAACGTTTCTGCCTATATAATTACATATGCCTAAAGTGAGGTGAGATAGAGCTACCTTATGCTGGGTCGCATTGCTGGATGTACTAAACTTCACACCCTCTGCAGTGAACCCTTGGAATCTGATGATCATTATATGTCATTGTACTGTATCGTATAAACGTGAAACCCGAACGCCCAAGTACCCCGATTTCCGAACGCCTTAATGCTAAATAGGGTATACCTCATCGCTCAAACTTCTAACACGAAGGCCAACTTTTCGCCGATCAATCACCCAAGCGGTAGAAAACTTTCAGTGGCGAGCCCGTAATGTGCGACCTGATGCCACTGGAACGGGAGTTGGCGCAATAGGCTTCGCAACAGGTGCTCTCTTTGCACGACTAGAAGCGGTGGAGATTGCAGCAGCGGCGGCAGTTTTCGTGCGCTTCTTCGGGACATCTAAATGGACATTTTCCTTGTTGTCAGAGGAGAGTTCATTGCTGGATCTTTTCAGACCGCGTGTTCTGACAGTTGGCGCTGCTGTTTTCCCCTTTGGTGCTGGGATGGTCTTCGCCTTAGGCGCCGTCACCGTCCTCGTTTTTGGTGCTGAAGGGGGTTTGGCTTTTGATCCTGTGGGGTTCTTGGCTTTGCCTGTCGCTGTTGGCTTCGATTTGGATGCTGTCACCAACTTTGCCTCAGGCATCGATGCACTTTCGTCTCCCGATGCTGATGTAGACTTTTCTTGGATGGTCTGTGTGTCTCCATGAACTCCAACACGTGATGAGAGTGGATTAGTTGGCTTTTGAGGAGGATCCGTGTAACGATCAAGCAAGTCGAGGACATTAGCAGTTTTCAGGCTTCGCGGAATGCGGTTGACGCGCATTCCCAGTCGAGAACGAAGACCCTGTGCATGCAGCGTGCTCTGAGTGCGCAGCTTTCGCGCTCTCTCGGCAACTACAGCAATTTTAGCGACTATAATATGGGATGCTCATTGAGATAGACAAACCTTCAAGCTTGATGTTGCTTACCAGGATAGTTTTGGCCTGGTCTGAGACCGCAAAGTCGTGGTTCGCATCGCTGTCTTTGATGTTGCTGTTTGTTTGTTTTGGTGTTCCGTTCGCCATTGCAACACGTCCTAATTGGCGACGCGACTCGTGGGAAGTCGGGCAAGAAAATGTCGGATGATGTATGTCTCTATTTGAACTCGATAACTCCCCGTGACTTAGAGTGCAAATAGTGCTGATTAGAAGTCTTTCGTGTGGTGAAGTGTGATGGTTGTTAGAGAGGTAAAGAGCTCGAATGAGGAACTGGCACTGCACGGACTATCTAGGCGCGTACAAGGTTAAGGTAATAGACCCTAGCCGCTAATTACTTACCCGTGGTTGTACCTCTAGGTACCCTATGACTTCGCATTGACTAAGCACCAGCACTCGCGCAGCTCCAGATAGCTCATCGATAGTAGCTGACTTGCTTCAAATTGCAGCGCTTTCCTAATATCTTTCGGTTTTCACTCTGACCGTTGTCCGCACCTCGAAATCTACTTTTAACTTCAACTCGAATCTTGTGAGAGAAGCCTTCCTTGGTGGACCATTTTGTCACGATGGTGCTCGAAGCGACTATGATCCTGTATGCTCCTCATCGATGAGTCCACGAGACGAGCTGACATGCGTATTCTAGGCTGGACAACAGCGAATTCAGCAGGAACGGAGACTACCTGTCAGTTCTCACTTAATCGCCTCCCTTCACGTTCCTGACAAGACTCTAGCGAGACCCGATGGAAAGCTCAAGAATATGCTGTCAATAGGATTCACGAAGCAAAGCACGCGTCGAACCCGGAATCTGCTGTTGGCTTGATAACCATGGCTGGTAGTAGTCCTGATGTCCTTACTACTCCGCAAACCGAACCTGGCCATTCGATGGCAGCATTAGGCAACAAAGAGCTTAAGATCCATGGAAGGATAAGGTTCTGGACGGCGATCCGCATAGCACAGGTTAGTTTTCAAAGAAGGTCTGGGGAAACACACGCTAAATTCTTACTCAACTTTCCAGATGGTACTCAGAAATAGGCAAAACAAATCACAACGTCAACGCATCATTGCCTTCATCTGTTCCCCCCTCGAAGAGACCGCTGCCGAACTCCAAACACTCGCAAAAACCTTCCTGAAGAAGAACAATATCAGTATCGATGTGATCGCCTTTGGAGAACTAGGAGATAATGTCGAAAGCAAGCTGACACCGTTCATCAAGAACTTTCACACTGCTAGTGCTCCATTGGATTCACACGAACACGAATCTCGTCTTCTGGTGTGTCCTCCCGGGGACACACAACTGTTTGAATTTATCAACTCATCTGTCATTGTAAATGAGGGCGGTGCGGTGCCTAGCAGTGGAGATACCGACGGCCACCCTGGCGGATCGGGAGGCGGCTCAAATGACTTCGAATACGTTGATCCTTCGGTTGATCCAGAACTGGCACTGGCATTGAGGATGAGCTACGAAGAAGCCAAGGCCAGGGAGGAAAAGAACAAGAAGGACGAAGAGGCAAAGACAGGCAAGGCAGATCTGGAGAATATTCCCGAGGAGGGTGGCAGTGGGAGGGGGAAAGACAGGAAAGACGACGACCCTGATAAGATGGACACTGCATAACAAGAGTATCTCGTTGAATCAAACAACTACAGGTTTGCACACGTGGCGCTCATGTACCATAACATCATCCATAGAGGTCCAAGCTCATGCTTCTGATTAGATCCTGCCAAAGCTGCCAGCCATCTAGATATATAAAGTTACTTCTATCCAGTAACGTCGTGATTATGGGTCGGAACTAGGGCTCTACGGTTCCTGGCCCTTCAGCTCCATGATGCGCCATCCTACTCATCGGACCTGCGTCTTAATTCGATGTTTTAGTTTTTTTCTCCAACTGGTGCGTAGTTCAGCTCTTGACTTTCACGAAAGCGTCTAGGCTCCTATCAAACTTCTCGCAACGTATCGGCATCTCGACTGTATAGAAAGGATTTTTCATAACGTAGTCGGAGTATAGTTCGTATATCCTCTTCATAACGTTATCCACATTCGGCTGCTGAGGCTCGGTGAAAAGGAGAAACTTCGTGCCCGTTACAGTCTGAAAGCATTGCAGCCGAAAGTGTGCGGATTCTAGGACTTCTAGGCCTGTAGGACGATTTACGAAAGGAGATGGTGCGCTGGCAGAGGTGCCGTTGGCGGATTGAGTACGCGGTAGAGGGGAAAGAGACTTCGTTATAGCATGGACTCTAGGTAGTGTGAGCGTTCGAGTGGACTGGAGCATGGATGCAAGCATACCCGTGGAAAGTACCGGCAAGTATCAAATAGTCGTTACTGCTCATCTTGTTCAGGCCGGAGTGAAACTCACGATTGTAGATGAGACCTCCGGCCTTGTTGATGACGAGTAGCGCAAACACGACCCTACGGGCTGTCAGTATTTTCGTCGGTCTTGCACTTGCGAATCTCGAGATACGTACATGTTAAGTTTTCATGTCTTGGTCATTGCGCAGACATTGCTCCCCACTGTGAGTCCAGATTCGATACCTAACGGCGACGTCTTGGCGTTGAACCTGCTAACGATCCATACGGACTATGGAATACCTGGTAGGTCCAAGCTTCTAGCAAAATAGAGGGGTAGGGGTATGAATGGAGGGGCAGGGGTGGGCAGCTGCATAACTGCATTTTTGTTACTTTAGGACAATTACAGTGGAGGGACCTAGGTAACTAAATTAAATAACCATACCATGATCCTCCAGTCTGCTATCCGGCACAGTGTTGAGCGTGTTACCAGGTTCATCTCTCAGCACAGCCTTGGGAACCAGACCCAGGATTTCGCTTCGCACCTTGAGCTTCACCTTTACGTTCACCTCCCCCAGTACTCTTTTTACCTTTTAAGCTGTGTCGTCTTACAAACGGTCCTTTATGATCGCCATCTTCCATCGATCTGCCACACGCACCCACGGTTGATTCTTGAACGCTACATACTTTAGAGTGTGCGATCCGAGAGATCATGTCGAACCAGTCCATTCTCCGCATAACTCGTGTAAGACTCTGTGTGTAATTTCGGAAAGGTGTCTGTGGTTTAACATGTGCCTTAGGAACTAGGAGAGATCCAACGAGGGCCTGATCTATGTCGGTTCATACGCGTCGGTCATGTCCACAATAACTAACAGTGGGAACAGCCCTTGCAGTTGCATGCCGCGACATAGACGTTCGAAGCGTCCGGGCGCTGATAATCGGTCCTCCTGATACACCCTATGAGTTCGGCTTTTTTGAGGTAATTCATGAGACTTACTTGCCAATGGTAGACTAATTCTGATATATGTGCATAGTTTCACGTCAGGTTTGGTAGAGGTAATTATTCCAATGGCTGATTCGTGTATGGTTGAGCTTACCGTTTCTAGAATATCCCACGAAAGCGCCTCACGTCAATGCGATCACGACTAATGGCGGCCGCACGCGATTCAACCCGAATATTTACGCACAGGGAAAGGTCTGTTTGTCGATACTTGGGACATGGAGAGGCGAGTCTGGCGAAGAATGGTCTTCTGCGCAAGGCTTAGAGTCCATCTTGATCTCTATACAGAGTTTGATGTCGCCAAATCCGTACGAGAACGAGCCAGGGTTTGAAGATTCAAAGTCTGACTACGATCAAAAGAATGTACAGGCATATGCCGCTAAGATCAGACACGAGACGTTACGAGTATCGATCATTGACCGATTGGAAGGTTATCTGGGCATCAATCGGGACAAGTCACAGTCGGTCACGGTATATGATGCAGAGGAAGATTACCAAAACACCGCAGTAGAGGCGGCGTTCGAGCCATTTAGAGATCTCTGCAAGCGCCGTTTCATGTGGTACTACGATTCATATCTGCAGACAATGGAACAGGAGCATGCTAAATACAAAGATGGCTCAAAATTCGAAAAAATGCCATTCGAAGGGCCGAGTAATACCATGGAAGGATCCTTCAACTACGGCTCGCTGAAGAAGAGACTGGCAGAGATCCGGGAAAAGCTTGTAGATGAGACTCAGGAATGGGCAAATGAAGGAAAGATATCGATCGAGAAGGAATCAGGCATCGCCAGTAATCTACAACGACAGTTCGAGCAAGCAAGCGAGCACTTCAAGCACAATGATGCGGTTTCACTGGACCTTACTTTGGTCGACAAAAACCCGTTCGTGTGGGAGCTGATTCTTTTTGGAAGACCGATGACCAACCTGGATGGTGGAATGTTCCGCTTCAAGATCTATCTTAGCCCTAGGTTCCCAGAAGTGTTACCACGCGTCATTTGTGAGACACCCTTATTTCATCATCGCCTCTCGAAGCACGGTGTGGTTTGCTATGAATCGCCGAAGAAAGACGATATTAGAAGTCATATCGATGCCATAGTAGCCGCCATTGAAGAAGAATCCCCTGCGTACGATCCTCGAACATTGGTCAACCCTGAAGCAGCTAAATTGTTCTGGGGTACCCCCGAGGATAAGAAGTTGTACAATCGCAAACTACGTCGTTCGGTTCAGGACAGCTCGGAGTAAGTAACAGAAGGACACACCCATATGGAGTCATGCACAGAACTGACATGGATCCAGGTACTGAATGTTACAGCATATCCATGGCCGAAAAGTATGGACTCATCGACTTTATCGCATATGTTCATCTGGCGAATAACGGAAGGTTAAATACCCGGCTTTGAAGATTATTTACGGTGGCGTCACAAGAAGCTTCGGATGGTTTGCCTCTGCGATAGTGCAAGGCGACTACATAATGACTTCACGATGTGCATTTTCGGTATGGTGTTGCATGGTTGTCTTTAGGGTTCAATGGTAGCAATAAGTCGCAGTTTCTCGCTCTGCGTTTCACCCGATCGGCGCATAAATATAGAGAGAATAGCCCTGGATTGTAAGTCATCAAAATCCACTAAGTAATATGTTTCTAGCTGGAACTCTTTTGAATCGATGCTTAATACACACTTGAGTCTCGAGTTCTCAGCTTACTATTCTCGCCACGAAAATCTCACGAAAGTGGGCACTTCTCGACTTTGTCGCCGAAAGCAGAATATACCAACAATTTTTACCCCCAAATTGCTGATGTACAGAGTTGTGTTCGGCATGGACTCTGGTTCAGCGGACACCGGTGATGAACGCGAATTCCCGTAAAGCTCCGTTTTTCGGTACCCCTGTCCGTTGTGTCGTAACTTGCCGTTACTGGTAGCTCCTGGCCCGAGCGCCGATTTCTCATAATGTTAACTTCCAGAGTCCAAATTACAGGATTGCGTGTCGCAACATTCACAGGTTCTACCTACCACAATGCAGAGACTCCTGTCGGAAGAGATCGTCAATCCCCAGCAGAGGAAAAGGTCAACTCTCGGGAATGTCTGCGTCGTAGGTGGGTGCGGCTTCCTCGGCCACCACATTGTGCGGGTCCTTTTGGAGCAGTTTCCAGACACGAGAATCTTCGTCCTCGACTTACGCACTGAGAGCAATCGTAACTCTAGTCCGCAAGTCAGCTATCATGCGCAAGACATCACAGATACCGCTAAGATCTCGGAGCTTTTCCAGCAGTTCAAACTCGATGTCGTTATACATACTGCGAGCCCAGTACCAACATTGCCCAAGAAGCTGTTATACAAAGTCAACGTAGAGGGGACGAAAGCGCTTCTCCAGGCTGCACAGGAGACTGGAGTTAAAGCATTCGTGTATACAAGTAGTGCGAGTGTCATCTGTGACCCTGAGACCGGCCTCATCAACGCTGACGAGAGATACCCCATGGTCCTGGGCGATGCGCAATCAGAGTACTACACTAGCACCAAGGTATGCTCCAGAGAGTCACAAAGATTCGAGTTTGAGTATAGACTAAAGTTGCGCTCAGGGCTACGCTGAGATAGCTGTCACTGAAGCAAATCGCAAGACCCCAGGGTTCTTTACTTGTGCCCTACGTCCTGCTGGTATATTCGGCGAAGGAGACAGACAGAACGTCAGCGCCCTTGTAAAAGCCTATCGCGAACGGTCCATCAACTTTCAAGTCGGGGACAATCAAAATCTATTCGACTTCACCTACGTTGGCAACTTGGCACATGCCCATATCCTCGCTGCGACCGCTCTCATGGCAACTCACGAGATGATGCCCACAGTACCTCTGGACACTGAAAAGGTGGACGGTGAAGCTTTTTTCATCACAAACGACGAGCCTGTCTACTTCTGGGATTACGCGCGCGCTTCTTGGCGAGAATGCGGCCCTGTTCCACCTCCACACAAAGTCTGGGTGCTACCGAAAGGATTAGCCTACGTTATCGCTACAATCCTGGAGACGATTCTCGGTTTATTCGGCAAACAACCGAACCTGACAAGACAGAGGGTCAATTATCTCGCGATGACACGATACTATAACATCACCAAGGCGAAGACTAGATTGGGATATAGACCGATTGTGCCGTTACAAGAAGGGATCAAGAGAGGGGTTGCGCATGCCTTGGCAGAAGAGGAAAAAGCCGCAGGGAAGAAAGGTTAGTGATGCTTGCTGATTCCTCCGGGCGCTTGTGTAGTCGCTGTCTGCCAGTATACACTCATCTACAACTTTCTAATTACATCAACTTTGAATACTACTCCTGTATACACGAATTTACCAGCTACATACCTCGATGTAGAGCTTCGGGCACCTTGCTTAGTACGCTTCATGCTATATCTGTATAATATTTACATACTCTGCGATACCAATGTGGGCGCAGGTACACAGATAGAATTGTTCAATTGCAGCCAGACACGCTGCTTAGTAACAACAGCTCCGGGGCGCTAGCTACTGCGCCATCAGCAACGACGAAGCTGAGACAAGATCGTATACTTTGTCTGTCCTTCAAGTTGACGCTCATATAAATCGTTAATCTCACTTCGGCCGTCGTGATTTCAGGTTCTGGTCACCCTTTGACACCTTAGGGCACTTGGCGAGCGACACGACTACGGGCTGCGATTTCGCCGCCGGTCACAAAACGTGAAGATGTCTGCAGTCGCATCATACTTCCTGGATCTTGTGTATTCCCTGACCAACTGTATGGTCTGCTTTCCGGGGACTCCTCAGCTCAAGATCAATTCGCGGAGTTTTAAGATATTGCGACTGCTAGGAGAAGTAGGTCCACTTACAGAACTGCTAGGCATTATCAACATGATTGTCATAGACTGACCATGGCAATGACAGGGTGGCTTTTCCTACGTATATCTCGTCCAGGATTCTACACAGCAACTCTACGCGCTTAAGAAAATAAGATGTCCATTCGGCCAAGAATCCGTCGCGCACGCTATGAAGGAGGTGGAAGCCTACAGCCTATTTGCACCCCATCCCAATATAATACACAGCATCGACTACAGCGTAGCATCAGATAAATCTGATCCGGGCGCAAAAACCGTATACATCGTTCTCCCATACTACAGGCGCGGCAATCTTCAAGATTTGATCAATGCGAACCTGGTGAATCATACGAAGTTTCCTGAGCGCAAGCTCATGGTCCTATTCCTGGGCGTGTGCAAAGCACTCAAGGCAATGCATCAATACAAAGTCAAGGAAGGACCTGGTGGCGCACAGAGTCTGAACAATGCGAAGAGAGTACGGAGAGAAGCCGCGGAGGCTGACGATGATGCGGAAGAGATGGCCATGCACACAAGGAGAAAAAAGGAGGATAGGAATACGGAAGAAGTAGAGGCGGAGCCGCTGATGGAGGGAGAGGTCACAATAAGCCAGGAGGGACATGCGCCTGGGCAACAAAGGGCGTACGCGCATCGCGACATAAAACCTGGTAAGAAGAAATCTCAGGTCGATTTCTACTTCATATTGATTTTCGACATAGGAAATATAATGATTGCGGACGATGGTAGAGCACCTATTCTTATGGACCTAGGCTCTCTCGCGCCATCACCAACGCCGATCACGTCTCGTTCCCTTGCGCTAGCCGTCCAAGATGAAGCTGGTGAACATAGTACTATGCCGTATCGTGCACCCGAGCTCTTTGATGTCAAGACTGGGAGTGTCGTTGATACTAAAGTCGACATATGGTCACTTGGATGCACTCTGTATGCCTGTCTAGTGGGCAAGTCTCCCTTCGAAGCTCGCTCGGAAGAGACGGGTGGGAGCTTGAGCATGTGTGTCCTTGGTGGTGACTGGAGGTTTCCAGACGAGGGCCAACAAAGAGGGAAGCAAAAAGCTAGCCCCGAAGAGGAAATCAGCACCGAGGTGAAAGAAGTGGTGAGACGGTGTCTCGTGGTTGAGCCTAGTGAAAGGCCTGATATTGACGAGCTGATTAAAGTCGTGGAGGATGTAATTGAGACCCTGCCTGCCGATGGGGGTGACGACTAAGCTAACAATCGGTATGTAACATAACTCATTCTTCTGGAGCGGGCGCGGTCTTTTCAGTAATATCTTCAAACGGAGCCAATCTTACAGTGATATGACATCAGTCCGACGATTCTTCAACATAGGAGACCTCTGCTACACATGTCACCAGACTCACGTACCATTGCTACTTTCCTTATCTCTCAAATCAAGTCAGGCGAACCTCAAATTTCGCTCTTCTGTCATGGCCGAGCCAGCCGTCAAGAACATTTTACCATTCTTTGATTATTTTGGCTACTGGGGAGGACTCAGACTTTGAAGCTGGGCACATCCACTCCTTGTCGTGCTCTTGAAATCCTGTGCACATTGTTCAGATCGAATCATTGGACCAAGCGCAAGCGCTGATTCCGTCCAATGGTTTGGAAAGTGCCAATGAATCACCGACCTTACATATATTGGAGTTGGCAGTTGCGTCCTCAGCCCCTTGGGGCCTCCTCCACATTCTTCGCTATCATCGTCCTTTTTTTCTTCCCATCCTTCATCAACCATACACAGCTCTCATTACCCAGCTGTCTATCATTTAAACTTCATCTCATATCGACTGCTATATATCTCTAGGGCCATCACTGTACCAGCACTCCCTTCAATATGTCTTCCAACCATGACGACCATGATCCGCTCTTTTACCACCACTTCGACGCTCCTCCGGTCGTCCCGGAGCCCAACTCTGCCGAAGCTAGAACGGAAAGCAATGAACATCACCCGCAGAGCACCGACGATAATTCCGTACACACTGCTCAGACCACCAGCTCCAACCCTGAAGATGACGTAGACAACATCACTGCCGTCACTGCTCCATCTCACGAGCAGGCGACTTGCGAAGATCCTCCAGCCAACTCTACAACCGAAACGCCAAGTGTCAGCGGGACCGGATCCATTCTGCATACACCATCCACAGAACTTCCGCCATATCAAGAAAGAAGTGACACTTATCCGTTTACAGCTCTCGAGTCTAATGTCGAAGCCCATACACATCGCTTTGGCGAAAGCAGCAGATCTGCTGTTCCCTTGCGACCTGTACAGTGTAAAGTCACGACTAGGAGTGGACCAGAGACACGCGATCCTGCTAGAGGTCCTGTGCGGACTGCACCATATCCAAAACAACCAGGTTCTGCAGTAACTACTACCGTTAGCCCACTTCAGGACGCCAGCGACTCTGTACGCGTAGCATCAACCCCTGCTCCCACAACTCATTCCGCGGAGGGAATCACGTTCAATCCTCCCGTCAGTCAAAATGACTGGCCAAATCTGCCTGGAAATCAGGAAACTGGACCTCCTGAGAACTCCATTCGGGGTCGTGTTGCAGAGTTCCGTGAACTGTGCAGACAGAAGTCCGCTTCATGGTTCTACTACCTGCCGAAGCATATCTGGAAGAAGTTCTGTTGGCAGATGAAGAATGATTCTGATTACCGTCTGAAGTTCGTGGGTGTTATTGTCCTTTTCATAATCCTCCCAGGCGTACTCCTTATTTGTGCAAAGTTGCTCGATACGAGACCACATCACCGTCGCTTCAATAACTATCATAGTTGATAAATTGAGAATTTCAAGCACATCTGTGGTTGTATACGTGCCCTTCAAGTGACGAGTGATTCTTGGAAGATTTCAGTCCTTCACTGGCGCCATTCTTCTTCTCTACGACCTCTTCGGAGCAAGTATGTGTTTCTCCATGTTGGAACGTGGATATTCGTTGGTAGACGGCGGCAATTTTGATGGTGACTGCGTTTGGCTGGAACTTATCCACAGTGTTAGAAGTCTATGCGCCCGTTTTTGCCGTGATGAAAAAGAGGGTACATTAGCTGACCCTTAGTATATGAGTATGAGTGCTCTCCCATGTCCAGAAGCATTGAGATATGCTTCACCTCTAGTAACTACAGTATAGTTGCAAGAGAGCCATAAACTGCGTCAGAAATATTCTTTTGCTCATTACTGAAGAAAGCAGGCTACGAATACTCCCTATCGCTCCGTCGCCCCCTCTCGACGCTATCGAAATGAGTGTCCCCCGCCCTAGAACGACGATGATGGCCACTACTACTACTATCAATACAATGAGGTGCTTCTGAAGAGCGCCGAAGCGTATCCTTGACCTGCTCGCGGACTTCAATCCAGCGCTCCACCTTGCCGTTAGGTAGCTTCTGGCGTACCTCTACCACACTTGGCTTCTTCTTCAGTACGACACTACCCTCTTCCGAGCTTTCGCTTTCCCAGTCGCGGTTCCAAGGTTTTCCAGCAGGTGGCGGCGACCGTAGTCTTTTAGATGAGGGGTCGCGAGGAGATAGGATCGTGACATGTCTACGCTTAGGGGATCTAGATGAAACTGGTAACCCAGGCGATGTTGATCGTGGCGCTATAGGTGTAGGGGATGATGAGCGATAGAGTGCTCGGCCACGTCGAGTGCGGGATCGTGAGCGATGACGGGATCTGGAACGGTGATAGGTGCTTCGCTCCACAACATGTGTTGATGGAGGACTATAGGGATCATATAAGGTGTCAGGCTCAAATACTGAGGTAGACACGGCTTGACGATTCGAGTCTGGAACTTCGTAAAGATCTGTACTCAATTAACTTTAAAGGGTGAACACCGAGACTCTGGGATTTGGCGCAAAACAGTACTTACCATCGCTGGATTGTGCATGAAAACTGTCACGACTACCATACTGAGCGTCGGCGCCAAAGTGACGTCTGTCTCTTGGTTTGAAAGCCGTCGCACTCGCTTCTGTTATACCTGAATCCTTTCGAAAGGCCTCAGAATGCCCGGAGAAGGATACCCGTGGGCCGCCATATTCGGCAGCTGTCGTATCGCCGCTGGCATTATTATTTCGATCTCTTGAGCTAAGCTGTGGTGTCTCAGACCGGCGCCTACTTGGAGACCTGAGAATGCCACGAGGTTTCTTCGCACCAGTACCAGGCGAGGAATGTCGAGTCCGTGAACAGTTTCGAACGGTTATTCTTTCGGCGGATGTTGATCTCTGCCTCGACGCTTTGTCGGGCTTATATTCTAGCGGCTCGCTAGTAAGTCGCGAACGGGTTGCTATAGGCCTTTCAGGGCTTGCGAGTGCTGGATTGAACGGCTTCGCCGGTACCGATGAATGAGGCAAATGATAACTTTTTCTTCGTGATGGATCAGGCTTGCGTAATTTTGAGGGTAGTGGAGACGATGATGACTGTTCTTCGACTCTGACAGCTCGACCATATCTAAAAGGCATAGGGTGTGATGCAAGACGTCCTTGGGCGTCCACATCCTTTGAAGGTTCGTTCTGGGTGTGTTGAGACTGTGATCGACTGGTGAATTTAGTGTCATTTTGAGATGTCGTATGATGCCCTCCTCGCGGTCCAGCGTACGCCCGAACATCATCGTTGTAGAGTCGAGCAGGTTCCAGGCTGCGTCGTGATAGGGGTGGAGGAGACTCTCGACGAATGAGCTTCCGGCGCGTAGATTCGCCCGGCCGATCTGCCAGAGAGTCTGAGCGTGAAGAACGGTGGCTTCTACCGCTCCCACTGCTGTCACGAATAGTGATACGAGTACGGCTCACTGATTCAGTCCGGCAACGGGTTTGGGGAACCTCTTCATGTTCATTGCGGTAATTGATCACACGATAGCTGCTGGGAGGCGAACGTCCTCTAGCATGGTGCGCATCACCATCTTGAATGCGTATGTGATAAGCCTCCTGAGTACCGTCGTAGTATTTGTATTTTGGCCTCTTGCATTTACCACAGACTCCCTGTTCGGCGGGATTTTCCGGTGAGACTGGATGGCTACGATGGTAACCCCTTGATCGTGGCTTCTTACATACACCGCAATAGTGTACCACCGAGCTAGTGGGCGTTGCATGAGCTTGAAGGTGGCAAGAAGGCATACTTACAACCGTCTGATTAGATGTGGATCCTTTAGGACATTTGTCAATGACGTCCTCCCTTGCTTCTGATTCCGACTCTTCTTTGGCCGAACTTAACTCTGACTCCGGTTCGACAATTGGAGTTTCAGGGTAATGGTAAGATTGAGGAGCCAATTGCCAATATGGATTATAAGGAACTGAGTATTGCCATTGGTACTGAAACCCGGCTGTGTATGTCGGTTGTACGATGTTGGGGTATATCCTAGGTAAGTCGACGTCTCCTTCAGGTCTAGATCTGGAGATGGGCATTAATCCAAAGGTAGAAGCGTGGTCCCCCATTGTTGGCCCATCTTCCTTCGACATGACGTTTGAATTGTTGGCGGGCGAGACAAAAGAGAGGAATTGGGTGTATGTGGGAGGCAGAGATGTGTTCTAGACAAATGGCAAGTTTAGAGAGTCGTTGAGAGGTCGAGAACAGTAACGTACATCGAAAGAATTGACTCACGCCAAGTCAGATTGAACTGGTATCGTGTTTCTGGTGTCAAACAAGAGGAGCTGCGTTAGACAGCCACAATGGAGGATATTAGGTCTGTCAGTGCCCGATCCGAGTGAAGATGAGGTCCGTGGGATACGATTTCAATAGAATGCCTGTATGAGCCCAAGTGAAAGCGAGACGATCGCGTAATAGGGTGAAGGAAACCGAGCAGAATGGAACAACAATGAAGATGTCGAAGATGGCGACGTTGTGTCGTGTAGAACGGAAGTGAATCAGTGAAGGCCAAGGACCGGGATGCTGAACAGCACGACACGGAAGGAACGTGCGACTTTGCCAGACCGTAGACACTTAAACCACCACATCCACCTCATCTAAAGACAACCTATATAGAATTTTGGTCGGGAGCAAGAACAGACAGAACCCAGAAACAATTACAGTGACTTCTTAGTTTACAGTGGATGCTTTTGTGTGAGAAGCCTTAGCAGGCCCGCATAGGTTATTTCGTCTGCTACAATTGGGTTACTTCTGCAAACCACAAATGCCTCTCGATACTTCCGTGGCCTACGGATATCTGTTATCAGGTGAATGAAATCTACTACTCAACTAAATGTCCCTCTATTCTACTCTTAGAACTCGAGCACCTTTTCGCTTGCTCGCACGCTTCTTTTTGTTACCTTTTTCAAAGGCAGTCGCGCTGAAATGATCTCGACCAAAATTATCCAAGGGCTTGACCTTGTAGATCCTGATGATCCAGTTCTCACTTGTGAAAGCTTCCTCAATCGTGTTCAATTGGGGATTCTCCGAGGGAAGTCGTGTTCCTCGAACTCGGTCTGTACCTTGTCCTGCAGGGAACAAGTTGCCAAAGTTGTGGTATGACATTTTGTACCTATGTCGTATCAGCAATGGGCACCGTACTAACACCTGATACTACTCACATCAGACTGTTCTTCATCGTTGGCGAGGCTTCATCGTCAACTTTGTACTCTCCACGCGGAGTAAAAAAGTCGCGCTCTTTAACTTCATCTGGCCATATACCCTCCGCGATTCTAACCATCCATAGGAACTTATTGATATCATCTCCCGAGTAGCCCAATAGACCACCGAAAACGACCAGAACATAATCAACCTCATGCTGGCGCATGATCGGGTAGCTGACTTCTTCACGCGAACTCATGGCTTTGCCGACTGTAGCAATGTGAGTGTTGTTCCAGGTGTTGTTGTCGACAAGGGTCGGTCTGTCCGCCATGCCTCCAATTTGATAGCCATAATCCCACCATGACATTATTTTAGCATTGTCGGGAGTGTTCTGTCTGAGCCAATAGTATGCTTCTCTGTAGTCGTCGATGATGTGCTGACTGCCATCAGGCAGTCTGCTGGCAAGGACAACAGATGGCGAAGAATACGCATTTGATGTGACCCACGTACAATGCAGGACGAACAATAATAGATAGACACTTGCAAACCCGACCACTGTGGCCTTGGAGATATACGAATAAATGCCGACCAGTGGAGACCTAGTAGATCTCAGAGGGTCCAATATCAGAGTTGGCGCAGTCGACGCCGCTGACTTTGTGGTCTCGCCATTTGACTTTGCGCCTTCGATCTTGGGGGTTTCAATTACGAGATAAGCGTCTAGGATTTGTGAGAGCGCGATGGCGGCAGCTACACACACGATGGGTGTCAACGTCAGCATGAGTCGGACCATCACTCCTGAGAAGTAACTGGCCATGACAGCATAAATGACAATAAAGACATGCTCGTCTTTCAGACTGCGGAAGCTCATGTATACACCAGCTGGGAACAACCAGATAAGCATGTTGAGGTCGAAGAAGAACGCGGGCCATGCTGTGGGTTGATGTTCCGAGACTGAGGCAATGATTGGGATATGTATCTTGGCATAGCCAGTATCCCAAAGTGAGTAGAACCGTCCGGACCAAGGAGCGATGACACCCGACACAGTCAGGAGCACAAGACCACCGAACGCAACGACGAAGATAAGCACTACGAGACTTTTGAGAAGGGTCTGGAACTGTCGGCTCGGCAGTTGGTTGCGAATGTATTCCACGAAGCCAACGATCTGGAGGAGTCCAAAGACGCCTGAGACAAGAGATTAGCAACTTTGAACCTTAGAGCGCAACCGCGGATATTACCTAGTGAGGCCATATGTTCACTACTCCTGATTGGCAGGAAGCCGACGAAGGGAATCTGCATGCTAGCCAATGTCCCAAGGGCGTACCAGGTTGTGTAGCTTACGTACAGCCTCGCACTATAGCGGCCCATACAGATCAACACAAAGGCGTGCAGAGGTAGCAGATTTGTGATGAACACGTATCCTCCCCACGCAGATACCATATAGCCATAGAAGAGTGCAGTCAGTGCACCCCAAAGGGCAGAGCCCTCCTTCACCGACTTTATCCACAGGTAGAACGTGAATACCAGCAGGAAGATGGCAATAGCTTCGTTGTCGTAGCTACCGGCGACAGATCGAGAGATGTATCCAGGTGCGATACCCATGAATATAGCCGCAAGAAGACCGGCCGATGGAGAGGTGGACATCTCTGTTGTAAGGAGGTACGCAGCCAGTGCCGTCAACCCCGAGAAGCCTGGTGCAAGAAGTACACATATGTTACGAATATCGACAGGAAAGGTGAGAAATCGTAGGATGTGGTAGATGACACCACTGGTGACCATCAATCCGGGGTAGAGTGTTCCACCAGTGACCCGTCCGAGAGGATGCCATGTTCCTGTATATTGTATCAGCTATCTGCTGATATGTCGTCCATCCAGTGCTCTTTACATACGGTCATCAAACCAGTCCCAAAAGCTGTAGAATCCGTGCTGTACGAGATATTTGGTTGCTCTGAAGTTGAACCAGGGATCGACTGAGAGCCAATTAGCAATCGTTATACAACTTAGAGTGCTGCGTCCATCATACATTCGTGGATGATACTCTCGAATCGGATCACACTGAACAGCCGACTTGATACGGCCGCGGCCGCAATAGTACAGAGAATTATGATGCGAAGCAGACCACGGGTGTTCCGGGCGGTCTCCCCCTTAAGAAACTGTTCTCCCACAGCAGCAGCCATGGTCACAACAGAGAAGAATGGTCGAAGAGAAATGCGACTTGTTCGTTCGTCAAGCCGCGCCAGATAGCTCTCAAACGAACACCTGGAGCATATAAACGCTTAAACTTCGGCTAAACATTTCGACTGTCTACATCCTTCATCCGGGTTGCTCGAACACGCACCCGTTGGAGTAGACAAGGTTACGTGTTTACTCGCTACTATGTTCCACAGGATAAATAATAATCTTACATGCTGTAGAGGGACTTCAGGTACTCTCACATCTGCAGATCACCATCAATGACCTCTGAACCTATCGTCCAGCTGTATGCGGAGCATCTGCTCAACATTCGCACACTTACTCTCACCGCTTCCTTGTCGACAGAAAGTACTCCGCTAACCAAGGCGAAGATCTCAGCTGATGCTACAACCCTCACGCTCAGTCATGAAGAGGTTTCTGCCACCATTCATCTCCCGAAAGCAATCGAAGGCGGTGCAAATGCCGTTCTCGAGCTTCCAAAACAGGCGACGAAAGATTTACAGCTACGCCTGATGCTTGAAGAGCACAACCATAGGAGTCATCTTATCAAAGACTCTCCCGCCAAGAATGGTGCACTCCAGGAAGACAATTGGGTGCCGTGGTCAGCTCCGAGTCTTGTGAGGAGACGAGGCAAGTTCAGCTGTCGGAACTGTGGAACCGCTGTCCTGAACAACTCGCCATCTTCCGGGAGCGTGAAGAGTATAGCACCGCCTGAGGATACTATCACTCTCTGGAAAGACTTACCAAACGAAAACTGGGCAGAGATGATGGACTTCTGGCATTGTCACAAGCCTGACACTGAGGACGGAATTCACGACGAAGCTGTTCACACCAAGGGATATGCGGCAGGTAGCAAAATCCAAGCCATTGGAGGTATGGGTTTCGTAGATATCGCATACTTCCTACTCGCCAGTGACGACTGTCGTTCTATCAAGGTAAGCTTTCACAGTCTTCTACAACTCTCGTATTCTCATCACTACTTTCACTACATCATGCAACTGTGGGCGTCAAGAAGTTGGCCTCTCGTTTCCTCCATGGTTCGGTCATCGATACAAACGTCCTAAAGCGAACGCACCAACTGCTTTACGCGGTCTACCCTCCGCGCAGGTGTGATGGGTTACTTCGTTCAGCAGCATGCCTCGTCTTGCGCGATTGCACTCATCAAGTCCCCAGTCTTGGGCTCAGATGGATTTTAGTCAAGACACACTCAGTGCCATGTATCATCCATATCAATACATCAAACGTCCTTCATTGTTTCAAGTCTGATAGCCTGTTATGATCAACGGACAGTATGTTGTCACCCATGCTGAGCGGACCAGACTAAGCCCGACAACACATTACATTGTAAGCAATGCGCAGCCGAAGTCGGCATGGTAGACGAGCGAGCGGATGGATATCGTGTCTGGAAATGGGCCCTCTCCTACATGCCATTCGACACCAATCTCCCGCCAGGCAATCATGCCATAGTGAAATGGATCTCGGCACTCTTTCTCTTCACGATTGAAAACCAAGGCGTTCGCAAAATAGCTGTACACGACACAGCCAATACTTCAATGTCTGGCTTGCTCCTTTGGATCTTCACGCCAGACTTAACATTCTCATCTTCATATCAACCCCCAAATTCTGAACGCCTGGATCCCACCCGCGCGATGAAGGTATTCTGGCAGGATTTTGTCACTCAGACTGGAGAGGACGTCGAGAGTACGTCGGTCGAAGAAGTCAGAATCCCATCGAGATTATATGTGGAGCTGCAAGGCGCGCTAGAAGAAAGCAAAAACATTCTCCCAGTGAAGAGTCAGGTCTTTCGTGGTTGGAACGTCGCGCTGCTTCCAAGATTTCAAGGTAACGAAATAGATTGAACATTCTATGAAGGCGATAATTGTTCAGCTATGCTGTCCAACAAACGCCATTTTCCAAAAGATATATCACACCACTACGAGTATCCGAAGATTCCGCAATGTGACACGATATGGATATGTCGTAGCATCATGTCCCATCGGATAGCCCGGCGTACAAGTCATGCCAGATCTTTGTCTTCTTCTCTGCCTCCGACGCATTCTCCCGTAACTCCAATTCCGCCCCGGGCCATCCACCCATGAAGGTCAGCTGATGCTTTCCAATACACGATTGCGGCTCTGCCCATACGAGCTCTTTCCAATCAATCAAACCAGCAAGTCCAAGGTTCGTCGGCAATGGCTCGTGAGGATCCAACGTATACTTGATGGATTGATGGCCGTATATATCCACCGTGCCAAATTTCATAAAGACGTTGTGTGGCAGAAGCTCGTTATGCATCAGAAACACACCTGGATTGTTGGCGGCGGGAATCATAAGCAGACTAATAGCGGCTCGCAAAATCTCGCGGATCCACTCCAGCTCATGGCTTTTGATCCTTGGTATCAACCGGCCTACGCTGGTGCCCTTGATGCGTTCCAAGACCAACACATTCTTTCCCTTGAGCAACCCCGCAAAATACAAACGTGGCGGAGGCATATGCTGCGCGACCAATGGCGCATAGCGATGAATCAACGCGCGTACATTGACCTCCCGGGAATCATCACGCTCATATTTCCACTCCAGGGGATCCTCTTTGTCACCTATCCGCCGATGGTTACTCTTGATGATCAGGCCTCCCAATGCAAATATATCTCGACTCGCGTTCCCACGCCCATCACGGATCTTGTACATATCGTCCTGGCCGCGCATGACGTTGTCATCGTACTGTTCCCATCCTGCATGCGTGAAGCGCGACTTGCTCATCCATGCCGGATCCGGCTGCTGCTGCCCAATATCCACCATGGACAAGAGCCTTTCCCAGAACTCCGCAACTTCGGCTGGTGGTGTCATTCCCGGTCTGGCCCAGATCATCGTCGTTGGGATGTCCTCGCCGCGTGTGCCCTGCCAAGCGTTCCCGTCCCATACGCCATCTGAAGCGTGCATCTCTGGTCGCACTAAACAGCGGCGGTACACAGGGCAATGCGTGTTTTGCGGTATTGGCGGTTGGTAACCGCAGAGGCCGCCACTGAGGGGAAGTGGACTCGGTAATAAACTGGATGCAATGTGCTGGGGATTTGCTGTAAAGAGCTCTTCATCGGCGAGCATGTCCTGCGGACCAAGTACATCGTCTTCATAGATCAAATCGGCAGAGCGAAGTGGTGACTGAGGCGGCGAAGGGCGTTTCGTCGACAAGGGGGACGGTGGAACGAAAAGCGATCCCTTATCCGGCGGTTCTGTGTCAATGGGATCTGGAGGGCGGATCTTAGGCTCTTGCGGAATAGGCATAAGCGTCGGCAGTTCGCTATCGTTCACTGGACTGAATGGACTCTCACATGACATGGCAGGTGGAAATGCTCGGACTATCATTGTGCGCTGTGTAGGAGGCTGGGAGCCATGAACGAGGCGATTCTGCCTCATATACTCGTCGGACACGTCGGCCCATGGAGACGCAGGGACCAAGTCGCGATGGATTGTGGTGAATTCAGGTGTTATGACTGATGGGCTCTGTTCACTTCGAGGTCACCTGGATGGACGTAGCTTGCGATATATGGAACAGGCTACGTGGGTTGAAAACTGAATACACGACATCGCACGACAGTGAAAGGAGACGCAAGAGCATTGAGGCGTGTGAATCTAGGTCGGCTGGTGTTAAAAATGTGTTTGCTCACGGAAGCTGCAACCGGTGCTGCCTTGCCATCCCTTGGCTGGCTGTTGACCTCGTGTAACCACCGTCCTCACTGCTCAGGGCACACAAAGAATGATATCTAAGTGAGATACTGTCGGATTCCACCTCAAAACACTCGATTCGAGAAATGCAGCAAAACCCCGCTTATCGAGACCTTCGACGCTTAGACGACTGTGAATCCAGACGAGCAACCGCCTCTGACCAATCATCTATCCGATGGTCACCTTCTGTCGCACAGTCTCAACTCAAGTGAATATAAAATCCTTGGACACCATACCCAACTGGACCCACGGCCCACAATGAACGTAGTCGTGCCCACGCCTCCACGCATAATTCCCGCGGGGCAAATTGCAGCTTCGACGACCTTGTTAGCGTATTTCCCTCTTTGAACGCAGCAGGCCAGTCAGAGCGCGTTGCTATTGTCAAGGGTTGCTTGAGTCGGGACGCGATTGGGTGCATTGACCGTTTGGGCTGAATGGGGTTAGGGTGTCGTGTGCTGCAAAGGTGAACAGGACCCTCGCGGCAGTGAGACAGTAATGATATTGTATGACGCCGTCTCTAGGATTGGTAGTGTATGGCGAGGGAGGATGTGCATCCATCTTGAAAGATATCACACTTTAGGATAGGGGTTCTGTAAATAGAATTAGCATGTACTGGAAGCATATTAGATTCACAAAGTCTGGTATACAATTGGAAACGCCGTACCGTAAGATTCAGTTGCTTCGCGCCGTTCTGACCCCTATAAACTCTCTGTATTCTGCTCGAGCATACGGCTCTAGTCGTCCAGGGGCTACGTCCTCATATACCATGTGTCGTTTCACGTTCACAACATCTAATACGTAGGTAGTAGTATGCTGAGAACTAACAGCGGGTATCAATTGAACTTTTGATTTCCTCTCTTTATATATCTAGTCCTCGTCCATACTCTCCCACCCGTCCTGCGCTCCTTCATCTTCCTCATCACTCCCGCTCTCGCTATCACTATCGCTCTCCGCAACACCGACCATCCGCTCCTTGACCTCGACGCCTTCCTTCAACGGCGCAACCCTGCTCGCGAACGCACGTCTCACCCCAGCATTCGTACTTGTATCCCAGATCTGCACCGCCCCCTGACTCCCCGCCACAGCAAGCCGAAACCCAACCTCCGCATCCGGCGCAAAGCTCGTTGCAAACACCTTGCCCACGCCGACGTCGCGGCTGACAACCATGCTCGGTCCCGTCTCCGGATGCACGTTCCACAGCTTAACTGTCTTGTCCGCCGAGCCCGTGGCCAGGAACCCTGGGATCACGGGGTTGACATCGAACGAGGCAACGGCGTCCTCGTGGGCTTGTAGAGTCCAGAGGGGTTTTGACTTCGCGGGTGTGCTGGGCGCGACGCGGGCATCGAAGTAGTGCACCATGCCGGACTCGGTGGTGACGTAAAATGTGTGCTCGGCGTGCGGGTCCCATTTCACTGTCTCGACATCGGATTCCACGCCCCAGCGCGGGGGTGTGGCGGTCGGGGCGCGCATGTCCGAGGCGACGACAGTGCGATCGTAGGAGCCGGAGAGGAGGACTGTTGGGGTATTGGGGTTCCAGGCGAGGGTGCATACTTTGTCGGTGTGGTGGGTGTAGGAGTGGGCGCAGGTGGTGGTGGAGAGGTCCCAGAGCTTGAGGGTGGTGTCGGCGGAGGACGAGGCGAGGAGGTTGCGGTGAGAGCGGTTGGCAGCGAGGGAGAGGACGGCGTCGACGTGGTGTGTGTCGTTTGGCTTTTTGGACTTCTTCTTTTTCTTCTTGGGTGTCGTACTGTTCTTCGTGTTGCTGCTGTTGCCCTCGCCAAGAATGGCATTCGGATACATGCAGTCGATAGTGTCGAGGTCCCACAGCTCGATGTCCGGATCCATCGTGCCAATAGCGACATAGTTACCTTTGGCGTTCTCAACACTTGATGCCCCTTTACCAACCGGGACGTCTAGCCACTCCACAGCCAGCGGTATAGCGGGCAGCATGATATCGTGGTGGACGTAAAGGTTGTCGGCTTCATCTTCATAGACATAGACTTCCAGATGAGCAACTTCGTCGTCTATTCGCGCGGCAAGGACCAGATTGTCTGTTGCCAAAATCTGCAGCTCTTCCCGATCTTCGTCATCTTCAGGGTCATCTTTCAGCGTAATGTAGGGATCGTCGGCGTTGGACTCGTGGTAGACTAGCTTTTTTATGTTGCCAAACATACCCATGGTGTCGCCGTCTCCTTCTCGATCCTCCTCGTCGTCATCGTAGTGTTCGAGATCGTATTCTTTCAGATCGTCATCGAGATCTCTATCAGCATGTCAGTGATACTATTACTACAATATGTGGTCCACGGGTGGCTCAGCATACTCGTCCTTCTCTGATGCGCCATTCGATTTGTCGCCCTTGCTCTTCTTTTTGCTCTTTGGCTTCTCCTCTGTATCCATTTGCTCTTCACTCGCCTCCAAATTCTGTTCCTCTGCTTCTGCCAAATCCTCTTTGGCATCATCTAGCTGTAATTTTGCCATTTCTGCAATGCGATTATATTCCTCCTCGTCGAATTCATATTTGTTGGGGAAGGGCGCCGCATGTCCGCGCGGCACCCACGTTGTTGCTGTAATCATAGACATGGAGGTACACGTCTAAACTAATTATTGCGCAAGTCGGAATATATTTTTGACCATCCATAAACTTTTTCACTAATTGACGTAGATTCCTCTAGCGCACCCGCTCGGGCCACCTCGAAATCACAAGCCAGCCTTGGCAACGCTGGGCGCGATCCACTTTACTTGCCGTTCGCGTTCACACTTCATTCAAACCTATCTCATCATTTCACGTCATATCAAAACCTTCCTGCTGAGTGGTCATACGGACGACCAAAGACCAAGATGGCTCCTCTGAAGCTAAAGCTCAATACGTCGGGCACGACTCCTACAGGTGCAGGCTCACCTGGAAGCGTCGCGCAGACACCAGGCAGTGCACCACTCAAGATCACCTTCAAACAGCCAGGGGCGCCGGCCTCAGCAACAGCTGCCTCGGCAGGTAACACCGCTCTGACAGACTCTGTAGCTCCAAAGCAAAAGAGAAAGTATACAAAACGAACAAAAGACACGGACGGTACGCCTACGGCAAAGTCGAAGAAACGTGCTCACGATGGCGACGAGGCCGCAAATCCAAAGCGGGCGAAGACTAAAGGACCGAGCATAATTATACCACCCTCACCAGCTACCGGTGTTGGGCCGGGCACACTTTCACGGACACCCTCAATATCACTCAAATTAAAGCCCAAGCGGCAAGAGACACAACCAAAAATGTTGGTCATTAAAGCCAAGGGACAAAAACCGGAGAGGCCTCTTGGAGTGGGCTATGACAGTGAAGCTGAAGATGCGGAAGATGATCCTGCGATCGAGTCACAACTCATCTTGCGTATGGAGCCTGGAAAGGACTGCGATCTCTTGCGCAAGGCGATAGAGGAAAGGACAATTGGAGAAGGCTTTCATGTGGCGTTCAAATTCTGGGATAAGGAAGGGAGACGTGTGAGCGTGCGGATAAGAAACAACTACTACGCTGCTATCCTCGTAGACCTACCGTGTATCATCGAAGGCACAAAAAGCTGGGACAAAAAAGGCTGGTACAAAAGTGCTGATATCAGTCAAATGCTCTTAGTCCTCGGACCCGCAAAAGACGACAAAGAAGTTCAAAACTACAAATTACCCCCGGAGATTCAAAGGGTCTACGACTCAGATACTCAAGGTCTATACCAGTATCCCCATGGCCTCACACCTCCGATGCATTACGTCCGTAAAAGGCGCTTTCGCAAGCGTGTGAGTTACCGCACCATTGTAGCCGTCGAAGAGGAAGTCGAGCGACTCATTCAGGCAGATGAGGCCGCACGTGCCAGTGGCGGCACAACCGACTATGAGTCAATTGACCCCGATGAAAAAGCCCAGGATTCCGGTCCCGACGCCGACGAAGATGCCAACGGCGACATGGACATGGAAGCTGATGAAGAGATGGGTGGTGAAGCTTATGGAGAGGTTGTTGGAATGGCTGATGTTGACGCGGAAGCGGATGACGATGACGACGATATGATGGAGCAGATGATGAACGAACTGGGCAACGACGACGACCAAGAAGAGCCAATCACGGCCGTATCGGCGAATGAAGCTGCATTGCACGCACTGGGCGACTCATCTAACATCGCTCTTCCGACAACTGAAACTCCTGGCGACTCCGCAGGTACCCCTGGTGGCACCGATGGGACCGACCAAGATGACGACGATGACGACGACGATGATGATGACGGAGCCGCTGAGAATGAAGAGGTGGATGAAGATGAACTGGCGAGGCAGCAAGAACAGGCTCAGCTCATGGAGGAAGTCGCCGATTTGGAGAAGGAAGTCGAGATTGCCAACAGCCAGCATGAGCAACAGAAGAATCCTTTGCTCAGGAAGAGGGCTGCTCAGAAACTCTTGAGCTTGAAACAGGATCTAGCTGTGAAGAAGAAAGCGTTGAGAGGCACAAGCGAAGACGAGTGATCTTTAACGGAAGTAAGACCAAAAGCTCGCGAGGGTCAAGATGCTTGAGAGGGCTGTTTAAATGGAGATAATATTTCAATGCAAAGATTGCATAGAGTTAGAGAGATATTGTACCGCCAGTGAGCGGCTATTGTTGCAATTCCTTTGCATCTTGCTGTCCCGTCACTCACTTCGTCGCTGTTTCTGATATGATTTTACATTTTGACAAGCATTCGCACTATGCTCACAACTTCTCAGTACAGGTCCCTGGCTCGCCCACCACGTTCAAAAACGCTTGATGAACATGCTCCGTCAAGTCTCCAGCCTGTAGACTTCTCCCCTTCTCTTTGAAAGCCAGCCGCGAGCACTCCCGCGTAATCGCGCTTCCCCCGTACGCCGCCAGCGCCAACGTCTCCAATCTCTCCATCTCTCCACCATTGTCCCACAGTCCTTCATGATAAGCACTCCGGTATGCAAGTAACGTCGCAAGACTCCCTGTCAAAGTATCACCCTGTCCCCCACTCCTCTTCGCCCCACCCTCGCCATCCGACACCAACGTATGCTCACCGTTCGATATCGTATCCACAGCCCCCTTCTGAATGATCGTCACGCCGCCATACGCCTTCGCCAGCGCCGCACACAGCGTCGTCGGATCACCCTTCATATCCACACCCATCTTCTTCGCTAGCCGCCCAAACTCCACCACGTTCGGCGTCAGGATACAGTCCTTGTACCCATGCACCAGCTCCGGCCGCTCCGTCGCTAGCATTAGTCCGTCGGCGTCCAACACAAACGGAATCGACGCCGCCCGCGCTGCTTCGATGACGCGCGCGCATGTGTCTTGCATCAGCGCGTCGCGGCCCAGGCCTGGGCCTATAACAAGCACATGCAGGCGTGGTAGCATGGCGGTTATGCTCGAGGCGACCGTGTCGAGGGTTTCGGTGGATGATGCGTTTTTCGACTGGCGCATGTAGGGGTGCACCATGAGGTTTGGGGAGTAGCTTTTGATGACGGCGCCCGAGGCTGGCTCGCATATGACGTGTGACTGGGACTGTTGTTAGCATGGGAGGTCTAGTAGGATCTGATCTTGTGTAATTGCGGTCGCTAAGGGATGGATGGATTTACCATGTCGCAGCCGAGCTTTGCGGAGGCCATGGCGGAGAAGTATGGTGCGCCGGTGTAGTCCTCGCTGCCGCCGATGACAGCGACGCGGCCTAGTTGGCCTGTGCAAACAACAAAGTGAGTACATGATCTTTGAAGTGAGTCACAGGCAGCGAAGTACCTTTATGGAAGCTCTCAAGCATAGGTGGGATCATCTTATAGACTTTGCCCAGGATTTCTTTTCTGCTTGCGTTCGCCATGATCTGAATGTTCTGTTGGATTTACGTCAATTGACTGTAGCTGGGAGCATGTATTTGCAGAATAATCTTTATTCGAACTGCCTTTTGATGTTGACGCGTGATGACTGTACCTATACTATATTAACTTATTCATTTCGTTGTCTGCGTCGGATCGACGTCATGGTGGGGCTAACGGGAACGGGGTAGGGGGAAGGAACGAGGGTTCACAGCTAGCCGGATTTAGAGTGTTTTCCAGATGAGAATGACTTTTGTTTACTACAAAAAAGTTTTTGTTCATCCTACAAATGTAGCATATATGCCCCTCACCAAATCAACCGTGGCGCAATGGAAGGATCCACCAATGCTATTTACATGTTTGAAAGGGCATGGAATACAGGTCATCCCCAGGCTTGAATAGAAGTCTATCGTCTGTTCATCGCTGGCTTCTACTATGATGCGACGTCCATCCAATACAAGAGCATTGAGTGCAAGCCAAGGACTGGTCATGAATAGAGGAGGCGCCTCGGGCTCTTGTGGAACGAAGGGAAACGGAACCAACTCCCAGTTTGCGAGGACCTTATGGGCGCGCAAGGCAGACTCCGTAACTTTCTTCGGGTTATACACTAGGAGCCCTTCGCGCAATGGTAATATCGTGGCATCGATATGCATTGCATTCGGGTCGTCTACAGCTAATATCTCTATGCTGTATCCTGACGGTATGTGCTTCTGCAGATAGTCTACTCCTGCTTGGTTTGTGACATGGCTCAATTGACCCAGGATGACCTTTCCAAAGCGCATGAAATCTGCAGCGTCGAAGGCAGGACGGCTATTGTTGATGATCCACTGCCCCTGTGTTCTAGTGTTCAGATCGTCGAGTAGAGTGTCTGCAAGAGTGTCTGCTGTTCGTCGAACGACCTGAGCGCCCTTGTCCTCCTCAGTCAGCTGCTCGAGGATGCCCCCGTACGCCATCTCGACCTCTCTTGCTCGACATGGCCAGGCGAAGCAGGCTTCAATAACCGTATTACCGATGGTGATCAAGCCATCTCGAGGCATGGCGCCCGTATATCCACCACTGGCCAACCAATCGATGTCTTCAGGAGGCCGGTAAACTCGAATGCCGGCATCCTGCAAGATATCGGCTAAGCAATCGAGTTCGACCTCGGCCTTTTCGATTATATCGGGAGGAAAGAGTGATTGTGGCTGGAAGCGGTGGATATGATCTCGAGGCATTGTCGCATCTATCATCGGCAATGGAGCAGCCGGGAAGCACGCTCGCCCGGCACGTCCAACAATAACCGACCTAAGAGGCGACCATTCATCGTCTGCGCCTACTGACGGAGTGCCCATAGACGTAACCATTGTGTCTAGTATGAAGATAGGGAACTTTCAGCTGATTGACAAATATGAAGAGTCCCTTTAAGGATAGAAAGGGTCGATGCACGCCTTTTTATTTGGCATTACGTGTCTCTATGCCACTCATTATCCTAGCGCAATGCATTGTATGTCGCGGACAATGACAATGCATGTTGCGTCGTCGGCAACGACCTTGCATATTGCGTGGTAGACAATGCATCAAGATGCGGACTAATCGCTTGGCAGATTGTGACGATCCACTTACACGGAGCACAGCACAGGGCTATAAGAGCCGTATAGCCGTCCAACTTACAAGAGCACATCTACTAGTGTGTATGGGCTAGTGTTAGAGGAACAAATGTATGGGATAGTCTTCCAAGCAAGAAGGAACTTCCTGACTTGATGTCAGAGACAAGGACGTGTTGCACTGCATAGGGATGAGCAAAGGAGCTGGCCTCAGTAATCCTCGTGTTGCTTGTGGGCTTGTGAGCTTATGGATTAAGTGGTCTGTCTAGTAATGATTGACACTGCTCGACGTCTTACCATGATCGAATGCTGTATAATACCATTACTCTCTATTCAACGCCCCAATTTACATTCTAATCTAGGATAGTAGAACATTCGATCCTAATCTAATCAGATACAGCTGGAAGTGTTCTTGTCACACCTACTTCCTCAAGCTCTACTAAAGGTCCACTATCCAACCTTCATGCAGCCTCGTTTGCTTCCATTGATCGTATAGAACAGTATCCCTAGACAGAATACCTGAGCAGTTTTACTATGAAAAACGGAATTTTAACTTTCGCAGACCCCTATGTTGCCAAGACCAACTCCAATGAATATCCTTGTTCTCAGTCACCAGGGAACAGGAATAACGTTTATGTATCTCTGGAAGCCCTTGGCCCGATACGTAGACGCAGTCTGTATAGTCTTCCGAGTACTATGCATGCGTTGCCCACACCACTTCAACGCAACATTGAAGAACAAGAACAGTGAGCACTTCTAGTGCTGGTCGGAGCCGGCCCGGATCATGTATGAGTACGCTACAACGCAGCAGGCCATCTGCACGCCTCTCGAGACGCTCCTTTAGAAACCCACCACGTACATCCTGCACCGAGCATGGCATACGACTTGACCATTCGTGCATTATACGACTTGACTGCATAGACCCTAAGCGACGACCCCTGCTGCCTCTTTACCGAAGAGCTGTTCGCTGCATACCCGAATCGCCAACATCGTCCTCACGCAGCGGAGTTCGCCCGACACCTGGCTCTATGTCTTCCTTCACGCGGCTTCATCCTGGAGATCCTGACGGGGCGAAGCGCGTATTTAGTTTTTTTGGCCGTTCGATGCCGTGTTCAGGCGGTCGTATATTGCTTTGCAGCGCGACATGATCGTTCTGGTAGGTGTGAAAGGCCGGTCATCAGGTGTCGGGCAGCGTGAGGTTGTGCGCTCTCAAGACGAGAATTCGGCTAATGAGTTGGGGGGGACGCCGCAGAGAGTGATTAGAGAAGTGTTGGTGTTTGATCCTCCCTTGAGCTGGGAGTCGTTGTGTGGGATTTTGGAAGTGCTCCTGCCTAACGGGGTGTTCGCGCATCTGAACTCGACAAGGGAGGCGTTGACTAGGTTTGAAACGAGACCGTTGTTGGAACGATTGAGACGTGCTGCAGTGGACATGATACGAAAAGCTGATATTCTTGTGCTGGTCTGAATTGCGGCCATTTAGGGCATGAAGAAGCGCGAGATCTAATGCATCGTCCAGTGTTTACGACGGATCTGTTTTATCATCGATGGGTAACACCATAAGGTGGTCCATATAATGGGAAGGATGGTAGGGGATGTTTCCAAGTAAAGAATCATGGGACGGACGACCATGTCGTATAATACAATTCATTCCCACTGGTACATTTATTCTTCACTCATGCCATACCGAAACGCTATGTCACTCAGCTTCGCTTGACGCCATATCCATTCTCATCGCGTAAAGAACCGACTGACCATTCCACCTGCGATATTTCTTGCTAGACCACCGGAGTACAACGCACTAGATGCATAATTGGTGGCCTGGCTGAACTTGTCGCATCGCGAAAATGCCAAAGTGTTCGTGATCGTTAGCACCAGCGCGATAACTGTATCTTGTAAGCTGGCTGTGTAGCAATGCAACAGCCCGATCCTGTCTCGGCGCATTCTCGCACGGCACTTCAGGTATGTCACTCACCAACAAGCGTTAACCAAATAGGTTCCAAGTACACAATGGCTACAAACGCCAGCACCACCCACAGGAACGGCTGTGCGTACAACGCAAGCCAGAAGAACCGCCTATCCGTCGCATTTATGACTCGTGTACTAGGATCTGCGGATTCGAAGACCCATGATGAATCACCCGAGGACGTGTCAACTTCATTCCACCATCTCAGGCCAACGAGCCGGCGTCCGGCGATGTTCTTGCTGTAGTAGAAGTCCATGGCGAGGAGTATGATCGTAATTATGAAGATGAGGACATAATTGCCAGTGAAGAGGCCGCCGAGGAGGTAGACGAGGAGAGATGCTATGCTTTGTTAGTACGACGTGCGAGTTGGGGTGTAAGTGGCGCACAGATTCTGAAGCCGAGGAAGCATAGCAGCGTGATAGGATGGCTGCTGAGACGCCAGCTGAGAATGCCTTCGGGCTGTGGGTTCTCCATTCTCGAGGCGATGAAGGTCTTGTTGAAGTCGGCACTACGAAGCTCTTAGCAGTGCTAAGAACACGATGCTTGAGAGACGTTAGAAAGGGAGCTAATACTTACTAGGATATAAATGATAAGGAGCTTTAAAGGAGCAGGCTTTTGTGACGGAACCAAACACACTAACCTCGGGCAACAATAACCGAGCTCGCCCTTCTCACTCACAAGAACTATCTCCTTGATACGGGATATTCTCCAATTAGACCTATGTAGACAATCGAGATCACCACCCAGAGACATTTGATCAAGATGGCAGCACCAATCATTCGCCGGGCATTTCTATACGGTAGCTTTCCTTAAATGACGTTGCTAGTACAACAGCTAATGGAGATAAAGTCCCTGGATCTTCTAGAAAGATGTTAGACAAGTCAAGAGGCTTAAATGTCGACTGTATAGCTTACGACCTCGAAGACTCTGTCACTCCAGGCAAGAAAGCTGAAGCGCGTAGCAATCTCCGTCAATTGATGGAGCAGCCCCGTGCTCAGGGCATCCGGGAGCAAGCTGTTCGCATCAATGCTGTTGATACAGGTCTCGCGTTGGATGATCTACAGGAAGTGGTGTGTTCTAGCCGTTAAAATCACTGGACCGAGTAGCGGCTAACACAAACCCAGCTCAAAGCCCCAAATATTGATGCCATCGTCGTACCCAAGGTAAACTCTGCAGCAGACCTACACTTTGTCACCGATGTACTACGGCATACCCTCCCCTCACGACATCCCTCATCAAGTAACATATCGGCCAAATCTGACAAGCCGCCTCTATCCATAGTCGCCCTGATCGAATCTGCAAAAGCCGTCATGGACCTCGACTCTATCTGTAAAGCTAGCCCCTATCTCTCTGGTCTCGTTTTTGCGGCTGAAGACTTCGCGACTGATCTGTCAATCACACGCACACCATCACTCTCGGAGTTTCTCTATGCCCGTAGTGCAATTGTCACGGCTGCTCGAGCGCATAGTCTACCTAGCACGATTGACCTGGTATGCACCAGCTTCAAGGGCGAAGAGGGCCTCAGAACGCTCGAGGAGGAATGCCTGGGTGGAAAGGGAATGGGCTTCAATGGCAAGCAATTGATTCATCCGGGTCAGGTAGAGACAGCTCAGAGGGCATTCTCGCCTGGGGAGAAGGAGGTTGAATGGGCGGTACGGATACTGATCGCAGATCAAAAGGCTGATGCGCAAGGTAGGGGTGCTTGGACTTTGGATGGTAAGATGATCGATGTCCCGGTGGTTGGCAAGGCCAAATCTATTGTTAAGAAAGCAGAGCTGTGCGGTATTGATGTTGCAGGCTTGAAGGAGAAACACAAGGACCAAGAACCGGAGTAGAACAGCGGATGAACACTGTTATACTTTCAAGCAGTCTGGGCATCAATGGTTCACTATAACTGGCATCTGGGCAGGACTCACGAGGGCTCAAATTGTATGATATAGGTGCCACTATATGTTCACAACAGTCCGGTATGTTGACATGCGCTAACTCCACATGTCATTATCCTAATCTTGTATTTGATGACCACTGCCACAATTGAGAGATGACATCAAGTCCGCCGGGGATTTTCAGACATACGCTAACTACTTTAGGCATACCGATCACTCTTAAACTTCATTGGGGGCGACCTTTAGCTCGATGATTCATATTCCCTCATCTTTCAAAAACCACTAGCGACAAGGTAACATGTATTTTTGGAGATAGGCTCCTTAAAAGTCCAGGCATATAAAGGGGACGTCTAGACATCCAAGTCCAAGTCATCATCCCATTCGATCCTATTCACACGGATTCACCCACCATGTTAATCCTCATCGCCGGCATCACAGGCAACATCGGCCAGCACGCCGCCTCATACGGTCTTGCCCAAGGCCACCGCATCCGTGGCCTATCACGTTCGCCCGCCAAACTTTCCCCAACGATCCACTCTCAACTCGAGTCCTTCGTCACCAGCACCAGCTACCACGACATTGCAGCCCTCGAGACAGCTGTTGCTGGCGTCGACGCTATCATCTGCGCCTACGCCGGCATGCCGGAGTTGCACCTTGACGGCCAACTGCTGCTCCTGCGCGCTGCCGAACGCGCCGGCGTGACGCGCTTCCTTACTGCTAGCTGGAACTACGACTGGCGCAAGATCCGCTTCGGCGAGGACGAGCCAGTATATGATGCGGCGATTGCGTTCCACAAGTGTGCGGAGATTACCTCGTCGATTCGGCCGCTGTATATTCTGAGCGGGATGCTGGCAGAGGTGTTCTTTGGCACGGAGGGACAGACGGGATTCACGACGGAGTTCGAAGGGGGTGTAATTGGTTGGGAGGATGGGAGGAGGGTCATGAATGTTTGGGGCACAGGGGACGAGGATTGGTTTTTCACCACAGAGGAGGATGCAGGGAAGTGGGGAGTGGAGGTTGTTACAGGGCCGAGGGCAGAGGAAGGCGGGTTTGTGAGCGTGTGTTCTTGGGTCTCAAGTTTGAATGAGTTGGTGGAGAGGTATCAGAAGGTCAGGAATATCGAGGTCGTCGTGAGGAAGAAGGGGTCTGTGGCGGAGTTGGAAGCATTGGCGGAAAAGAAGAAGGAAATTGGTGGGAGAAGAGGATTCTGGGATTGGCATCGACTGTGGTTTCATCTCTTCTGTGTGAAGGGAATATGGAATCTGACGAGTCTACAAAATGACCAGTTCAATGTCCGGCCTAAGACGATGGAGGGGTTCCTAAAGGAGCATTCTAGTATCTAAAGGACTAAGACATAATTACCTAAAAAAGCTAGTGTATGTACCTGCATCTCAGGATGATATCTAAAACGCGACGAGAGAACTAACAAGAGATAGGACAAAGCAAAAAAGTAGATATTGTGTTCACAATGGTAAAGACTAGAGTGCCGAAGGCCTGATGTCGTCGTGTCTATAAGCTCACACAAACAAGAACTCATGCAGATCCCGTTTCTGAAATGGAATTCCACATCTTTTAGCACAAGACTGCACAACAGACACGGCCTGGTTATTGGCAGTCGCTCGAAGTTGGTCGACGTCAGCAGAGCTGAGGTAGTTTGTCTGATAGCCAGTGGCGGAGAGGTCCACTTCTGAAGGATAAACAGAAAAGAAAGATCGCGCAACTTCTGCACGACCCGGATCAGAGCTATCAAACGCAGCAACAAAGACCGCAGGCTCGCAGTTGGGGTTGAATTGCCAGTGAGTGAGGCCTTTGGGAAACAGAAAGCCAGTGTAGTTCGTGAGAGTGGCATTGACCTGAGGAATGGGACCTAGCACGTTTGGCTCACCGCCAACGACGTTGCCGTAGCCATTATCTTGTTCGAGCTCTAGGCCCGCAATGAGAGTGCCTTGAGTGACAACGAGGAACTCGTTCGCGCGAGGATGTATGTGCCTGAAAATATAGACTTGAGAATGGTGGTAAAAGGTACTTTCATTTGGAGACTTACGGGGTATTAAGGCCACAAGGATTGACAAACCCGATGCCAATGGAAACGTCAGTGCTATAAAGCGCAGGAAAACTTTCGACAGTTCCAAGAAAAACAGTACCGCCGGTCGGGGCTTTGACAGTATTGTTTATGAACTGTCACCTCCTGTTAGTTCATAAAAGCAATATATGCGATCAATCATACCTGATATGTATTGTTGGTTGCATCAGGGGCATTGGGGAACAGAAGATTGAGGCGGTTCTGTTCAGAACCAGCCAGAATCAAGCCCTGTCGCTGGGCTTGCAGTTGAGCAGCTGACAGAGTGTTTACTGTCTTAGGGTTTACTGCTCGTTCGAGGATATCATGGGCATCGACAGGTGATTGAACTGCTGCTGCTGCACTTACAGCTGCTAGAGCAATGATAGAAAATAGGGCTTGAGCCATCTTTTTGACTAGAAAAGCGTATGCACGGAAAGTCAAATCCAAAGACTGCTCGGATGAAGAACCTCTGATATCGACCACGGAGCGATGGTCTTTATAGTGGTTTCCACTGTGGTGATATTTCACTCAAATGAGCCTAGATCCGCCACTCTTGAAGCATAGGCTGATGTGGCAAGAGCTGAATATGTGATGCACTTCGGCTATCGGCAACTCTACAAAGCATATAGGGCTTTGACTTTGTATGATAGGCATCCATGGCTTGAAATGATCAATAGCCATGAGTCTTTGTAAGTGCGCCTCAGACATTAAGTCATCTACTTAGACCACGATGTTTAGGGCCTGTTATTTTTGTCGTCCCCTATACGGTATAGCGGAGGCATCCGCTGACCTACTTGTGCCTCACTTGTCGCCATTGCATCTGACTAGAGGAGCGCGACCGTCGAAGGGGCGTCGTTCATTATCACTGACAGCCAGCCGATACAAGGTCAGCATGAGCTAGACTGTTCGAATTCACAGCCGCACAGCCTCTGTTCCATACTATAGGTTTATCTTGGTCTCAATAGGCCGATCTGGAGAGAAAACATCCTCACCAACTCACACTGAGCTATGGAGTCGATTTGCCGCAGTGCGAACGCATGTCGACGTTGGTGATGTCGTTGTCGGAAACCGCGTATCAAGAAGTAAGTACAACGTACGGGTTCGATTCAGCCTCTATGTTGTCGTCGTCGTTGCCAAGTCTACATAGAGGGTACACGGACCCTACATGTAAGCAGTGTTTGTCAGCTGGAGACGAAGTTAGTGTTAGCATATCACGCTAAGAGAGTCCGCAATCTCGTTTCTTCTTTGCTTATTTACCTGAGGTAGTAATCTGAGCGACTGAGTTGGAAAAGATGTTTGTTTGTTCCAACAAGGACCGTTAGCGCGTACTATTTTAGCGGTTTTGCCTGAGGCAGGAATACGTCATGATTTCACTCACGCTTCTTCAGTATCATTTCCTCCGAACTCTCATTGTTGATTATGGTCCCATCTATCATACATCATATATTGCACTCCCTTCAATCAAGCGTCGTGCTACATTATCATCTGGTCGCCATGCTCGTTGGACATTATGAAGCTTCAAGCGTTGCTGAGAAACCAGAGGTCCAGCTTACCTGTCTCCAGTGCCAACAGCGCAAAAGAAAATGCGACAAGATGACCCCATGCCAAACATGCGTCCGATCTGGCACACAGTGTACCCCTGTTTCACGTACTCGACTTCCTAGAGGTCGACATGCCCTTCAGCGAGACGGAAAGGACTTGCGACAACGAGTTGCGAGACTCGAGAAGCTGCTCATGGACCAAAAAGACATTACTCACCAGTCACACCCAACGCCGCCTTCAGACAGTGATGACACAGCCAGCACCGAGCGTGCACAGTCCGTGATCGATGCCAAAGCCGAAATCGCCGGGATCAAGGATATACTCCATGATCTCACGGTCGATGAACCTGATGATCCAGTCCAGAACGCGCCGGATTTATATCAGCAGCATAGTTTTGATTTATTACTTTACGGAGACACATCGTGTTTTGTTCAGCCAGATATCTTAAATCGACCGCTTGTAGATATGGCCTCAGCCTTGCTCGACATCTATTATCATCGTGTTCACCCCATTTTCAAACCTACTCACCGAGACGAAATATACAATGTTGTGCTCAATCCTCATGCGTCAAAAGGCACAACATCACCACGTAGTGAGGCATTGGCTTTCGCTGTGATGTACACCAGTGTGAGTAGTATCGATGACGAAGAATGTTTTGTATGGTTCAAGGAGGACAAGTTAGTACTCCGTAGGCGATACCGTCTGGCGACCGAGGTATACCTCTCCCGGGCTGGACTGCTTGCCACAACCGACCTCATGGTTTTACAAGCGTACATCATTTATCTTGTGAGTCTCCCTCTCTGTATGTAGAAATGAAAGCACTGACCTATATCAGGTGGGATACCAGATCGAGTGTGGATTAAGAAAAGCACACTCTCTTCTCGCAATCGCAGTGCGAATCGGACAAGCACTCGCTTTGGATACGGACGAAGGCGATGCTCATCGTATGCCTTACGAGAATGAAATGAGACGTCGATTATGGTACTCTATAGGAATTTTGGACCTTCGAGCTGCTTTCGGACTTGGGTTACACTCGGCTCTCGGCGGCGGAGCACTTTTCATATCGCCACCGTTGCACATCAACGATTGGGATATTTCTCCGCAGGACCACATACCACCTGAGCCGAGACGTTCCTTCAGCGATATGACGTACTGCTGCGCAACCTACGAGATGCTCATTCATATGCGAAAGGTTCTGCACGTACCCAAAGATGTCGATGGACGGCCTGTCGTTCAACGAGACTGGCAGTATCGGTCTGCCATACCAGGAGAATGCGCTGCCGCCCTCACAGAAAAGTGTTCTCAATTTTGCGACCCCAATCATGCATTTCAATTGCTTACCAAGAATGCCTGCGCCGGCATGAGCATAACCTTACAACTCATCGCTCGTCGTCCAATGCATCGTATCAAGGGGATGGTGCCTCCCCCTGATGATGATTTTGACATTTTGGAAGTGGCCAGGCTCATACTTGAAAGTAATCTTCTAAAAGCTGACGATGCGCGTTTTAAGCCATGGGCGTGGTTTGCGTGGCCAAAATGGTACGCTCTGGCCGTTCTCCTTGCCGAGCTCTGCCAACCTAGGACTAACTCTGGAATCGAACGAGCTTGGGACGTTGCTGAGAGAAGTTTTGATCTGTTAGGGGCCTCTGATCAAGACGAAATCCTTTGGGATGCAATGAAGAAGCTCATGCGCAAGGCTAGAGTGGTCAGAGATGCATCAAACGCTCAGGAATCACACGCTGAGACCACGGCGTCCCCGACAGCCAACAAGGAATTGCAAAGCACGATAACAGAGCAGCGATACTCTCATGGCGATCTCACGAAGCTGGAAGATGGTATATTCGATAACGCCAGTGTCCAGCCAATATCGTCGGAAGATCTGGAAATGCTATGCTACATTGATTGGGAATCTTTCTTGGGAGACTTAAGATGATTCTAATGTTTTACAGCTGAGTAACACCAGGTTGTATATGCTCCAGGATGGTTTTCAATTCCGCCCATACTTTGATGCCCACCTTGGGTGCCTCGTCAGTTCTCATCCAAGTCGAGACTGGCTTGACCCGACATTCGCTGATATACTTCCCATGGAAATCTTCATCAGTGACTGCGGCATGTACGAGCGCGCGAGATCCTTCTTCTGCTGATCTTCCAATCAGGCGCAATCCGATCCTGCCTCCAAGCCCGCCATTATTGGTCCGAAAGAGCTCTGTCCTGCACCATCCTGGATTTGGAAAACAAATTACCGGGGTGTCCTGGCCATATTTTATCGATGCCTCTTTCGCAAGCTGCTGCAGACTCAACAAAGAGATGAGTTTGCTAAGGTTGTAACGATCACCCATATCGGCCTTCTGATCGTTATTGAGAGACGCAAACACTTGTCCAGGTTGAGGTAGCACAAGGTACTCGTGCTTTGCAAAGATATGGACAACGGTTCCAACGATGACCAGTCGTGATGGTCTCCCATTCAGCTTGGATGATTCGTAAAGCTTCGGTAGGGCTAGGAACGCGACCAAATATGTTGAGATTACATTGATCGTAATGCACGACTCGTATCCCTGGTCCAACTCAAAATGGTTTCTGTCCACACCAGCATTGGCGATGAAAGCATCAAGACAAGGCAAAGTCTTGAGTCGCTCTCCAAAAGCCAATATAGATGCGTTGTCTGACATATCGAGCGGCCAGACCTCGACCTTGCCAGGAGTCGACCTTCTCGAGCTCGCTATAACATCGTTCTTTGCCTTCTCACCTTTCCTTTCGGATCGGCAAGCAAGAATGAGGTACGAAACGTTCAAGCTGTACCTATAAATGGTTCATGTAAGTATTGCAATAGGAAGTCGTGGAGGTATTGGCTCATACAGATGCTTTGCGGCTTCGAATCCAAGACCAGTGTTCGCGCCAGTTATCACGATAGTTTGACCAGTGAGATCTACTGAGGGAACAAAGGGTGATTGGAAGATTTGCCCAATGTTCATCTGAACTATATCACCTCCGAGTCCCATGATGGCTACTTTGGTAAGTGATTGATTGAAATGGTAGTAACTGTGAAACTCAATGCTGAGTTTGTTTGATCATAGAATTCTACGATGCGATTCGAACCTTTACTTATACATTTCAAGTCTACAATGTTCATAACCATGAGTATGCGCTAATTGCCGTAAACGGCTAGTGTATATACCCTCCACCACCGCAGAGCCCGCTACTAATGTGAATAGGGGTTAGCCAACACTCTTGAGTGGCGTAGTTAAAATCCAAACTCCGCTCTCCACTACGGTATTTATCACCACAGCGGTATAATGCAAGCATATATCATCTGCCATCTGATTTTGACTTGTCCAGTATCCAACCGGGCCCCGATACGTCCCGCAGCTTACGCCTCATTCGCGATAGTATCATATATGCATCATGATGCGCACTTCCTTGCCTAAATGACGGGTGGGGAATCATTGGAACGGTAGTATTACATTCCACGTGGCTACGCTCGAGTAAGACGACACGAACGGACGATGGATAGTGCCTTAGCAGTAGCAAGATATTCAAAGTGTTTGAGTACCTAGATCTAGAGGGAAAGCAGAAGCTTTTCACCGCTTGCCTTTACAACCTCATCTAAGACGTCCGGCAAGGTCTCTAATCCATGACCTACGTTGCGGACTGGAAGTGGTGTCCTATAGATACCGCCTTCCACGAGCTTCGTCAACGATGCAATAATCTCATTACCACCTTCTACGCCCATCATCGTCCAGGCATTAGCCTCAAGCAGTGTCACATCCTCTGGCACAGGGACAGGTACTCCTGTCACAACCGCGACGTACCTCTTTGGTCCAGCGTCGTAAAAGACATTACAGATGTCAGTCTGGGAAGCACCTGCTGACACGCAGTCAAGTATCATATCAACTCCAGCGCCATTTGGCGATTCACGTCTGATGTCAGTGATGACCGCAGGCGACTTATAATCGACCACAGACGTCGCGCCCAAACCTTTGAGCCTGGCTGAGTGTTTACTAGAGCTCGTTACAACTATAGGTAGGTCCGGACAAGCCTTGCGTAGCAGCTGTATTGCGGACGCGCCTGTTGCTGAGCTTCCGCCAAGGACGAGCACAGAAGATGGTAGCTCTCCATTAGGGGGTAAGCTTGTCAAGAAAGGGAGAGGTATACTGAGACTATTGTATATGGCGCTGACAGCTGTCGTGAAACAGATGCTGTTGAGAAACATCAGTCTCGACCTGGGAAGTGGGCGATGCGATGTACTTACGGCAGCGAGGCAGCTTCCTCAAGACTGATGTTGTGGGGTCTTTTGAACACAAGATACGCCGGCACGACGACACTCTCCTGATACGCCCCACCCCAGGTATCCTGCATCGCGCCTGAACCTTCCCATGCAGCTACTTCGTCGCCTGGTCGGACATGACGCACGTTGCTTCCTACGGCTTCGACTATGCCGGCACCTTCGATACCGAGCACATGTGGCCAGCGCGAAATACCAATGCCCAGATCTCGCTGTTTGACGTCGACGAGGTTAAGTGCGATAGCACGTTGGCGGATGAGGACTTCATCTGGGCCTGGTGTGGGCGTCGGTACGTGGGCAACTTTGAAGGGACCACCACGTTGAGTGAGTTGAAGTTGGGCTGAGGTTTTCGAATTCGACATCTTGCTCACGATATCCTGGAAGACTGATGACCTGTAGCAGCGGGAATATTCAGATAGTTGAGACAAAAGACGTGTTTTTATACGTCACTGTCCTTTGCAAGTGACCTTCGAATCAACGATGGATACTCGGAAGTCCGAGTACGATCTTCCCGAAAGTCCGAAGTGCGAGGACTTAGCAACTAGACTACGATCCGATGTTTAAAAGGGGCCATTTGCAGCCCTAACACAGCTCGACTTTGCCACTGCAGCAATTGTTGTCCAGAATCATAGTCACTCATGATCGACCCTAGAGATGACTCAACCCACACATTGATAGAACAGTATTGTCGATACAGCATATCCAAGGTTAGTGTTCTTGTACTTGAGCGCTGCGTCGGATTGGTGGCTAAATTACAGCTCGCCACCTCTTTCTGTTGCCTAAATGCTTCGAAACCTTCCTTCCTTGCCAGATAGCAGCAGGTCACCCTTTCCTTTCGCTTTTTTCTTGGCTCTCCATGCTCCAGACTTGCAAGAGAGTCCCACCTGATTTCGCGATAGTAATGATCACATTGCTTCGAGGCCTCGTAGCTTTCCCTATACCTCCTGCAATTGCACTAGTGAAGAGATGTTTCAGCTTCTACCTCTATTCAAAGTTCGGGCCTCGTTAGGTCCCTTGCAACTGGAAGTATTTCTGGTAAAGTATAGACCGCGGTCAGACATTGCAAAGCCTCCGTCCATCCTCAGATGACTTCAGTGCATGTACAGGCTCAGCTAGGCTCGTACTAAGCCTTGAATTCACGTTATTACACGCGGATAACAACTTCCAGGGTGGCTTCGACTGGAGATATAGCTTAGAGCATCCCTGGCGCCCTCGAATGTCCACGTCCACTCAACTACTGGCCGGATCTAGTGATGCTCGAAGAATCCCAGGGCCTATCAAATAAATCTCTCGATTCGTTCAATATTCCTTTCAAGGCAACATTCCCCCTCAAAGCCAGCACATTCGTGTTCAATCGATCACCGGGCTCAACTTCCTTTCCACTCAGGTACACAATTCAATCGAAGCTCTTCCACAGCGTCTTCGCATCACGCTTCGACGACAATGTTGAAGCCTTCGCCATAGTGACTCCACTTACATCCTTCTACCAATCCAGATTGGTGTTATAGTCTATCGTGTACGCGGCTCCAAGCTTCCGACCCTTGGCCAACTTCTCATCGGACGAAGACCATACGATAGCCCTGGCACCGCTGGTACCTGATATCAGGCCTGTTAATGGCAACTCCTCCCGGCTCTTTGTAAGCGTACCATCTCACTAACGCCGCCGGGCTGCCCGAGGGAACGCGTGCCATTGATTGGCAATCATGTTGTAACAGATGCAATGGATAGTGCACACGCTTCTTCATCGTTGAGATATTCTCATTGAGGTCTGGGCCCACCGAGATGATGGAGCCGGCCATGTCGGAGCATGGTATGATTGATGTTGCGCGTCTTAGCTTTGTGGTGGTTCTGCGGCCTATTACGACTGCGATCTCTGGGCTTGGTCCTTCACGTTCATTCGTTCGGAAAGCTCATCACCCTCAGTGTCTTGATACTCTGAAGACACAGCTGTGATCTTTGCAAGAACTTCATTTGGTCCCGAATTGGCTTCATATCATCAAACAGGGCCATAGTATCGAAAACTTCCGTGGAAGACTGCAATCTTTTTTTTTTCGTTCGACGTGTCTACTTATTTAGTGTATTCTCTTGCTTGCTCTGGACCGGCAAGCGCAGGCATGTGAGGCAACGCCGTTTTCTGAGCATAAGGAGAGCTTAGAGTGCCTCCCGATACTGCTTATGAATATAGGCTCGAGCGTGGCAGCCGAGTCTGACGGACCGTAGCAGGGGCGCTAAAGATGTCGATATGACAGAACACAGGCAGCCCATGTGCATCTGTCATCATGGACGAACGCAATAGATACGTACAGCCTTGCCAGAAACAGCCGGGCGTGCGGGGTAAGCCGCTGTCAACACCCGAAACAGCCAAAGTGGTAGATCTCCTTGACGCAGGGGCACCACCATAAACATCTTGGTCACTCATTTCACATAGTCGTACGATCACCTTCTCGGGAACTCCTTGTCGCGAAATGCCGACTATAGAATTCGCCGTCTTCCCGCTACTCCCCGGCGCCGATCCGCGCGAGCCAGGCAGCGAGGCCGCGACTGTCATGCGTGACACTATCACCACCATGTACGAACAGGAAGGATGTCAAGCTATCTACTCGGGTGTCCAGCTCGAAGACAATAGCAAAGTACATCTCTGTGTCGGTAAGTTCCCCAAACGCGGTCGAGAGTGCTCAAACTTGTAAAGCACTTTTTAGCAGCATTCCTTTAAACACCCTCTCCCCTGACCCATGCTGCCAGTCTGGGACTCCATCGACGACCATCGCGCGTTCCAGCAGTCCGCCGACTACGGCGACTTTGCGCGTAAATTCATCCCGTGGATCACGGGCCCTGGCGTCATCCTGCACGTTGACTTGCAGCCTTGCGATACATTTGCGTTGGCGCTGGCGGCGCCTGTCACGGAGATCACGACGTTCTACTTCGAAAATGGACCGCCGGGAGACTTCTTGTCACTTGTGGAGGCTTCGCTACGCCATGCAAGGGAGGATGCGGGATCCGGGTTTTTGGGCTCCGCTGCGGGCGTCACGCACGAAAATCTGGAGCATACAGGGGTAGAGGGAAAGGGGGTTGTGTTGGTTATTGGGTGGGAGAGCGAGGGGAAAGGGGAGGAGTTTCGGAAAAGGAAGGAAATTGAGGATAGAATGGTGGAGCTGGTGATTGAGAGTGCGGAGGCAAGGGAGACGCGGCATGTCAAGTTGAAAAAATTGACGTAGCTTTGGGGAATGCCATGTAATGTACAACTTGACGATATGATGGGGTTGACGTGTATGTCTGTGTGCATAGGTCATGAGACCCATGTAGTAGTCCGTTTACGTGCGAATGCGCCGTGCTTATGTGAACGGATGATCTGGTATTTGACATGCTTGTTAAGCCTCCACATACTCAGTCACCCATGGTTGTAATTGATCCAATAGCACCACTGGGTTTCTTGGGTGATCGTGGTTAGCGTGGCATGGGAGATCCTGATCCGTTCATTGCTGTCAGGATATTTAAGATTTCCATCTGATCAGGCAATTTATCATTACCCAGCGGGGTTTAGATCCTATCTGAATTGAGACACTACCTGGTACCAATATAAGAAGCCAAACACTTGCTACGCTAACAATTAAAATATTGGATACCATACCATAGACCACCATCACCATGACTATGCAAGACATTGACGACGATCGAATGCTTGGTAGCTACCGTACTTGTACAACGGTGGGTGGGGGCAAGATCCTCCCATATGTACCTGTAGATTAAAATGTAACGTCATGGCGTCTAAGGCTTGCGGAGGTACAACGGGGCTCCCGACATTGTAGATCAAAAGCGAAAATCCCTGATCCTTACTGACTTGGCGCTTAGCCTATCTAGGACAGTATTCGAAACCTTCCGCAGTCCGGCAAAATGCAAACCGAATGGGGTAGAGGATTGAATGTGGGGTCAATTGCTTAGTATCCCTTTTTAGGGTGTCTTGTGGAGGCTGTAATATATGTCTATATTCAAGGCGGGGACGGAGATGGTGATCGTTAGTACTCAGTGTTTATTAGTAACCTTATTGTCGACTTCTGGCAGCCTTACCATTCATTGCTAACCTTGAGTCCTTGACTCGGGTAGACTTCAGCACATACAATCTCAATCCATACAACCTCAACCTAAGCCAAAATTATAATAGAGAATACAAGCTCAATCTGCATCTCGCAAAATAACTATTCTATTGCTACAACACTACGACAGGGGTCTGCAAAGGTTATAAATCGCCTACTTCTAGGCAAGAGCCTCACTGATAATATATTATGGTACATTCAGATTCCCTAAAGAACCTAGAGAGAGTAAGAGTTAATTATATAATATAATAAGGATTTGATACTAGAGTTCTAGTAGGTTAAAGCCACTATGCATGCCCTGGTGCTAAGACGAGATAACCTCAATTTAATTGGTCAGACTACTGGAGTCAAATTGAATAAAGTGGGGTATACATCTAAATATACCCCACTGGATTCAACTCAACCACAAGCGATCCTAATACCTTGGCATAGTATGCAAGCACAATTCGTCCATTTAGACTGACTGATCCTAAAATCCTAATTTAGGCCCTCGGACAGTATTCCGGTTGTATATGCCGAGGTCTGGATTCAGGGTATCCTGGTTGATTAATGCGTCGCTCTGCACCAGCCAATACTGGGAAAGTAGGGGCCAATGATGCGGTGGACACCTTTGACTTGTGACTTCTGGTCTCGTTGGTTCCTCTTACTGGTCTTTTGAGCTGCAAGTATAAGATGCTTCCCCCGGCAGTCTATATGATGATCCGTGACACTTTTAAACATGAACCCGCTAGTTTTCATTGCCCTTCTCCCTCTTATACAAGGGCTGAATTTCATTTCATACGACGCTAGCACTGATGGCTTCCTTGAAGCAGCGCGAGGATGGAATTCATTCGCACTGCAATCCAACCCAGATGCAGTTGGAGGCTTCACTTATAATACGGACAGCGTACTTAAGCAGTGTACTACTATGCGAGAGACTCTGGGCAATGCTGGATTCGAATACTGTTCTCTTGACAGCGGCTGGAGTGTTGGAGATCATGGTGATGAGCATGGCCGACCTTATAACGACACCAACAGTATCGACATCGCCAGACTTACCAGAGAGCTTGCGCCTCTAGGTGTCAAAGTCGGAGTCTATCTACTACCGGGCGCATTCTGCAAAGATATGAGCAAGACCATTGAGGGGACCAATATCACCATCGCCGATACCATGAGTGGAAACAATAACGGGTTTGCGAGATGTGACTTTGACTTCTCAATGGACAGCAATGGAAAGTTCACCCGAGCCGGTGTACAAGAATGGCACAATAGTGTCGTTCGCTTCTATGCGCAAAGGTAACTCTCTTCTTCATTATAGTTCCGTCCGTAGCTACCACATTTATGCTTCGCACGCAGTGGTATCTCGTTCATCAAGCTTGACTTCATCACCCCTGGATCTCCAGAAGCCGGCAACTCTTCGAACCTCCCACCGGACAACTCCGGTTCAGTTCGAGCTTTTCACAATGCCATTCAAACCGAACTCCCAAGCCGCTCCATGCGCTTGCACATATCCTGGAAGCTCGAAAGGAACGCTACCTATCTCCCGATATGGAACGCCAACACAGACGCCATGCGCACTGATCAAGACATCAACCAGAGCGGCGCAAAAACACTGGTCCAGTGGCAGAAAGTTCAACGCGCGATTGAGAACTACAGACAATGGTACCTTGCCGCGACAGCCGGCCTGATCGATGCTGGATTGGCTCTGCGCGTGCGCCCTGATTTGGACAGCTTACTCAACGGCAACGACAAGTCGATATCGGGTATCAGCGATGTCAAGCGCCAGAGTGTCATGACGCACTGGATTGGAGCCGGAGCGCCACTGATTACTGGCTCGGATATGCGAAACTTGGATCATGTCGGCATGAACCTGTACACAAACCAGGAAGCCCTTGATGTAGCCAATTTTACGTCGTATTATCCCATGCAGCCTGTTAATCCTGGAGGTGGTAATTCTCCGGCCCAGGTGCAAGCGTGGATCGCGGGTGTGGAGATGTCAGCACAATGCAAGAGTGTTGTTGTACTTGCCAACTACGGCCCCGATGAAGGTGAAGGGGGCTTTGGAACAGCGATGAGTGGTGTACAGAAAATGTCGGTCGAGTTTAAGCATTTTGGTCTTGGTGGAACTTGGAATGTCAGGGATGTGTGGAAAGCGACCGATCTGGGTGTTTTGGATGGAATGACTGTTGATCTGGATGAGGGCGAGAGCAGACTGCTGGTTTTGACGGCCGGGCAGAACAGTTCGGTGAATAGTATGAAATGTGGTGGCTATTGACAGGATTAACAATTCATGGACCGAAGCATGGTTGGAATACCTGTCAGATGTATGGAGGGAATGTTAGCACAATGGTGATCTCCTAGATAGACCCTTTTCCACATGCATGTGAACAGGTCATAAGTCTCCTTGCTGAAGTCGAAAAATCCGTCTATCCACATCTACTCGCAACTTCTACTTCTTCTTGCAGTAACATATGCCTCGTTTTTGAATAGACAGCCAGAATCGAAGCTCCTCGCAAGACGTCTATTTGAGATCAAATGCTCCCTCTGTCGTCTCTCTCTTTCAATAGGGGCGCCCTTAGATAGGATTGCCTGGACTCGTACTGTTATTTGACGGATTCTAGTTTCACTATACAATAGTATCAACCCAATGCGTAATCATTTACGCTCCATTAACCTTGCCTAGTAGTCTTTCGAAAATACGATCGTTAATTAGGTACTTCTGTATAATACAATGCGACACCAGTAGAGCCATGTTCGTACTATTACGGTGGATATTACTAAGAATATTAGTAACTTCCCACGTAACTTATTAGCTTGTGTAATTATAGTACTACCAACTAGCCTACTCCTATATAGTCTTAAACTAGTCATGGAAGAATTGCAAGTTCTGTAGCGAATAATTCATCGTTCATATTTTACGTGGTTGCTCTTTACCAAAAATACCTTATTTCTTTGATTTAAAACCATCTAATATCATCATAGGATTGAATGGAAAGACCGACTACTTCGATAGTCTAAGACAATCTCTATGTACTACGCATAGCCTTATCCTTGCCTTAGCTAGACTCATTGTACACCAAGGTGTTGTCGAGTCAAGTGTGAATACATAGACGCTATTCCTATATATTATCGCACTAGGTGTTAGAGGACAGTCACTATAAGAATAAACTATGGATAAGCGATTATGAGCCAGAGCTAAGTTCTCGGATCCCTTGCTATCCGCTAGATAGGCTAGCACTAGGCCAAGCTTTACCGGATCTGCAACCATCAGACCCTAGCGAAGTGGATTCAATGTATACCATAGTCGAGCTTTAAGATGACCCCTGGCCCCGCCAAAATGTCCATCGCAAGACCGCATTGTCTGATTCCCTTCCACCCTCCCCCGACATCACCCAGCGTCGCAAAACATGGTGCGCACCACTGGTTTTGGGAGCAATCGATACCCAGGCCCTGCGCGATCATGGAACATGTGCGCTCCTAGGTTTGTGCCCGTCGATGTCACGACGTTAACGGGCAAGGCACGCGTCCTGCTTAATGCACAAGAATGCGTACGTCTGTTTGTGCACTGCGCGGAAAATCCCATAAGCTGATGTGTACGAGCAGGAGCGCTCGCCAATCGCTCTCCTTGCATTTCTGATCATTACGATCATGCTTGGGGTGGTTGTGATGTTTATGCAGGGCGTTATCGGGACGCGCGAGGGGATCCTGACGCGTAAAGCTAGAGTGATTGAGGGCTTGAAGAGATATAGCGTTATCGCGTGTACGCTGTGCTTCATAGTGTGAGATGTGCTCTGGTGTCCTCTCTGCCTTGTGCTTACTGCTGACTTGTGTGTGTGCTTGTAAGTGTCCAGGTGCTCGATATCATCACGCTCACATCCTTCATGGACTGGAAACTAAGGCCCTTTACCTTCTTCTACTACCCCGTCTTCAGCGAGCTGCTGTGGCGCATCACGGAGCTGGGCTATGCCATATACGCGATGAAGAAGTATACGAGTTACTTCCGGGCACTCTATATGAAGCGTTCGCTTGCCAACACGTTCATATACGTCGCATGGGCTTTGGCTTTCTTCATGTGCGCCTTGACGGCGGTGTCTTGGGGCTTTCTTACAGCGTACTGGATCATGATTGCGCATCATGGGACACAGAGCATCACGTATGACAATGCTCTCAACCTGGGGGAGTTTGGTGATTTTGACAAAGCGAAACACATTGGCAACGGGTACGAGTCGGTCATGGTTGTTTGGTCTCTCTTCATGATTGGCAGCGTAGTGTATGTTTGGAAGGTCAAACGAGATTGCTACCCGCCTCGACCGGCGAATGCAATGGATCTTGATGCACAGGATAAGTACAACCAGTCCGAACCATACAATCTGGCATACGTAAGTCTACGAAGGTGACCGACTCTTACGGGTATTGAAGCTGATCGTCCATTCTTATAGGAGGTGACTCGCTTCCGATCCCCTCTCATTATCGTGTCGTCCCTGTTCTGCCTGAAGGGGTTGGAACAGATTATTGGCACTCACGTGGGCCCACTGGAATACCATCATTGGGGACCTGCATATATCACTGACACAGTGGTCAGTATCCTCTGGAGATTATTGGTCATTGCTATTGGGGCCTCGTTGTTCTTGCTGCCTATCAAGCCACCGATGGTCAACGCAGAAAGTTATGCGCAGACTGATATCTCGACCAATGATATAGTAAAGGCATGAAGCACCTAACTAGTGATGAGTTAGCTTGAATGGACACATATATATCAGTGCAATAATACCCAAAAATATCGACATCGATGCTCTACAAAACCGAATTCTGCCTGGCAGGTTTCATAACGCTAATGCAGTCTCACCCATGGAGTTAATATGGATAACGTAAGAGCTTTCAGTTAATAATGTATTGTTCGAAACTAACAACCTAATATCAGAACAATGAATCTCAAGAATTCATTGGTAGCCAATCAAAGTCAAGTACGAACAGAAAACAGTGGTGGCGCATCACGCGAGCGTTGAATTCATACTTTCCCAAAAACATCTACCATTCTAGCAATAGTACCGACAAGACCCTAGCATATTAGGTCACGCATTCTGACAATTCTATCTTTGCATCAGCTTATAGACCGTACATTATTGAACAGTTGTCTAGGCCAGATGGTAGGTGTATGGATGAGCAAACCGGACCAGTTCTGTTCTGGCTTAGTATGTTCAAGCTTATAATTCGCGTCTCCAAGCACAGCAAGCAGACCAAAGAATGCTGTTACAACGGTTATTATAAACACAGAAGACACAGGTTTCGCAGGTGGGACAGGTTTATCGTACCATAATTCTCCGCATTCCTGATTGCATCAGCAGTGCTCTTTGAAACGACATTATTCCATTCATACGCAGGATGTACATCCTTGGCTGGGAAGCGTGTTAGCGGTGATCTCTCTCTGTCTTCTTAGTAAAAGACTACTTACTACGGAATGGCGGAACATGTGTCAATTCATGCAACACAATAAAACTGAGTAGCTGTGACAATCCGGCCCCGGTCAGCCGTAATCTGGAAAAATCTCTCTTGCCCTGCTCTTTTATCGTTGCAATACGATCCTCAATCCACGGCTTGCAGAGCGACATGGTTGAATGAGAGGCCTGCAGTGGTAGTCGCGGCCAGTGAAAGACCTGACCGATCCTATCTTGGACTTTACAACCAGGCGGACCAGCATAAGGAATGTTGTTCGTGGTGTCGATCCAGATCTGATCGCCGGGATTTCGGCTCGAATTTTTTTTAATCAGTTTGTTGGTCCTCTCGCGGTCTTTTTGCAGGGACCACCTGTCTTCATTGCAGTAGATGCGCACACCAGAGCTTTCGCGGTCGTTGGTCTCGGTCATATCTGCAATACCACCCATGATGCGTCGGACCTCGGCAACGGCGGCGCCATTGTCCGTGCCAGTATTGAAGATGCGTTGAAAGGCTACTTGGATGTCTGGATCATTGGCTCCGAGACGGGCATTAGAGCGTCTTGCCATGGTGAGAGCTTCTGGCAGGGCCCGGCCTACGGCTGGATAGGGATTGCATGAGGTATCCATGTAGTAGGTTAATGCCAAAGAAGGTGCGAAAAGAGCGAATGTAGATAGGAAGAATAGAGCAACCATAATGAGACCGAGGACGAACAGGGCTTAGCAGGAAAGACAGACAAAGCTTGGTAAAGAGAAGGCAGTGAGGATTAGACAAGTACAGATGAGATAACTGGCTTCAATTTTCAAAGCAACGTAGTTATAGCTGAATAAGACGTGCGGTGATCTTGCATGTTTCAAATGCAGAGTTTCTGCCTCCTTCTCATCATTTACTGTCCGCTCCGTTACAGGCATACATGATCGGATACAAGTTAGGACTGTATGATTGGTTAGATGCTATACTAAGGGACTTGGATTGCTTATATTAAATTAGATCAAGTGAGGTATATATCTGGATATAGCCTAGATCTTGTCTGAGGCTAAATTTAAGTATTGTTGAAGCCTTAGGCTGAAGGCCTTGACCAATCATTTTCGACTTATGGCTCTAACAATACCTAAATTTAGCTTGAAACAAGATATATGCCTCACCTCATTTAATCTAGGATAATCGATCTAACTACTTATATCTAAATAATACCGTCTTATCAATCTTCTTAAGGCGTAGATTAAGCTTTATATTCTCTATTAGCATCTCGGCCTAGGCTGGGCTAGTATGGATTCGGATTGTACGTACCTATGTCTAATTATAGGTTCTATAGAGATTTTGAGTTAGTATCGAACAATGAGTTAGCCAGCTCTAAATCTCAACAAGGAAACTTTGCATTTATTCAACCTTAGTGACGTTAAAAACAAACCAAAGATAAAGGATTGTCGGTGACGCGATAATAGATGATCCGTACTTAATGCAGACTGTATTCGAGTCTTTTGTTACTGAATGTAGCAAATTTTTAAGACCGTGCGAGAAATGTTTCAGTCCTGCACGACTGTCTGACCTGAAGCATCTACCCGTGCGTATCATGAAACTACCAATAAAATACAGCTCTCTGGCCTTCGTGTGCAGCGATTCTTCTTCACACAATCCTCGACTTGACTCTCTGAGATGGCCAAAATGACATCACAGTTAGTGCTAGGCTTCGCCGTCGCCGTTCTATCTACAGCCGTACACGCTGTCGGCATACCAGATGTCGGAGCTATATTGCTGCCTCGCCAGCAACTAACATTCCGACCAAATAGTCCATGTCCTCAGGACAACGGGCTTCCGCCCCGTAAGTTATAAAAATCGATGCAAATTTTTGGAATCACACTTAAGAAATGCAGTGAAATGTACCGATAAGATGTGTGAAGATATCCCTCTCGACGGGGTCTGCCATATCCAGGCCTCAAACGGGTTCCCGATATGCGGCTGTTGCCCCGAATCTGATTCCCTAGCCTGTTCTCAATGCGGAGGTGATGCAATCACAGGTATGGGGATATGCAAGGGAAGCGGCGAGACAGGCATCGCGTATAAAGGCTGCCAGTGCGATCTCAACGGTGGAGGTTTTCCGGTGGATGACAGCAAGGTCTGTCCTGAAAGCAACGGCAAAACCACGCAAACCTGTACCGATCCAAATTGCGGTGGCAATACCAAAGTCCCGGGGGTCTGCGATGCTAGAATGGTAGTGAAGGACAAGTCTGGGAAAAGCGGATTATTCACTCATTGCTCTTGCTGTCCTGATGGCGGCATTAAAGACTGTAACCATTGTGGCGGTGATGCTGGTGGTGGTAAGTGTACAGGCTTGACGGCTCAGTATGGTCAGCCCTACAAGGGCTGTTCATGCGGTGGAGGAAGGGGGTAAGTGCCCGGAAGCTGAAAGTGACTCGTCAAACTTTGCTGATGGCAAGCAGTGTCGAATTACCGCCGCTCATTATCCCATTCCCAATTACTCCTATGGGGTTCCCGCCTCCACCTCCAGGTACGGGCCATCCCAAGAAGCAATGTTCCACGACAAGTCTACCAAAATGTTCTGAATGCGATGGCAAGCAGGGCTGGTGTCAATCTGGCGAGAACACTGGCTGTCCTTGTAAGGACGAATGCAAGCAAGAGCACAAACCGACTTGCTCGGATGAGACATGCAAAGGTGACGATTCAAATAAATGTACCCAAGGACCTGACAGGGATTGCGACTGCGAGCCCAAAGAAGAGTGTCCAACTGGCGACGAAATATTAGCTGCCTTCGAATGTGGCGGCATAGATGCCGATGGCAAATGTAAGGGTCTTGCGGACGACAACGACCTCTGGAAAGGGTGTGATTGCTGGGACGAATCTAAGCAAGAGCCGCCTTGCGAGCCGTTTAATGTAGCACGTCTCATTGAGGCGCAAGCTGCTTTAGCAGGGCTTCCAGAGTTGGGTAAGATGCCTGCGGGTCCTGATTCTACCGCGGATCCGAAGAAAGTGACCTGCAGAGACAAAAACGTCCAGAGCGTTCCAGAGAAGTTGATATCAACAACGGAGACTCTAGACCCGAATGCACTGATCTCTCGAATGCGAGAAGGTGAATACATTTCTACTCTACGATACCGATTTATGACTAACGGTACGTTAGTTATATGTAACAATAAGTGTGAGACTCCGGCAGGATTGGACAGCTCCTACGTGAAAATCAAACAGGGGGACACAAAGACCGATTGTGAAATCTCTGTGGCTATCGAAGGTAATATAGAGGCGTACATATACCGTGGCAGTCCCTCACAAGGCTCCCAGTGGCAACAATGCTGGGACACTACTGAGAATGGTGAGTCTACTGTATGGAGGAGATCTTCGAGATCGCATGCTAAAAATTGGGGAAGTCATCAACCAGTGTATCAAGAATGGTCCCAACAAAGGCTGGTGGAATGGTCCGGACTACGGTCAATTTTACGAGGCCGGTTTCCGCCCTTTGAACGGCGAAGGATCGAAACACGAAGCTTTCTCTGGCGACTCCACACTCAATGGACCGGTCGCACGGATATTTCCCTCTAGATCTGACGGTACTATCGACTGCGCCGGTGGTTATAGAGGCAGCGGCGCCAGAATGTCTGACTGTCGATCGATCGTGCAGGACCAGACTCCTAATGAGAATGCGGAGTTCTGCACCTCATCCCCAGACAAGGCTTGTATCCGACATGGCAAGACTCTCAACGCCAAGGGCGAAGTCCTGAGCTCCTGGTGTGTGATTAAGGAGTACTATTCATGCGCTTTCGTCATCGCCGACAAAGATCCTCGCTTTGGGGGTGGCCTTACTGGACACAGTTGCATCAGCGGGCAAAACCTTGTTGATATGAGTATCAAGGGAGCGGAACAGTGTGACAGATACAGCCCAGGAACAGCCGTTGCTGCAGGGCCTGTTCGATCCTTTGGCGTCCCAGCGCAGGCGTTATGCCTGGTAAGCAAGGATCACCCAGAGGTTTGCGCTGTGCATTAGATTTGATAGTTATACCCCTTATTCGTATCTGCCTGTATATAGCGAAGTTATTGTATTTGTATTCTGCGACGCGCCAATGTCATCGGGCCTCTCAGGCTTCTTTGTACCGATACATATACAGTAAGGATTTGACTAGACACAAACCCATGGAGCGGTTAAACGTTCAAGATATGCAATTGAAATAGAGGTGAACGCATTGTTATTAGTCCAAATGATGTATGCGGTCTATCCAAAGGAGCAGCCCTGTATGCATGCGGATCATCGAAAAGCATTCATGTATCAAACCTGAAGCCTACTGCTGGCAAAGGGAACGAAAGAGGCACCGAAGTTTCGGCTTGGCTTCGATGCCGAACAACTTCTTGGGCCCGATATTCATTGTCGTATACTGCTGCATTGTACTGCTCGACAGAAATGCCGCAAGGTCTAAAGGCGTAGGTTAAAGCCTGATGTTTATGGCCTATGGCGCAAACGAAACTCTTCAGTCTGACAGAGCTTAGAACTATAATCTCTTATTGCGGACGTAAAGAGAAGAGGCTGGTCTGTGCAAAGTGCTGCATTTATGCTACAGGATCTACACTGTATATAGTGCGTGTCACCCTCTGACCATACGCCGTGTTTCGGGTGAAACAACAACCTAAGCAATGTCGATATTCCAACTCGAATACTTTGCGTTGGCTTGGGGAAATATCTTCGCAGAGCTCTCAAGCACAACACTTGATCTACGTCGAGGCCGCGATGTGGCTCTGTAATCTCTGCGTAGTTTCAGCAATATCTCAGCCGAGCTAGCATTTACACTCAATCAGTATTTTCTGGGGTTCAAGGGGGCGTCCGGTCTCCTTCACTCAAGGCGACGCTCAGCTATAGACATAGCATAACATGAGGATGACTGCTTTCACTCGGCAAATTGCCTGAGCTTTCCGATCTCGTTTAGAAGCTCTTGTAGATCGTCATCGCTGATCTTGTTCGTGATGGAAGGGATGAGGGTTTTTGCTTCATCTGCACTCTCCGGGCATAAATTGGCTGTTACAAGAAATCAGCTCAGATAACATCACCCAAGTGAAGCAAGCATACCAAGTTGGGAGCGCTCAAAATACTCCAGCTCACGGCGTTGATCCAGCACTCTTTCAAGCGACTCATTAGCTTCCGTCTGCTTAAACCTCGAGAACTCCTCCAAGTAGTCTACCATCTTCGTGATATTCCTGAATGCAAATATTAGCATAATAATGCCTTCTCCAATATCTCTTCACAGAACAATGACTGCACAAGTTCAGCAAAGTCTGCCAGAACCACTCACTCCTTGTCCCAATTCCAATTTGGCCTTCGCTGCTTGCGGTCCTTGAACACAGCATTGACCAAAATACGCGCTTCCGACACAGACAAACTGTGCACGCCCTGGAATTCGCCGAGTTTCAGTGAGCTACCCACCTCTTCGTCTCCGCTCGGCCTCTCTTTTACACGCGCAACTTGCTTGGGAATCTGGGTTTTCTCGCGAGGAGGCGGTCGCGCTTGCGGGGTGGGCTCCCTGGCTGGGCCGAGGTCATCATTGTCGTTGTCTGAGGGAGGAGAGTTCATATTGGTTTTGAGAGATCAGAGGTGTGAAGCCTTGGAGTGGTTCTACAGAAAAGTCGGTAGAGTTTTTGAGGATGTACACAGCTATGTGACGCGCGATCCGCGCTACTGGGTCGTGAGGTTTAGCTACTAGGGCTTCCATGATTACGTAACTCACTAAAGGGGCCATAAAAGCCATCAGAAAGACGTCCACCGGAACAGTGCAGAGAACATTACATTAAACAATTGTGTTCCATAATAATATTATGGGATCGAATCAACTTTGCGTCAGAAAGAGGGTTTCGAGTGTTAAGTAAAATGATAAGCTGAATCAGACATACACAATGACTGTAGCCTTTGTTTACTTCCACTGTCATCTTACTAGAGCTGGACGGATACATATATTCTTCTAGCTCAAACGACATACAGCGCATTTTCTGGATGGATTCCTCATTTGCTTATGCGTTCAATGATATCAGGATATGATCCAACCACCAAACCGACCGGGCGTATCCTCATGCGATTTTGTAACCCATATATGCCTGGCCCATTCAAGCACTGTCTATAGATCGAAACAAAAGAGAAATATGCAGTGAGCCCTCAGGCTTGTCAGGCCAGTGAAAACTCCATTTACGCCAAATCCATGCGATATGTCCAAGTGCCAATACCCATCTTCATAAACTCTCTCATGACCGGTAAAAATTACTGATTTTGCTGCTGCTGTTCAACCAGACTCGACTCTGGTGTGACCGTCTGCTCGCTTCCATATTTCCTTGACAGTAAGCTCGGTCTTGGTACCCCCAACCTACTACTCTTTCCCGGCTGTTCACTACTGCGACTACCCCTATCCGCCGGGGCCTGTGGACTGTCGTTCGTTTCGGGATGTACCTTCAGACTGTCATAGCTAAGCTCGGCCTTTAGTTGTGGCACTGCGGAAAGGGAGTCACCCCGCTTGAGATCGCCCCTCCGACGATGCTGTTCCGTCGCCAAGCGTCCAATATTCTCCTCCGTAAGCGCATGACTGGAGTGGTCGTCAGTCTGCTCGTCGATACCGCGGATAGCTGGAAGATTAGCTTCAAGCACAGAGATAGGCTCTGCCTGTGGATTCTCGGATGCCAAGAGGAGTTTGTTGTCGCGTGAGTACGCAGCTTGTTCTTCGTCCTGTGCGCGCCGCAGTTGTGAGTCCGAGTTCGACTCCGAGGCAAGGAGGAGTGTTGTGTTACGGTGAAACTCGAGGCTATCGAGCTTAGCATCGAGAGATCCGTGCGCAGGTGAGAGGATGGAGGACGGTGGCGAGGGTGTGGAAGATGTGGAAGGTTTGGATTTAGAGGAGTCGTTGAGTGGCAAGGGCCTGGGTTTATGATTTTCTTTTTTACTGCGCTTGTTGCCAGCAATCGCCCACTTGAGCAGCATCTTCTCTAGAATCTTGCCTTTCACGGGTTTCGCCAGGTAGTCGTCCATGCCTGCTTTTTCGCACTTTTCTTTGTCGCCTTGAATGGCTGACGCTGTCATTGCAATAACATGAACATTTCGAACTTCAGGGTTTTCGAACCTACGAATACGTCGTGTGGCATCATAGCCATCGAGTACTACGGGGTGTAAGTGGTCGTGACCAGCATGTCTCTCAAATTCGTACTCACCCGGCATCTGAACGTCCATCAACACGATGTTAGGCATTGGATGACCTGGCGCTGGAGCGGCGTTAAGGTAATCTAGTGCTTCTTGACCGTTCCATACAGCTCTCACGGAGAAGTGGAGCTTTCGAATAGTCTTGAGCGCAATCTGTTGATTGATCGGGTTGTCTTCTACCACCAAGATTTCGATTTTCTGTCTCTCTTCGTCGGTCAAATTGAGTAGATCGTTTGGTAAAACACCGCGAGCTGTCACCGGGCCACTATTGTGCTGATGTGATGTCCTTCGTGCACTCGTTGCTCTATTGAGGTGACTACTAGCCACACCATTACCAACTGTAGGTGTCGATGGTGGTGTTAGGTCCTCGGAGCTTCCACATGACACCGAAACATCCGACTGTAGGCGATCTGGTATCGACCCTAAGGCTATGATAGGAGATCCTTCGTTCGAGTACTGTCCCTTGCTGAAAGGTATCGAGAAGGTGGTCTTCGTTCCGACACCCAGCTTTGATTCTAGTCCAATGCTACCATGCATCAATTCGACAAGCTTCGCGTGTTAGCATGTTACACGATCGGTATCGTACGTATAACTCACGTTCTTACTGATGGTCAGACCTAGCCCAGTACCACCAAATCTTCGAGCAGTGGACGAGTCAGCTTGACTGAACGGTTTGAAAAGGCGCTTGCGAACTTCCTCTTCTATCCCAATACCCGTGTCCTCAACAACAAACTGTACGCTGATTGACTCCCGAGATTCCTGAGTTGCGGATACCGTCAGACAGACAGTACCTTCCGAAGTGAACTTGATACTGTTGGTCAAGATGTTTGTGAGAATCTGGCGCAATCGACCCGGATCTCCCATCACTTTTAGATCTCGATCAATCGTAGGTTCAATATAGCTTTCGTACGCTATATTCTTTCGTTGAGCAGCGAAGGCCATCATTTTGTTCACATCACGAATGGCAACTGACAAGCTGAATTGCACCTCTTCGATGTCTAGTCGCCCGGATTCAACCTTCGATAGGTCAAGTATGTCGTTGATGACCGTCAGTAACGCGTTGGCAGATCTTTGTATATTATCTGCACATTCATACTGCTCTTTGTTTAATACAGTGTCAAGGAGCAGTTCACTCATACCGATCACGCCTGCGATTGGTGTTCGAATCTCGTGGGACATCTGGATCATGTTAGTGAGATAGCATATCTGATGGCAGGCATAAACTTACGTTGGCAAGGAATTGGCTCTTCATGCGACTTGCTTCCTTTGCAGCCACAGCATTGGCAAGAAGCTTAGTATTCTCTTTCTCTTGCCGCCGCAGATCGTTCTCGCGTGATCGTAGCTCCGTGATATCCATAGCTACTCCAATAACACCATCAACGAAAGAGTTTCCTTCAACACCAGCTACGCGACTGTTCGATAGCATAGGTACAAGCCTTGATCGGAAGATTCGTCCTTGGTGATTCGTTTGCTCCTCGAGAACCTCAGTTCGTGACTGGTGATTGAGGATAGCTTCAATTGGTTCGCGTAACCGTAACGCATCGTCGCGGCCAACCAAGCTCTCGGTGGCCTCATACACATTACGTCCTATGACGTCTGCAGAAGTGATCGCACGGCCGTTCACCTTATCTTGCCAGATCCGATTGCCCTCCAACAAAACAAATTTTAGGTCACGATTGATTGCCCACAGAGTGATCTTCGCATGATCAATCGTCTGAATAAGTTGCTGTCGCATCAATTTCGCTTCTTGCCGGGCAATTACAGTCTCGTGAATATCTGCGCATGTACCAAACCATTTCACTGCTTTGCCGTCAGAATCTCGAAAGGGTATCGCGTTCCCAAACATCCATCTCCATTGCCCATCGCGTCGTTTTACTCTGTATTCAATTCTGTATTCAGACCCTGTCGCTACAGACTTTTGCCATCGCCGTCCACTTTCCGCCAAGTCATCGTCGTGTATTGCGAGAGTCCAACCAGTACCAACAGATTCCTGGTGGGATAAACCAGTGAAGTCATACCAACGTTGCGAAAACCAGTCGATGTAGCCATCTGACGTTCCCGTCCAGACAAGGATTGGAACTAGATTAGCAATCGATTCAAATTGCTTGTCGTTCTCCTTGAGCTGAGCGGCGATTCGTTCAGTGTATTCAGTAACGTCCTTGAATGTGACTAGACCTCCGATGAATTCACCCGTCGACTCAAGGGTAATCGGTTCTCCGTGTACATCGAATATAAGGCGCGCTCCCGTCTTGGGCTGTCGCATCCCAATTCGCCGATTCTCAAATGCGACTTGATTCCGAACGAGATCCATGATTGGGAACTCCTCCAAGGCCAGCTCGCGCTCAAAGTCTTCTGACCAAAGTGTATATTGACCTAGAAACTCACGTTGATCTCCGGGGTTAGGAATGGCATCCTCGGGTAGGAGGTCCAGGAGTGCCTTGTTGGGAATTCCAAAGCTCTCATCTTTCCACAAAGCATATGCTGGCATGTTTACCGAATTCAAGATCGCATCTTTCAGCTGCGATGCCTTCTGGAATATCGAGGCAGTTGCGGGATGATCCTGCTTAGTTGGAGGGCCATATGGGGGGAAATTCGGAGACTGAAGGGTTGGCGTACTAACATTGGAGTCAGAATTCGAATTCGAACTTCCCTTTGAACGTTTCGTGGATGACGCTGACGAAGAGCCAGAATGGGCACTCGGCCTGGTATGAGCTTTGACTACAGTCCTACTAGTAGCAGGCTGTATATTAGATGCTGCTGCGCTTGTGAATGTTAGGGTGTAATGCTGTACATTGTCCAGAGTCCAAGTAGATATGATAAGATTGGACGACAGTGGCGTGGACAATGAGCAGTGCTTGGCAATAGCGCTTTGCTGAGATATTAGAACATCGACAGAAACATCGTGCACCGTAGTGCGGGCCAAGTTGGAAGACGTGAGTTTTGGTAGGGATTCGTTCGACGTGTGACCATCATGTATGTGGCCATGTCTCTCAGGGTCGGGATGTGCTGGAGTTCGCTCTGCGGCTCGATCAAGGAGGTCCTGGTTGAAGTATTAACATCGGTCATGGTAGCATATTTACCATACTCACATCCCAATTTATCCATATCGGTGAGCCATCTTTAAGGATGTCTATGCCTAGATCAGCGATCTTGCGTCCCCTCACGACCTCAGTTATGGACAGCAGTGTTTCGCCGTCCTCAGCCAATGCGGGCAAGTCAATTCCCAGTAATTTTCCGAAAGCATCGTTGGCAAGTATGACCGTCTTATATGAAGAAAGAACGAGTAGAGGTATAGGGAGATACTGGAGCGCGGTCAAGGCGGCTATCGTAGAAGAGGTAGACAGCTGCGTGCCTAAAGATAAGTCGCTGCGAACAGAGTCCGGCGAGCCAGGACGTCGAGGCGCCATGTCGAAGAAGCCATGATCATCAAGGCGCCGGCCGCCAGCCACAATAGTACTGTGTTCTGAGGCAGTGCCGTCCTCGTCTTCGTCGGAATATAGTGGACTGGTTACTCCTAGAACGTCTGACGACGCCAATCTGGCAGTCATGTCATTAGACACGACTTGAGGCTCGAGACGAGAAAACGGGAGGAGGGGATCGACGACGAGAGGTATGCGGAGAGGTGGATCTTCAGCGAGGGTGGAAGATGCCAGGTTGGGACGAGTCCAGGGCAGGGTTCCTGCGCAGTATTATCCGCAAGTGAGGAGGTGTTGCAACTGTGAGATTGGGAACTGGGTGGATTAGCGCGGACAGCTGGAACGCTGCCGACGCCGATCTCTTTGGGCAGAGGGAGCCGCAGTGGTGAAAGCAGCGTGCGCGGTATTGGAGAGGGATCGCAGCTGTGGAGACATCTAAATGTCGAGACGGGCCGAATCGGGAAGTGCGTGGGCGCAATGAGAGTGCGTCCGGCGAGATATGGGAGAGCGCAGTCGCATGAAAGGATGAGAAAGGCGGAGAAGAGAGAGGAGAGCTTCAACAACAGCGATGGTAAGCATCGCATCGTGGCCTAGTGAATTAGTAACCAAAGTCGCTATTATTTAGTTGGGTCTGTAGCAGCGGATGTGGTGTGGGAACGAAGTATGAATTAGAATAATAGCGTGTCACCAGCGAGGGCCCAGAACATTTCTGGGTTAGGTAACGGTAGGAAACGTTTAATAGGTATCCCGGTAGGACCGGGGGTTATAACTCTAGGCTTTAGTCGCTATAATTACTACTGTAGGCACCACCACCGTACCTCTGCGGGACACTCGGAGACGACTCCGCAGACCTTTCTCGGCTACTGTGCTGGTGAGGCACAAATGTAAGTAACATTATTGCCTTGTACACTATCGCATGTCAAGAAGATTACGGCAACCTTGAAAGAGACCACTCGCAACTGTCGCAGAGAGATCAGGACCCAATGCTCTATCTGATACACGCCGCGAAGAGCATCTCTAAGCAGTGCTGGGCTCTTGAATGCCTTGATGCCTCACTCGACCGGCCCAACGTACCGCCGCTCCGTTCTCCACCCTGTCGCCGTGGCCTCTTCATTGCTTGTTAAGTACAAGCTGCAACGCCGTACACGAATACATCTCGTTCGCCTCTTTGACACAATGCTGTTCTTCTTCGGCCTGGGGAACCTCTTCTACGGTCCGCACTCCTTCCGCAACAATTTCTGGCACCTCCGCTGACTCGCCCGCAGTCTTCATCCTCCTCACGAACGCCGTCGCCGTCCTCTCCGAAGATCGTTTCCTCGCTCGCAGTAAGCCGCATTGCATACCAAGCCAAACGCACACATATGGACACCAAGGCTGACAGTACGATACAGTTGGATGGGGTAGCAGCGCGCAAGCCGACCAGTTTGGCGGCCCAGATACAGCAAGCTTCAAGGCCAAAATGATCAACCTGATATCATCGATACGAACCGTTATGAGGAGTCAGTCCCGGCACGCACGTAGAACATGGTGCAGGTGTTGGTTTTGCTAACATGACAGTAGTACCGCTCATCGCAATCAATACGTTAGTCATAGTCTATGAGTTGATACTGGGATGAGGCGTCTTGTAATAGTTATTGCGTATAGCCGATGGCTTGTCGGGCTCATGTGGCTTCGCTGCATATACTGAATAGATACCATGGATCAGGCCACGAGGAACACGGGGAGAAAACAGGGTTCGCATCACCAGGTCGTTCTCGTACGGGCGAAGAGCAAACGATCTAGGCGACCTGGCGCTACAACCGTGCCAGAGTCGAAGGATGGAGGATCCAAAATCACGAAGTCACGACTGAAATTCAACCATAAATGGTAAACAATGGATTTGCGCTCTATGCTTCCATGATTTGAGAAGGCACGCTCCGAGGTCCAATCGCCATCACTATGCACACTAATCCATGATCAAATGCGCGCTTTGAATAACCCACTTGACGACGAAAGACTCCTTCCTATGCAACAATGACAGGGTGCTCACTTCGCAAGCGAGACGCCCTTCTTTTTAAGCAGTTCTGTAAAAGCATCCTTGGCATCCTTTGGGCTGTCCTTAGACTTTGTGCTTTTCTTCGAATTTGTCCTGTCCTCTTCGGACTCGACAACAACATTGGGCCTCTTCACCTCAGTCAACTCTTCCACTTCCTCCCCCATGATCATTCTCTCGACCAATTCCATGCCTTTCTCTTCCATCGCCTTCCCTTTCTTGTCTTCTGCTTCACCAGCAACACGGTCATCGAGCGCCATCTTACTCAAGCCTAGCCGGAGAATTTGCTCCTCAATCGTGTCCTTCGTGACTAGACGAATGACTTCGACTTCACGAGTCTGACCAACTCGATGAGCCCGATTCTCTGCCTGAATGTCATCTTGAGGATTGAAACTGCTGTCGAATATGATGACTTTATTCGCACAAGCCAGATTGATTCCTGCTCCACCAGACTTAGTCGACAGCATGAAAACGGGAATGCTTTCGTCCTTGTAAAACTCGTCAAGCATGTCCTGCCGCTGAGGAATGGGCGTCGACCCATCCATTCGGAGAAATGGCATGTTCAATTCTTCCAGGACCTGTTCAAGAATGTCCATCACAGTCGTGAATTGACTAAATATAAGCGCCCGGTCGCCGTTGGTTTGGAAAGTCTTCAATAGCTCAGCAAGCTTCTCAACCTTTCCGCTGTTCATGCATTCCGAATTTTTGAGCATAAACCGAGAAGTCTTTCTCGGAAATTTTAGTAGAAGTTGGTGGACTGCGTAATCAGAATAGTATTCTATATCCTCATATACCAACTGCTCGTTGCGATCAGGAAGTTTATCATCGGTGCAAAGTGCTTTGGCGACCTTCCGGAGCTTAGTATCATCGTAGATATGACGCAGCAACAGAGGATGTATTGCAGCTTGTCGCAGCCTCATTAGATTCAGAGCGCGATCGTTGTTCGCAATACCAGCGGCACGATCCTCGAGCACTTTGCGCTGTTGAGCAAGTTGTGCATCGTAAAGTTTCTTCTGTGTCTCGCTAAGGTCACAGTACACCACCCGGTGATGTTTAGCTGGCAGGTGCTTTAATACTTGTTGTTTTTTTCGGCGAAGAATAAACGGAGCAATCATTGCTCGTGCTCTTTGGATTCGCTTTTGGGAAAGAAGTGAGGAGTGATCCGAATCGGTGATTTTGGTCTTGTGCTTGAACACATGGAGCAATTGTTCTTGATGCTCCATAAAAGTGTCCGGCATAAGGAAGGCGAGCAATGATATCAGTTCCTGAAGATTGTTCTGCAACGGCGTTCCCGTCAGTAAAAGACGATGCTTGGCCTTGATACGGATTAGCTGCTGATATCGCTTTGTGGTACTGTTTTTCAACATGTGTCCCTCATCGTAAACGCAAACTTCTGCCCCGATTCTCCTCAAAAACTTGTTGTCAGGATCCCGACACGCACAATCGTACGTCGTGACAACGACATTAATGCGGTCAATAGTCTGCTCGATTGTTTCACGTTGCTCTGCACGCTCCGCTAAAGAACCGTAGTAAGGTTCCACGACTAAATTTGGGGAGAAAGTCTTAAACTCTCGAAGCCAATTTTCCAACGTCGAACCAGGAACGATGATGAGGTGCGGTCCCTCTACACCAGTTTCGCTAAGATGAGATATGAAAGCTATCACCTGGCATGTCTTGCCCAGACCCATGTCGTCAGCTAGTATGCATGATAGCTTTAACTTCCAGAGAAGGGAGAGCCAATTGAGGCCTACTAATTGGTAGTCCTTGAGAACAATGTCTTTCGACATGTTTGATGGCTGTTTTAGGAGGTCTGCCGTCATAATATCCTTACTAGGCTCAGGGGTACCTGTACCGGAATCTTTCGCGCTGGACGGGCCAAGCGATGTGATGGCTACTTCTCCTTCGAGAGCAAGACCATCGACGTTTATGCCCCATTTACCAAGCTCTTTCGAAATGGCATTTCCCTCTCTGTTGCAAGCGTCGACGAGCTCATCTACCGCCTCCAAACCAGCCAGCATGTCCTCGCATACGTCTACAATCCTCTCGCCTATTGGTTTCGGCTTTGACCTCTTCTTGCCTTTGCCGGAATCAGGTGGACTTGGCAAAGCAACCTCCCTAACCTGTGACAAATTGCGAAATGGTCGTTTCGAAACTATGAGCTCTGCCACTTCTATAGTCTGTTGGGCAAGATCTGCAATCTCAAGAGCATCTCGGCTGTTGAAGAATTTGAGCAACCTGTCTTTGAAATCGTACGGCACATCGTCTGCCGCATGATCATCGCTAGATTCAACTATGACCGGCTCTTCATCGGACAGGATATCGATAACAGAAGTAAGCTTGGTTTCGGCGGCTTCAACGTCAGAGGAAGAAGCTGCTCGCGGGCGCCTTTTCAGTCGTTTCAGAGTCTTCTTAGGAGGGCTTACTGGCAATGGTGGAGAGGAGGATGGTATGGTGTGGACAATGCGCGGACGATTCGCCATACCTTGGGCCGCACCCTGACGGCTGTACTTTTGCGTAATGCTACCTTTGTCCACTACCTGGCGCTTCATGGTGGGCTTCGAAGGTGCCTCTACCGCGACCGATGAGTGCTTAGGAGACGGTGAAGGGGACTGGCTGAGCAGCTTGTCCATAGCGTCTTGTGAATGATTGCGACATTCTTGCAATGCTTTGTAACACTCGATTATGGATTTATGGGTGACATCCCTAACTTCTTCCACAAGCTTACGGGTATGCCAATCGGGAATATCGTCCAAGCTCATTTCGCATTCTACTGGCTGAGCTCTCGCTGGGCCCATCTGTCTACCATGATCTAATCGCCTCTTGCTAGAAGAACTTGCATTTGCATATGCGCTAACGGAGTCGTCAAGCTGTCGCTTCTGGGGAACCTGGTACTGATTCTGCTGCTGCTGATTCTGCTGCTGTTTGCGCTGCACTCCCTTGAATATGAACTGACTAGGATCGAAGGACCGAGATGTTTCTGGCACTATGTGTGGATTGGACCCTGTTTTGAAAGACGTTCGGGGAATATTCGCACGAGATACGTTGCGGCTCAACTCGTCTTCTGAATTTTCTGCTAATATTGGCTCGTCTTCGCCAGGGGCGACACCTTGAGACGCGTCCACTATCCGGTTTTTTGGTATAGCAACAAACGTCCCTCTTGGAGCCATTGAGTGGATCAGACGCTGCGTCTCCTGAGACGGCATGTGCTGGCTTGAATGTGAAGAATGGTAGCCATAGCGCGTCGATCCAGCGTAAGGCGAACTTTGGAAGGGTGATGATGCAGCGACTTGAACGTTTGGTGCACGCCGAGGTGGTGTACCTAGTAATTGCGTGGGTTGTGTAGAGTACGTCGATTGCGGGTTATACCCGGTCGGGGGGGAGATCTGATCCTGCAAACGACCATAGCTGATTTTTGGTCTTGATATTGGAGCATCAAGGGGAACGGTGGCTTGTGTTATGTATTCGTCGACTATGTCATCATCGAAATCGTCATGCGCCATGGTGAAGGAGTGGTGCCTCAGTAACGTTGATATTCTAGGTTTGAGACGTGATGTTGCAAAGTGTAGTAAGTGAGAGTAAGTGTGGACAAAAAGTGCGAGTCACAGACGCAAACGTTCGAAAGACGTGAAAGGACGTAGGGTGGTGGGGCTCTAATTATTGTGAATGGGAATGGGATTTCCCAGTTCAGAGAGCTCAAAGAAAAGTCGCGTCGCGCCGGCCGAGGTTTAGCGCGTAGAGATGGATCCGCCCCTTTCCGCATTTGGGCGTTTAATGAGCTGAGCCCTATCCATAGCTAGAGACAGCGGAGCTTAATGTCTGATAATTTCGCTATACAAAGAGTACCATCACACAGTCTCTCCTCTTTGCGCCTGATTGACTTTTGGTTGTATACATCACCGCTGTAAAGTCCCTTCTCATCTCTCCCCTCACTTGTTTCGTCATCACCGGAACTTGGGACCTCAAACACCAGCAAAGTGTGACACCAGACACCATGGCATCGAGGCGAATTCTATCAACAGAGAAAGGTGTTCTCGATGTCGATCAGAACGGCAATGCGGCTTCAACGCCTTCGAATGAGAAGTCTGATATCTCGCCCGCCGTGCCTGCGTGAGTATCTGCTTGAGAATATGCATTCGTGGCTAACCCCAAAAAGCTCAGTGATATATAAGTTGCTGGCTGCTACGCTCGCAATGGTTATATTACCTCTCGGTACATACTTTGCAACGGTAAACACTATTTTCAAAGGTGAAAGCTCTCATGATTCTTCTATAGCTTCGACCTCATTTATTCACAGGCAATGCCACTTTTGCGGGAGCAACCGCCGCGGTCATGGCAAACGTGGTTCTGATTGGTTACATCATTGCTGCCGTGAAAGAGGATGAGTCGGAACGGGTAGACGCAGATAAGAAGTCGAAGAAGTCAGAATGAGGTTGTATTATGACTTCAGTCGGATTTAAACTTCGTACGGCCAGCGGTTCTGAAATCACCAGCTAGACAGACAAATCGGCTTACAGTTAGGTCGGAAGTGATCGTTACCTGATCGGAAGTGTGGAAGTGACTTCCGTATGTCTCTATACTCATCGCTCTCCGATCAAGCCGTAATCAGGTTAGGACGATGAAACGGAAAAGATTACCTTGAGCAGCGTGGCGCGCAAATTTCGTAATATGTAGTTTGTGACATCCAGCTTTCGGCTTCGCCGAGACAGGATGCTGTAGATATTATACAAGATGTGAAGGGTCCCGCCCACCCGTTCACCCCGCAGCCAAATTTCTGCAGTCCCCTATATACTCTATACTACTCAAAAGTCGTGCCGTACTATGCGTCTGAAACAATGATTCGCTACACCAAATGCTGTATCCATGCCACCCGAACTCCATACAATGAAATTATCCGAAAGTACAAAGCTTTTTGCTTCCCTGGGTATATCCTTACGCCTGAACAAATGCTTCCGCCGGAATCAGTCCTGCTGCTTTCGCGCCTTCAAATCTCTGAATTGCTTCCTCGAGATTCCATCCACTCTCCTCCAAACACTGTTTCGAGAATGATACAATCATACCAGTTCGTCTGCAGACTTCCGTAATCAATGGCTCCTGCTGTCCATTGGATTCGAGCTCATCTGGTTTCCACGCAGCGAATCCCCCGTAGGCGCGAATGGTCAAGGTGTCGCTGACAATTCTTACACCGCCGTTTACGCCGGGGCCGAGGACAAAATTGCGATCGAAGCTGCGTGATTTCTCGGCATTGCCAGCCCGCTCGTCTAGCTCTTCAAATTCGCCGTGAATATCAATGATAAGTCCCCCGACGCCACCGGGGTGCTGCCTGGTTGCGTCTGGAACGCTCGGTAAAGACTGACATTCGATGCACCATTTCTGTCCTGAATTTCCCAGGTCAGGATGTCGAGTTTTGGGAAGAGATGAGATGATTTCCAAGATCTTAGCCGGCCCTGTGTATTGACGATTCACTCGTGCGGGAAGATGACTGAGAGCTTTCAAGTTGCGAGACTTGCGAATATAAGCATCCCATTCCTGTTTCTCCATCTTCTGTCGACTGAGTGGATCTGAGATGCCGCGGTTGTTGAGGGAGAAAGAGAAAATCGACTCTGTGTCGTAGTACATGTTGACCAATGCCGCACGGTCTGTGTCGTAACCCGCGAAGAAGCTGATGATAAAATTCTTGGCAATATCGCCTTCGTCGTGAAACATAGGGCCGCGTACGGGAAGGGCCTTCTTGACTCCATGTGATGATTGAAGCGCTTCCTGGTCTGTCCGTATTTGTTGGTTGTTGAGTGTTCGCAGTGCAGGGTACCAATTCCTAATTTGAATGTAGAAGGCGGGATCCTGTTGCTCAAGCGGATTGCCGTTGAGAAGCAGTTGATCAAGGGCTCGAAATTTATGTTTCCAATTTATCATGGACGAGAGAGTGGGTATCTTGTTGTTTGAAAGGTCTAGATTTTTCAAGTCTGGGAAAGTCTGCGCCAGTGTAGTGACTGGAGATACGCTTCTAAGGTCGTTATTGGCGAGAGTGACGCTGAAGACTGTATCTCGCTTCTCCTGAGCAGTTTTGAACTGTTCGTCGCAGACTTTCATGAGAGCAGGAAAGAAGTTTGCCGGTTGCGCAATGCTCGTGAGCACACCGTTGGCTTTCAACTGAGGATCGCTGGCGAGACCGCTTAGATCAAGTAGTTTGAGATCGGCGTTGTATCGTCGTGAGATCAAATCGGTGAGAATAGGCCTTGCATCGGCTTGCATCTCTTGATCACCACCATTCTTGTCCGAAAACGCATTCGACTGTTGGGCTGGTTCAATCTGGAGGTTGACGCCGGCCCACACCCATTTATTCATGACACATAGAGAGGCGCCCACGTCGGGAGTCGTGCTAATGATGACGGCATCCCCGTCGATGTGATACTTTTTGAGCGAAACTTGAACAGGTTTTCGGTTGCCATTTGATATGCTCTTCTTGGTGAGGTTTGTGGTGACTTTCTTCTCCAGGAAAGTAAGAAGTGAATGAACACCGCCATCTTCGTTGGTCGAGGCTTTGCTGTTCTTCCAACCAGAGACTTTGACCGCTTTGATTGCTTAGTGGAGTTAGTGTGAGGTATACTGATGGTGTCGGAAAGGCGGTAGCGTACATTTTATGTTGGAGGGCTGCGCTTGCTTGATGTTTGCATTGCCTGAAGTAAGATGTCTTATTATCGCGTTCTGTGTTGATTTTGCGTGGATATTGTTTCGCGGTTTCGCGGTCCCATTCGTGGTTGTGGTCGAGGTATTGGTCGTGGGCTTTCCCCTACCCTTCCCAATCTTGTTGTTCTGGTTCCGAGGTGTAGCATCCATCATCAGGTCGCCGTCACGGTCTGTGCGAACACCGCTTCGACGTTTATGCGCAGCGCCACGGGCGAAGCCATCGCTACTGGCAACCCGTTTAGAGACCGCCGGAGCCATATCAAAGTGAGTTGCAGGAGACTGGCTTATAAATAGACGTGATGACGACCCTGGCGTGATGCTTGTCGACTTTGGTGTTGCGTCGCGACAGAACGCTGGGTTTGAGGCTCGACTGTGGTACAGAAGAGTTTTTTTAGTTGGGGAGCGAAGTGGCAGTTGGAAGGTTAAATCTGAAGTGGACGTTGAGAGTTGAGTCTGAGTGCGTTGTCTGATGTTGTGTGGTCTTCTTCAGTGTTCAGTGTGCAGTGAGGTGTGTAGAGAGAAGGATGAGGTGACTAGACACAGAGAGACAAAGACCGGAATTCTGGCGGTCACGTGCGCGGCACTGGGCGGATTCAAAGTTTTCACTGCCGTGGAAACCTGCTCGTAGAACCGCGGATCTGCCAACCGTAAGAGAAGAGTTGTATAGAAGTCTAACCTAGTATTTTGATAGGTACCATGGTTCTATTCAGTATATATGGCCTAGGAGACGTTTGGGCAATCAATAAGTACTTCAAGATAGCACTAAGCAGCCTAAGCTATTTTGCTAGGCACCAAGGCTCCCGCGAGGCTCCCACCTCCCGCTGCAAGCCACCCGCATGCTCTACAGCTATTAATTGATATGATCATGACACACGTCCTCCAACACGAACCCGTGCGCACAACGTTAATCGTTCTCGATCTGTGTATCTGTCATCCGTCCTGCTGTCCATCAGCTGGTGCTGCCTGAATCGGTCTGACTCATGCATCTAGGTTCTTATGAATAGCCCTTGTGCTGCCATCTTGGCGCTGGAGCAGTGAACATACGTCTGAGGCCATGAATTCGCATGGGCTTGCAAGATGAAAACTGTATATCTAGCCATATCACTTGGTCATATATCAAGTCGGGAGGGATCTCTGGAAGACTAAGACGATACGCTATGTTCCAACGATCATCTGGCCTCAGAGCAGGGGCTTTTTTTCTGGTCGGTGAGTATAATAACGTTGTAACTATGTACACGCATCAGTCCCTTGGTCATCAAAGCGGAATATCACGCACTAGCAGGTACCTTCCAATAGCTCAGTGCAATGCGTTCTGTCTCTATGGGAGCTCAGACCAAAAAACGTAACGATTACAAGTCTTTGATAGAGGTACAAGTCTTTGATAGAGGCCAGGGTCCTTGTAAAGTGTACACACATCGGTCAGAAGTCTGGTCTCAAACAAACACACATATGAGATTGGACAATGTCAAAAATGACCAATACTCCGGTCGCAGTCTAATGATAAGACTTGATCAAGTTGGTATGATTGTGTGACGACGAGAAAATCTGCCTTCGTCATTACCTTAAGTCAAAAGCGACGCAGACTCGTTTGAAGAAGCTGGTCTTATTCCATCAAACGCCCAGACAACCTGTTGATTTGTATACAAAGCGTTATTGGCATCGATTTTTCGCCGCTAGTAGTCTTTTTCTTATGGAGATGATCAACGGGGCTGAAAGTTCAGTGATCGAAGTGATTCACCAATTATCCTCGTCGGACTCTCAGTCTGTGTTGTGTCCAGCCAGAGACCGTTGAGGCGCCCTCCGAGTCGCTTTGTTGTCAACTTCATACATACTTGCGCCTGATGTCCTAGTTGCTTACTACTTGTAATCTTTGCTGAAGGCAATAGTTGGTGAGCCTGTAAAGTTTTACGATCAGAAGCTCAAATGGAAGGATGGTGGAGTTGAGTCTCGATTCCGAAAGTTGTATCTAGTGTTGATTGGCCTCAGCCCGAATTGTGGCGAGACCTCGGCGGAGGCTTGACTAGTCCCGATCCATTCATGTGTGGTACTCTGCATCTGCATCTGCCTTGGAAGAAGACCGCGAAAACATTACTTGCGCACCCAACACGATCTCTCCATATCATCTCCTACTACCAAACGTGCCTGGAATCCAAGTCAAACGGCCCACCTACAGCTACACCAGCGGTTTGAAGCCGTGTCTGGCCTGCGATAACGACCCTCCATCGCAACAACCGACCCCGAAAGCTTCTGTTTATCGTCGCGGACATTGCCCCTGCAGAGGAGGCTCTTCCAGCACAACATCCTGTCCACCATGGCGGCTCTCGGCGATGATCTACTTGGGATCGTGAACAAGCTTCAGGACTTGGTTTTCAATACTATTGGAAACGACTCTTTAGACTTGCCTCAAATAGTATGCCCCACTTCATCAGACGTTTACTCAGAGACAATGAGCCGTAACTCACTGCTGCATTCAGGTAGTTGTTGGGTCGCAATCTTCCGGCAAGTCTTCAGTTCTCGAAAACATTGTCGGTAGAGACTTCCTTCCACGTGGTAGTGGTATCGTCACCCGTCGGCCATTGATCCTGCAACTCATCAACGTTCCAAGTGATCGGGATGATAGACCAGAGGGCGATGAAATTCACATACCACATACACCAGCGAGCGTCGCAGGTCATCAGGAATGGGGTGAGTTTCACCATATCCCAGGGAGGAGATTTTTCGACTTCGGAGACATAAAGAGAGAAATCGAACAAGAGACGGCGCGCATAGCTGGAAACAACAAAGGCATCAATAGGCAACCTATCAATCTGAAAGTGTACTCGCCTCATGTCCTCAACTTGACGCTGGTCGATCTGCCCGGGCTTACAAAGGTTGGTCGATCCCACGTTAACTTGCTGCAAGACTTAACTCCGTAGGTTCCCATTGGCGACCAGCCTACAGATATTGAGAAGCAGACGAGAAACTTGATCACTGAGTATATCGCGAAGCCCAATAGTATCATATTAGCCGTGTCTCCCGCCAACGTAGACATTGTTAATTCCGAGGCATTGAAACTGGCTCGACACGTAGATCCCATGGGTAGAAGAACCATAGGCGTACTTACAAAACTGGATCTGATGGACCATGGCACAAATGCTCTCGATATTCTCACTGGGCGCGTATATCCGCTCAAGCTGGGGTTTATCGGAGTTGTAAACAGGTCACAGCAAGACATCCAGGGGAACAAATCTCTTGCCGATGCGCTTCAAGCCGAAAGAGACTTCTTTAGGCACCATCCAGCCTATAGGAATATGGCGACTCGATGTGGCACCCAGTTTCTCGCAAAAAGCCTCAATACTACCCTTATGAATCACATCCGAGAACGTTTGCCTGATATCAAAGCCCGCCTGAACACGTTGATGGGCCAGACCCAACAGGAATTGGCGAGCTATGGAGACGTAGCTTTTACTGGTAAGGAGCATCGCGGTTCTCTTATCCTACAACAGATGACAAAGTTTGCCTCGTCATTCATATCATCAATCGATGGTACGTCTTCGGAAATATCTACAAAAGAGCTTTGTGGTGGGGCCAGAATCTACTACATATTTAATTCGGTCTTCGGAAACTCACTGGAACTTATCGATCCAAATACGAATCTCTCGGTTCAAGACATCCGTACAGCGATCAGAAATTCGACAGGACCACGTCCGAGTCTCTTTGTCCCTGAAATGGCATTCGACCTTCTTGTGAAGCCTCAAATCAAACTTCTCGAAATTCCCAGCCATCGGTGTGTGGAGCTTGTTTACGAGGAGCTGATCAAAATCGGACACACTTGCGGATCCACCGAACTAAGCCGATACCCTCGGTTGCAAGGCAAACTGATTGAAGTAGTTTCTGATCTTCTTCGTGAACGTCTTGGTCCATGCTCAAGTTACGTGGAAAGTCTGATCTCCATCCAACGAGCATATATCAACACAAACCACCCCAACTTTCTTGGCGCAGCAGCAGCTATGTCTTCCGTCATCAATGACCGGAAGGAGCAGGAAAAGAAAATAGCACTGAACGAAGAGAGGCGCAAACGCGAAAAGAGACGCCAGAAAGACCTCAATGGCTTGAACGGTGTCGATACTCCTGAAGACGATGAAGAAGCGGTGGAAGCTACAGACAAGCCGTCAACACTGGCTGTGAGAGGTCACTCGAAGACTAGTAGGAGCATGTCTCCTGCTGTGCGAACTGGAACCCATGGAGCACACAGTATCGCATCTGCATTGAACAATGCGCGCCCTTCTTCGCCAAATCGCATGAGCCATGGTGCTGCTCAAGGATCCGCTCGCGACAGCTTCCTAAATTATTTCTTCGGTAAGGATGGTGTCCCTAGTTCTGCACCGGTTGGCATGCAAGTGCCAGAAAATCGACCTGGAAGTCGCCATGTTAGCCAGAACTCGCAGCCAAGCATAGCTACTAGCCTGCGAAGGGGCGACACCCGGACCATCGACCGACCAGACCGTCATGTTCTGGAGGTAGCTCAAGAAGAGCTTGATAATGGGTCGGAAGCCCGTGATTACTATGACACACCTTTCGTAAGCCTCTCTATTTATTTGTTGCGCACTCTCACTGACACTTGGGTAGCAATTTGGCGAAAGTGATGTTCCTCCGCTTACGGAACGAGAAGCTCTCGAGACCGAGCTTATTCGGAGGCTTATCTCATCGTACTTCAATATCGTTCGCGAGACGATAGCTGACCAGGTCCCTAAAGCCATCATGCATCTTTTGGTCAATTTTTCGAAAGACGTTGTCCAAAACAGGCTCGTAAGTGAGTTATATAAGGAAGACCTCTTTCAAGATTTACTGTACGAGGATGATGCGATCAAGGCAGAAAGGGAAAAGTGCGAAAAACTTTTGAAAACGTACAAAGAGGCGGCTAAAATTGTCGGCGAAGTTTTATAAATGCGGCAGCTGGTGGAATTTTGTACACAGTCGACGAAGGAAGCCGGCTTCTTCGGTATCTATACATTCGGAGGATTCCTCTTCGTCTCCGATCCTCTGTCACAACTGTATGTCCCATGGTGGCAGGGATTCTCGCGGCTCAGAACACTACATGTAACATATTTCAGACACTTCAAGGTACGGAACTACCTGTATCACAAATAATTCATGTACACTGTATCATATTTGAAGTACCGCTGTCAGACGCAGCTCATAATGATTACGTCAGTCATGCATACTTATTCACAATGCCATCTGTAAAGTATAGGAATCCACTCCCTGTAGCAGATGCCGATTTCCAGGATCCACAACCATACGGGTAGTGGGGGCAAAGCAGAGTCGCCTAGCCAGTGACCTACCTAGTCACGTTGTTGCCCAACAGGCCCGTATGCCATGGTTCGTCATCGATGAACGCCTCGGTGACGATGGATCTGCGCGTCGTTCTAGCGCAAGCGGCAACAGCACACAATACAATGTCCATTGCCATCTTTTCTTAACTCCTTAGCAATATGGTCGCTCGTCGCTCTCATTGCCATCTTATCGTCTTCTCACTTTCCGGGCACTTCGAGCTCTCAATCTACTAAGTCTCATGGCACACGATGAACGTACGCCTCTGCTAAGAGACGGCGGCGAGCAAGCCGAAACCCAATATGAGGTACTTACATCCACTTTCCAGACCTATCAGCTTCACTTTCACAGCTTCTTACGCCCAACAGTACATTGATTTCGCAAAGGACGATGGCGAGAACCCGAGGTTGTGGCCTCGCTCCAAGAAAATGACAAACGTAGCCGTCATCGCCGCTATGGCAATTCTTAGCCCTCTTGCAAGCTCCATGTTCACACCCGGTATACAGCAAGTTGCTGACGATCTCAACACGTCCACTCGGGCCGTCGTAGCGACGCAAAGCGGCTTCGTAATAGCGCTTGGAATCGGTCCGTTGGTCCTCGCACCTCTCTCAGAGACCTTTGGCCGGCGTGTACTGTACATGGTCGGTTTCAGCACTTTCACACTGCTGCAGATACCTGCCGCCCTCGCACCGAATATCGAGTTACTGATTGCGGTTCGCACAGTCTCGGGATTTTTTGGAAGTGTAGGCATTGCCAATGGTGGTGGCACAATCAGTGATATGTTCCCTGCAAGCGAAAGGGCTGGTGTGTTTGGTTGGTATCTGCTAGGTCCCTTGCTGGGCCCGACGTTGGGGCCATTGTTTGGTGGAGTCATTGTACAAAGACTTGGGTGGAGATGGGTCTATTGGGTGCTCCTCATCGTCTGCGCTGCCAATACTCTGGCTGGATGGCTTTTCTTGAAAGAATCGTATGCACCGAGGATCCTCGCTTTGCGAAAGAGAGCGCGCGAGAAAATTGAGGATGTTACTGACAGGTACACATTCACAAGTGAAGATCGAAGACCCCTTTCAAGGAAACTCAGGACGTCGCTAGCACGGCCTTTTCGCATATTTTTGCAACCAATCGTCATCACTATGTCTATCTACCAGGCTTTGATATTCGCGACTACATACAGTCTCTACACAAACTTCCAGGATATCTACGGAGAGTTGTATGGATTCAACTCGGAGCAAGTAGGATTGATATACCTTGGTCCTGGACTAGGATTCCTCACTGCTGTCTGGTTCCTCGTACCTAAGATAGATACAGTTTACAACAGACTTGCTTCTAACGATGGCGGGAAAGGGAAGCCAGAATTCAGGCTTCCATTAACAAATATTGGCTCGGTACTCGTCCCTGGCGCTCTTTTCTGGTATAATGTTCAACGAACCCCACATGAAACCATTACTGACTCACTTCAGGTTTGCATGGACTGTAGAGTACAAGGCCCCATGGCCTGTTACACTTCTTGCCACCTATTTCTACGGCATTGGACAAGTTATGATCATCAACACGGTGCAAAACTATTATATCGATTCTTTTGAAGCCTATGCTGCATCAGCTATAGCGGCAGGCGCTGTCTTCAGGTCCTTTTTCGGCGGGGTCGTGCCGCTGTTTTCGCCTTCGTTGTTCAAAAGTTTGGGGTATGGCTGGGGCATCAGCGTTTTTGCATTTATCGGCGTAGCTCTGGCTCCAGCGCCACTAGTGTTCATGAAGTATGGCACTACAATTAGACACAAGTTTCGGGTCAACTTGTAAATCCGTCTTTTTAGACTCAATATGGGTTCTGCTTAGTGTTATATGGAAGCAGTTTAAAAATTGAGGGAACAAGGTTCCAAATACCCTGAGCGGCCTATACAGACAAATTGGACGACCATATGATGCCAGTACCCCTCATACCGACAACTGAGTACCCACTTTAAAAGGGTATAGATTGAAACAGCTTGCCCCACCCCCGCCATGAATTTTTCACTCGTCATCGTGAGATTCAAGAAAAAAAATCACATCGCTGATTGTTCCTAAATAACAGGTCAGTTGTCGGAATTTAAGATGGTATCCGAGCACGATGTCTATCAGTCACCTCTCAACACGCGCTACTGCAGCGATGAAATGAAATATCTCTTCTCTGCACGGAAGCGATTCTCGACATGGCGTCAGCTGTGGACATGGCTTGCTGAGGCAGAAAAAGAATTGGGGTGTGATATCAGTGACGAAGCCATCGACCAGCTAAGGTCAAGCCAACAAATCACGGATGAAGAGTTCAAAGACGTTGCCGTGGAAGAGCGTAGGAGAAGACACGATGTCATGGCCCACGTTCATGTATACGGGCAGACATGCCCGGCAGCGGCGGGCATCATACATTTGGGGGCGACGAGCTGTTACGTTACTGACAATGCAGACCTCATATTCCTCAGGGATGGTCTGGACATCCTCATCAAGAAATTGGCGACATGTATAAAGAGACTGAGCGAGTTCGCGATGCAGTACAAAGACATGCCATGCCTTGCATACACACACGGCCAGCCTGCGCAACTCACAACCATCGGCAAGAGAGCCGCTCTTTTCATCACCGATCTCCTCATGGACCTGACCAACCTCGAGCATTCTCGTGATACCCTCGCCTCCCGATTCCGTGGCTGTAAAGGCACTACCGGTACCCAAGCCTCCTTCCTGCAGGTCTTCCACAACGATCACGACAAGGTTGAGCAACTCGACGCCGTCGTCACAGCAAAAGCCGGCTTCAAGAAGGCCTTCACCATCACCTCGCAAACCTACTCCCGCAAAGTCGACACCACTATAATCAACTACCTCGCTGACTTTGGCGCCACCTGCGAGCGCATCGGGGGCGACATTCGCCGCATGGCCGCCAACAAAGAGATGGAAGAGCCCTTCGAGAAAGACCAGATCGGCTCGTCGGCCATGGCATATAAGCGCAATCCCATGCGCTCCGAACGCATGTGCTCTCTGGGCCGCCATCTCCAAAGCCTGACGCACAACGGCCTGACAAACTATGCCGCGCAGTGGTTCGAGCGCAGTCTCGACGACAGCGCAAATCGCCGCATCACGATCCCCGAAGCATTCCTGACCGCCGACGCGTGTCTAATCTTGCTAGACAACATCTCAAACGGGCTCGTTGTGTACGAGAAGGTCATCCAGAACCGCATCGCGCAGGAGCTCCCCTTCATGGCAACGGAAAACGTCATCATGGCGCTAGCGGAGAAGGGCGTATCGCGACAGGAGTCACACGAGGAAATTCGGGTGCTGTCCCATGAAGCTGCGGCAGTAGTCAAGAACGAGGGCGGTCAGAATGACTTGATCGAGCGCATCAAGCGGACGGCCTTCTTTGCGCCGATTCATGGCGAGTTGGACAAACTGATGGAGCCCAGCAGCTTCATAGGACGTGCGCCGCAGCAGGTAGAGAAATTCATCACGGGCGAGGTTGAGGACGCGCTGCGGCCCTATAATATTGATGTGAGTGACGGCACGGTTAAAGTATGACTGCTGCGATACTGATTGATGTGTACAGCTACAAAATGTGAAAGCGGCACAGCTGAATGTATAAACAGCTCGCCTTGTACGCACAACTTGACGTTCGTCCGTCATTACTCGCGGATTCCAGGGACTCTTCGTCCATTATTGTTTCTCCCTGCGTATAGAAAGACTAGACGAGGGGAACTTCGATACGGCAACGACCGATCAGATCGCCCAGATCATTAAATTGCGGAGCAATTTCGCATGGCTCTACGGACATTTGGTTGGCTCGACTATGCTAGCGTCGGAACTTAGAACGTATCGGTCGGCTTCTGGCGTATAATTTAAGATTGAACGGCGGTGCTCATCACAAACGAGCCATCACAGCAGATCTGAAGATTCCTAGAACGCTCTTGTTTTATATATTCAAATATGGGATCAAGTCATTATTCGACATTAGCGGTCCTATCAATCCATTAAAAGAAGGATATAGTCGGAAAAGACAGTCTAGATATGCCTGCTCCAGCTGCCCATGCAAGAATACCATGCCAGTGTGAGACGCTATGCTTTGCCAGTATTACAAGGAGTGGACGGTGCCCCGACAGCAACGCCGGTGCTCAATATGCGTTCATAGAAATCTGAGTTGAACGTGCGAAAATAGCGGTAATGGTAAGGAGGTGCGGGAGTTCGTCTTGACGCGTCCGAGACGCGTTGAGCTCTCCCAGTCGAAAGTCCTGAGGTGCGTCACTAATCTCTCTACAACAGTACGGCAAAGCCTCCGATCAGGCCAGACACTAGAACAGCGAATCCGAAGTTGGCACCTAAAACTCCTGCTGCTCCGGTGCCACCGTTGTTGCCATTGTTGCCGCCTTGGTTGTTGTCGCTTCCATCAAGGGATTGGAAATTGTCTCCGGTTGCATCTGCATCGGCAGCTCCAGAAGTGGCGCTCGGCCCAGTTGTAGATTTAGGCCCGACAGTGCTGGTAGTGTTTGAAAGTGTGGGACTTTGAGCTCCGCAGAGGTTGTCGGCGCTGGAGTGTGGTTAGTTGAAGGTCATAAAGTGAGAGACTTTGAACATACCGGCAGCGGTCTGCACAGGCATTGTTGGCGAGCCCGCAGTTCTTCACACACTGGTTGCCAAATTCCTGGCACTCGTAGAATGGGATGGTCAAGGAGTATTCTGTAAGGTTTGGAGATGTTCCATCTTCGCAAACGCAGCTGTACTCGAGGTTTTTCTGTAGTATTTGTGAGGACCAGATCATCATGTATCTCAAAGACAGTCGGGCTTACAGGATCACAAGTGTTGGAGCGGGTCGTAGCACTTTCGCCATTGTTGGTTTGAAGGCAGATGAGAGGGCATTGGGTCTTCTGATTCAAGCACCAGGACTGTCTGTCGCTTGAACTGACCGAGCTGGGGTCGATGTTGTAAGTCTTCTGGGTGAAGCTGCTACTGGCCAAGGCAAGTACAATAGAGGTGATGGTTACGGTCCGCATTGTGAATCTCGTTTGTTCTGCCATTCTCAAGTCAGTTGCGTGACACGGAGTGGCATGGTCCGTAGCCGTGTGGCACGGCAAGAAAAGCAGAACAACGTACCAAAGACGAATTGGAGCGGGATGAAGAGATTTCGAAGGGTGATTAGAAGATTCTAGAGTAAAAGGAGCAAGTGAGCAACGAAGAAAAGCGAGTGTACGGTGATGACCAGAAGCGAGTGTGGTGTAGTGGTGGTTGTGATGGAAGAAACAAACGGAGCTGTGAGAAGAAGTGGTCGGACACTGACAGGGAGCGCGCTACAGGGAGATATTGAAAGCACTGGCCGCCTTGTCGCAGAGCTGCAGACTAAGTTAGTCCCGAATAATATGGTGGCACTCCCAGTAAAAGTTAGTCTTTGTGCAGCTAATCAATACCTGTCGTGGAAAGACATCACTGCGGAGTAGCCCTGTGACACTTGATGGTTGTCTGCCGAGTGTTTTCTATTCGATTGATGTTTAGTGGGCTCAACCTGAGGTATGCATCCCACACAGCAGCAACATCATGACCTTACTAGTCGCCGTCGACATGCCGACTCAGAATCAATAGAACAACATCAATAGCATATGCCGTCTCATGGCTGTTGAGATGCGTGAGGAGTGGTAGAGAGCTTGAGGGACTGGCCAATGGGGACCATCCGACGGATTTGCATGGAGAAGAGTGGCCGTTGTGGATCAATGGACCCTGATCTTGATTCCTGATTCCACAGCGCTACTGTCAGACGGTATCATGATCCATGGCACCAACTCCCGTCATATTCATTGACGCATCATTATCGCCGCCCCGCGCTGCGACACTTTTGGCTACGCCTATCCATTTCCCTCACTTCACCATCTTCTCGGCACGGTTCTTATCTGCCGCCAGGCCGCTTCATGCATGGCCGATGCTATGCCAAACCCAGAACCCCAGCATTCGTCATCCAATAGTCCCTCAAAATCCAGCCTTCAAGACATCATCCCACCATACTGGGGAGCCCACCGACGCACTACCAGCCAAATCTCTACAGATAACGGTCAGACTATCCGCCTTGAAGATAATACAGAGGAGAACTCCGAATCTAGCAGAGCACTCTGGGCCAAACATGTGACGATCGATGACTATGTCGTGGTCGACGGAAATCTACCCGGTGTGGGCGCATATGTCGTCTGGAATTGTATTGTGGAGACACTTGATGTAAGTCTCAATCGTCTAGACCAGAATTTCTTGTATACAAATGTCTAACCCTCATGCTTCTTAAGGGTGGCCCAATGACCATTCGGAAAAGGTTCGACATACCATTAGTATCATCTTTCAGGTGGTACTGACGACCTAGCAGATACTCCGAATTCGATGATCTCCGGAAGAAATTGGTTCAGACTTTTCCTCTTGCTGAAGCAGCCCTTCCTGAGATGCCACCAAAGAGTGTCATATGTATGTATACTCTGCATGATACCACACTGTGACTCACTGACATCGACTCAGCAAAACTCCGACCGCGATTTCTTGAACGACGAAGAATAGGTTTGGCATACTTCCTGAAGTAAGTGATGTGTTCACCGCATCACAGCTTCATTGTGACTGATTACACATAGCTGTGTCCTTCTCAATCCAGAATTCTCAGCCTCCCCCGTGCTGAAAGATTTTCTCTTCTCCTAAGTCGAGCTTTCGAAAAGCGTCCTTACGCACTGGCAGGGGCTATCGTACGTACTCCACGGATCTTGTACTGTTTGATGCCATTTCTATCTTGGACTGCTCATCGTAAAGACTATGAACTCTTGATACTTAGGTCGTGGAGACATGGCATGATTCGAACAAGCCTCAACACCGAAGTTTGGCGTGTTGTACACAAAAGCAGACAGCTTCAAGACTCACATCGCCGCCGCAGTCTGGTTATCACTTTGCTGCACACTATCAAAGACTCGAGGAGGTTATATTGATGTGTGTGTCAACGCCCTTCGTGTAGACCTGGATTTGTATACCCAACAAAAGAGAAGTCATCCCTGCGGACACGATACCATCAACTGTTCTACCAAGCCAATGATTATGAGGGGATATCTGGGCGGCTCGAGAGGCAATGAAACGACGCAAGGCTGTCCCAACAACAAAATATGAGATAGCCTACTTTGCCAGGTAATTGTAGTGTTCAGGATCCACAACAACCTTGAAATAGGGAAAACGTCCTTTGAGCACCTGATCGACCCCTTGTCCAATTCTTTTTTTTCGGTATGGGAAACTGTTGACTTCAGCTTCTGAGCTCAGCTCGGGTCACCATACTACCGCAACCTCGGCGGAGGCGCGATGGACAAGTCTAAGAAACCATTGGCTCTTCGTATTCCACAAGTGCAGTGACACTGTCGCCCAGCTCCCTGCAAGGCTTCACCTGTCTGCGAGAGACGCTGCGCTGAATATGGTAGCAGCGGCGTTTATCAATACCGTTTACAGATTAATTAAGCGAGGGGCTGAGGCTGGCCCGCTCTGTGATAGCAACTTGCGGGAAGCTAATCCCCTAGTTACCCATGCCGCTTCATATTAAGGATGTCTATTCTTAACAGTAGAAAGGCTTAAAAGCTGAGGTGCAGCCCCAAGGTTTTCTGTGCCTCCCGACGACGATTCCACCGGCACTTCTTTCCTCGTTTGATCCTCCAGGGCAAAGGTGACTATCTCCTATTTCTTCCTGCTCGTATAGCTTTACTCAATATCCGTCACCATCCAAACACCTGCACTTGTCAATATTCCCATCTCCAGTATCTGTGACTCAAGAACTGCCTCAGTCATCACTTGGTCTAAAATGTGACTGGCTAATGCTGTGTAGCGTATTTTCTTCACTTGGAATCCCTAAATCATCCACCAATATGGGTTTTCTGGACAAGTTCAAGGAGCAGAAAGATAAGCATGTCAACAAAAAGACTGCAGACGATCTCGCGGCCCACAAGGATGCTGGCAAGCACGCCGGGTCTGTAGCTGAGAAGTTTGCGAAGAAGAGTGGTTTCGGCATGTTTTCTAAGGAGATTGGAGCCGGCGTCAAGGCCATCGTGGAGGGGAAGCAGAAAGCTACCTCTGAAGCCAAGGCCAAGGATGGAACTGCCACTGTCACCACCACCGAGACGCAAAAAGACCCAGCAACTGGTGCAACCACCGAAATTGTTGCGACGACCACGGCGGCGCCGCCAGGCAGTGCACCCCCAGCTACTGTTGATACTGCGGCTACCCCAGCTCCCACCACAGCTCCCACCACAGCTCAGCCTGCCGCGCCCCCAGCTGCTGCATGAGACCCGTCGAATTCATTCCAGTACATAAATCGACTTTCCACCTGCTAGATACCACTTTCGACGAAGCAAACCAAGCACTTCGTAGTACCGCAATTATTCAATAATGGATTACATTATGTTTCAAATTTCATCCATCATCACCTCCATAAGTGAATATGCGTAGATCACATTGAGCTTACCAGATAATACCACGTACAGGCAGCAGGTGACGCCCTTGGCATTAAATAGTGAGACGTTACTGTTTTAAGACTTTCAAGCTCGACGTTAACTGATTATTATGTACTCCATCGACTAGGACGGGGAGGAAGTTTTGGAGTTCCTCTTGGGTGAGATGTCAGAATTGATTAGTGTTCAGTACACAAGGCTCCGAGTAAGAATATAATTATGCTTTGATCGTGTATTATAGGAAGGTGGACTGGATATCATATTAGACCGCAGATCTGAAGACTTTGTTGCTTGTAATCTCAAAACGCATCATCAGTGGCTACAAGGCAGTCATCAACCTAAACATTGTTATCTTAGCGGCGAGCTAAGTTCTTGCCTCAGGCACAAATTGCGGAAAGCCCCAGCTCGCTTCATTTTCCTGACGACAGGCAATGGCAAGAGTCCGAAGCCAGCATCTCCGTCCCGATCGCAGTCTAAATGCAATGCTAGCGAGAACAATGACACAATATCGTCCAACGAGCCATGAACAGTACCTCAAAGCCCTCGTTGAGGTCGTCCGGTCGTTCTGCTCATTCTGAAAGCCGCGCGCCTACTGGCCAGGAGAGTCTCGCCGCGACGCCCGCGGCATCGACGCGTCGCGCTGCAAATCCGAACCCATTACCCATCATCGTCGAAACAACATCCGTCGCCAGGAAGCGACTTAAGCTGAACCCAGGTACCCCTAAACCGACCTCGAAAAAGAGCACCGCCACAGTGAGCAAGAGCGCTGCACGCGAGCGCCCTAGACCACCTACTCGAGTTACTGTCACACAACCGCATGGGAATCTTCTCCAAACGACTAATGGGGTACGGAAAACTCTTGACATTGTTGCCGATGACCTTTCGTCTCATCAATTGACCCTTAAGACAAATGAACGGAGCGAGAGCCTTCTCTCGCCCAACACAGACACCGAAAAGAAAGAGGACAAACGATCTTTACGATCACATGGAGCTGGATCTAGGCTCAAAAGCGATCTTGCGATATACTTCAGTAATTACGACGATGTGATAAATGACGCTCCTCGAGAACCAGGTTCGCACTGAAATCATCATTTGATATGGCCATGAAGCTCACCAAGCTAGAATTCCTGGATCTTGACACGCCCATCCTCGTAACCGATGAGTCGATTAAAGCCGGTATCGCTCAAGCCATGACTCCGTCCCCATCGAAAACAAGCTTGTCGCCCAAATCACGGCGCCCATCTATCAAATCGTCGACACACACTGTCGAACGGCGATCCTCGCAAATGAACTTTCCAATCATTGATTTCTCAACATTGTATAGACATGCACATCATGACCCATCTCAAGAGGACCCTCTCGATGACAAGGTTTTCTTTGCGCCACACCGGCGAGCAGAGCGCAAAGAGAAACAACTCCGCAACATTGAGAAGGAAAGAGCCATGCACGAGAAGGTCCACCTCGACAGGCTTCTCGAAGGTCTGCAGGGCCCGGACTGGTTGCGCATCATGGGCATATCTGGTGTGACCGATGGGGAAAAGCGTGACTGGGAACCGAAGCGTAACTACTTTCTCTCTGAAGTCCAAGCTCTCGTCGACAAGTTCCGCATATGGAAAGAAGGAGAAAAGCGCCAACGTGCAGAGAAAGAGGCCGCATTGTTGGCTCGCGAAGAAGAGGAAGCTGCGAGCAAAGCTCACAGTGAAGTTGATGACGAGCCAACAACCCCGGCAGAAGACAGTGATGCTCCGAATTCAAGTGACATAGATGCGTCTGCTGCTCATCAGCTATTACAAGAGGCAAGTTCTGCGTCGGTCATCGCCAGGCGGCCGAAGGCACACCCTCCAGTCGTCTATCTGCATCCGCCTGAGCCAGAATCGAATGAGCCTTTCACTTCTTTCTTCGCCAAACCCCACCTCCGAGCATCTGCCCTCGGATCACACCGACACGGTCGAACAGCGCTCGCGTTCGGTCAACCTGTTCCTGAGGTGGCAGATACCGAATTCACCTTACCACATGACTATCTTACGCCAGAAGCATTGAAGGACCATGCTCGAAAAAAGCGGCGCATGAAACGTGAAAGTACGGGAAATGTCAAATGATTGGATTGTTTTGGGATCGTATATGCATTGGTGGCGTTATAGTGGAAGGGAGTGTATTGTTGTCCAGCGTTTAAGCAAGCCTAGCACTATGGGAACATTGCGGTACATAGCACACATTATTGTAGCAATTGTGGTAGCCATTGTTCTGCTCGATGTCAAACACAGACCTGCATGTAACAATAGTCTTGTTACAGTCTTTCTTTCGCCATTCATTATAGTGAGTCACTCGAATCTCCTGGACCATTCACCCCTTCTCATCACGAGTCGCAAACGTCACAGCTTTGATGCCTGGCATATGAGGCATCAACGAGTCAATGCCCAATCAGTTAGACAACTCCTGCGGAAGTCGCAAACACCGCCCACCACAAAACTTACTCTTGCGAACATCTATACCCGCGACACACAGCATCTCGACGTCATACTACTGACTGTTCTGAAAGCCTGGAAGAGAATAGCATTCGCAATCTCTATACGGATCCTCCCCCGATCTCTGCGCGCCCTTAGCGTCTCGCGTCTCGCGCGACGTCCTCGCCTGCGCGCCGTCCTGGAATACCATCAACGTGGAAGATAACCTCAGACTCCGGCCTATTTCTGTCTAGATATGAGAGCTCGGAGGGCAACTTCGCTTCAAATATTCGGCTAGAGAGAAGGCGTCATGCCTGGGGTGCTGGAAGCCCTTGAGTTGGAGGTGGAGGCGGCGGAAGCGCAGATTCTTGAGCCCGGTCACGGCTTTACAGTTCTCTCGCAGAAGTTGGAGTTCGATGTGGATTTCGCCTCACGTACTATGGTAGGGAAGACGGAAATTACCATTCAGCCTACGATGAAAGAACTGAAGACGATAAGCTTGAACTGTCGCCAGTGCAAGTCCATTCGCGCTTCAGTGGAAGGCCGACAGGCGCCAATAGACCATGTGGATCCATATTCAGGGCTCTCACTATATCCTACGGTCACGGTCAATCAGCATCACTTTCTTCGTGCGAGAATCGATCGGCTGCGTGCCCAAAAACATGAGGAACTCACCATAGATATACCGATGGGGGTGCAGATTGAAGAGTTGGATCCAAATTCACCTCAAGCCGCCGAGATCTTGCTATCAAGGACTACAGGTGGCAGAGGAGATGAAGTGGACGGCAATGTAGGAGGTGATTCCACATTGTTGAAAATGGATGATAAAGGAGGCCCGTTGTTCAGGCCCCTAAGAGTCAACATCACATTTCAGCTTGCAGATATAAGAGACGGGCTCCATTTCGCTGGCATCGAGGATGGAGACTGCAAGTACCCGCATGCATATACCAGGAACTCAGCACTCCCAGGCCGTGCCTCATGTGTCTTTCCCTGCGTCGACAGTGCGTCATCCAGGTGTCCGTGGGAAATATCAGTACGATGTCACAAGACATTAGGTGACGCTTTCCCGAAATCCGAGCTCCCCGATCCGAGGGTTCCAGAAACTACATTGCGGAATGGACTATCCCCACATGACTCTGTTCATGAAGCTCTACCAGACCTAATGGACCTCGACGAGGAAGAGAAGAACCTCGACCTGGTCGTCATATGCTCGGGAGAGATGGCTGATGAAGTTGCCGATCTGTCCGATGCCTCAAAGAAGATTGTGTCCTTCTCATGTCTCGAGCCTGTTGCTGCGCACCATATCGGCTTTGCTATTGGTCCTTTTGAACATATTGACCTCTCCGAATACCGTGAGAGTGACCAGGATGACATGCTGGGATCTAACGCCATTCGTGTCAGCGCGTTCGCCTTACCAGGTCGAGCAGAAGAAGTCCGCAATACGTGCATGACATTGCCCAGCGCTACAGACTACTTCGTGATAAACTTCGGTTCCTATCCGTTTGGAACCTATAGCGTCTGCTTCGTAGAGGATTCGACTACAGAAGTTGTGGATACTGCATCCCTGACAATATGCAGCACAAGACTTCTATATCCAGAGAAAATACTCGACTCGCTCGACACGGTCACAAGGACTTTGACAAATGCATTAGCAAATCAATGGATTGGTGTACATGTTATACCAAGTCAACCAGAGGATTGGTGGGTTGTCGTCGGGGGCGCTCTCTTCATGACTGATATGTTCCTCCAAACCCTCTTCGGTAAGAACGACTACAGGTTTCGTCAAAAGTCCTACGCCGATAGAGTCGCAGAGCTCGATGTGAAGCGCCCCTCAGTCTACGACCTTGGAAAGATTCTCTTCGTTGACCCAGAAGAACTCGACTTCATGAAGCTCAAAGCGCCTGCCATACTGTTCATACTCAACCAACGTCTTATCAAGGCGAGCGGACGGAATGGTGTCCCCCGGTGCATTCACCGGATGCTGTTGAACGCAAAAACTGGTACACTTCAGAACGGCGAAATCTCCACCGCTAGCTTTATGCATATATGCGAGAAAATTGGCCATATGAAGCTCGATGTCTTCTTCCGGCAGTGGGTCTACGGCGCCGGTTGTCCGTTGTTCTTTGTCAGTCAAAGATTCAATAAGAAGAAGATGAACGTGGAAATCAACATCAGACAAAGTCAGATGCAACAAGCAGAAGCATCACCAGATGAGAACCTGACCTCGCTGAATTTTATGCGGGAAGTAAAGGAAGAGAACCATCAAGCATATGCTGGCCCGGTACAGCCTGTATTCACCGGTCCTATGACCGTTCGTATACATGAGGCTGATGGTACTCCTTACGAGCATATCATTGACATCAAAGATGTGACGACGAAAGCGGAGATTCCATATCATACGAAATACAAGCGTCTGAAACGAAGCAAGAGGGCTAAGGAGAGAGCTGCTGCTGCTGCTGGAATCGATGTCGGCGGAGACAATGAGAACGATGTCCTCATTTACTGTCTAGGCGATGTTCTTCAAACTGAAGATGAGATGAGAGATTGGTCGCTGGTTGACTGGCCAAAGGACGACGAGGACAAAATGGGGCAAGAATCATACGAATGGATACGCATGGATGCAGATTTTGAATGGCTGGGTCGCATCCAGGTCGCTATGGAGGACTACATGTTTGTGTCTCAACTGCAACAAGACAAGGACGTCGTAGCTCAGGTCGACTCTGTTCGTTGGCTGTCAGCGGCACACCGACTACTGAAACCGTTATATTCAACTATTCTTACTCGAACGCTTGCCGACAGCCGATACTACCATGGAATCAGGACAATGGCGGCTAATGCTCTAGTGACATTCGCTACTACCAGGAACGATTGCAACTTCGTTGGCAAGACGCATTTGAAGAAGGCGTTTACAGAGATGTTCTGCAACCAGGTCAATGGTAGTGCCGTCTCGCGGATGAATGACTTTTCCAATCGTGCGGCGTATATCATCAAGCTGTCTATCATCAAAGCGATGGCTAGGATCAAGGACGATAACGGCCAGGCCCCGAGTGATATCTCGCACTTCTTCCTGGATCGGTTGCGAGACAATGACAATTCGGAGAATGATTTCTCTGATAACTTTTACGTCGCTGGTCTTATGGATGCTCTTGCTGAAACGTTACGCGTCCCGAGAGTCAACAGTGACGACCTACAAGCTGAAATTGACGACCTGGATGTTCTCGAAAGCGCTAACAACCTCTTCAGCCGATACCAACGAAGCGACGAATGGATACCCTCATTTCAGAATGTTTACACGATCACCGCACTACAGTGCCAACTGAAGTTAATGGTCAGGGGTGCCATACCAAGGAGAATGTCCGAGTTTATGCAATATACCCGGCCTGGCAATTCAGACCTGGTCCGACTGAAAGCGCTGGGTTGCTTGACACAGTTTGGCATGCTCCGAAATAGTGCATTTGTGAAGTTCCTTGTACACCAGTTGGAAGCCGACCCGTCTCCATTCGTGAGAGAACAAGCATATCAGATTCTTGGACGTGGTCTTGGTCAATTCGCGACAGGGGAACTGACGATTGAAAGTCGGCCGGTCCGACCTACTAATGTTCAAAACGTCGGATTCGTGGTAGAACAAGAGATGACTGCAGAAACAAATCCTGAAGGTGTCGAACAGCGCAACAAGTCTTTGGATCTCGCGAAATCAGGCTTGAAGCAAGATTTGGGTAACAATGAGGTGCTCAAGACCGCCATGGAATCCGCGTTGAGGTCATCGATAACCGGCGTCAAGGAGATCGAAGATCTGCTTGACGTCTGTGGCCTGCTTTACGATACTGTAGACAAACTAGTCATCAAAGTCCGGATGCCACGCTACTGGCGGGTGACATACGCCGGCGAGGGCCGACTTATTTTCACTGAAAGCGAGAGAGTACGTTGGGAAGGAAAAAAGCTGATTCCAATCCCTACTTCAAAGCAATCAGTTCCAGGACAGCTCGCGATACCCGATGGTTCTATCATTCCAACAGTTGAACCAATCCCACCCGTCGGTAGCCAAGTGGCGCCTTCGCCGCTTGCAGAAACGAAGCCCCTAAAGATCAAATTCTCAACACGACCTTCAGACACTGGAGTAAGCACTGCTGCCCCAGTAGTGCGAACGCCGCCCGTTTCCTCTCCTGCTCAACTCCCTGTCCCTGCTACAGCTCCTATAATAAGTTCTCGCCCATCCCCACTACCCCACAAAGCTTCACCCCAGTCTTTAGTAGTCAAGCTGAAAGTGTCTAAGAAGCGTCTTCGTGACTGGGAAACCCAGTCATCGAAACCTTTGAAAACTCCAAAACCTCGATCTTCAGGTTCACATAACCTCCCACCTCCCTCAACACCAGCCCCTCCGCATATAACCACACAACAACGAAGCAACAGTAAAACTGCTGCAACACCACCCACTGCGTCAGCTGCGGCCGCAGCTTTCGGTGCCATCGGTTTGCCGCCTGCAAAGAGACAAAAGATGAGCCCTCCGAAGTTTGACACTAAAGTTCGAACGCCAACGAATGCTCCTCCGCCCGCATTTGCCAGCGCAGCGGCAGCATTGATGGGCGGTGCAACTGGGGCAACGCAGAGTACTCAGATGCCTGAGACTAAGACTCCGAAGCTGAAGCTCAATTTTGGGCGGAAGCCTTCGCAGCCGCAGTGATTCTTTTGAACTACCTCGACCTACCTCGACACAGGTGCTATCTTGGCCGAGTGATCATTTCGGTACCTACAGGGGGAGCCATCACTGCAATTGCCATAATTAATACACACGACCGCAATCGTACTCACGCTCTCACGGTCATCGACTTTTGACATCTATTTTTTCCTGCATTTAGCGCCGGCGTCTATATTTGGGAGCACGAGCCTGCTCTATCCAACGGCGGATACGGACTGGTGTTCAAAGAACTGGATCTGGAAAAATGTCATACTCGCATTTTATCTCAAGTTGGTATTAGGGGGTCCTGTAAATTAAACATTGGTTGCCAGAAACCTGATGAATTCCATCTACCCGCAGCTGTCCGCAAAAGTGCATCATGCGCTTCGATACACACATCAGACCTTCTTCATCCCGAAATCCAGTGTTTAGATCCGTTCCCACTTACTTACATACTTGATACCTACCACTCCTCATCCCCAGCATCCCTCCAAAACACGCCTCGTCCTCCCCCGTCCCACCGCTCCCGGTCCCGACACCTGCACGGCGGGCCCGTGTCCGCGCTCGCCACCACCGCCTCCACAATCCAGACGTGCTCCCGGCTCGCCCACATCTTCGGCCCTTCGCGTGTCCGCTCGCCCCATTCCTCCGCCAGCAACGTCTCCGCGGCATCCACCACCGCGCCCATCTTCACGCCGTCGGCCGCGGTCAGCATGCGGCTCCGGTACGCCCGTGCCGAGTGCACCATCTTCTTGCTCCGGAACGAGAGCACGACGTGTTCGTGCACGAGCGAGAGTCGCAGCTGTGTCGCGGGCGGCTGGGATGTGTACATTGCGCGCCATGAGTGTGGTGGTGGTAGTGTTGGTGGTGAGTAGTGCTGCGTAGTGCCTGCGGAAGGCGGCTCGCGTGGGGTTGAGCTGGTGGAGGTGTCTGGATCCGATGGTGGGAGGCGGGGAATGGGCGCGTCGTACTCGAGTGTTGGCGTTTGCGCGCGGTATATGTCGTAGAGTAAGGGGTCCGGGATGGGCAGCCAGGCGGGCGAGGGGAAGGCTGATGTTGGGCTGAAGGTGTTTGCGGTGATGCTCCAGTGGCCGGCTGGGAGGGTGGGTATGGATGGGAGGAGCGGGTTGATGCAGATCTCCGGGGTGGTGGTGGTGGTGGTGTTGTTGGGGGTCAGGGCGGATGAGGCTGCGTGGAGGGGATGGGGGATTTGGATGCTGCCGAGGAAGGTTGTGACTGTGATGTGTTTTTTGTCGGGGGTTGGTGGTGGGTCGTGTTTGCTGCCTGTGGGCTTGGATTTGGATGATGGGGTGTTCTGGGGCTGCTGGGGGAGGAGGAAGAGGCGGCGTTGGAGCTTGCTGGAGCCTTTGATTGTGTATAGCCAGGATGGAGTTATGGTTTGGGAGGTGAGGATGTCTTTCTGGGGGAGATGGAGGAGGATTTGTTCGAGGAGCTCGGCGACGGCGAAGACGCGGCTTGCGGCGCTGCTGCTGCTTGTGCTTGTGCTTGGGAGGTCGCTGGTTTCATCCATGTTTGGTGTTCAGGAATCTAGTTATGTCTGCGAAGAATGGGAGGAGTAGTTTCATTCTGTTCGCTTCTTTCTATATGAGTCTCGACAACCATGTGAGCACCCGCACCTGAAGCTGATTAGATGAGTACCCTCATGTCGCCCGGCCACACTAATCAGCAAATGCAGATCCCCAGCGGCTCCCATGTTTGAGAACCATGATGACGGGACGGACAAACTGGTTCTGGTATCCCAGCTAATGATTATGACACGTTTAGATGTTCGATCACGTTACTGTTGGAGAGTTGACGAGAGAGGTATTCCCGAGCACTGGATCCAGGTATTACCGTGATAGTCCTAGCGCTATGATTATGTCAGCGTCTGCGAAGAAATTTGTCTTGGCGATATTATTCTTCGCGTGGTTGTCTCCTGCTCTCCCTCATCCGTGAAGACTCGCGATTACACGACAGCGAACTCTCTACAGACAATTGTACGGCATTATTGTGGTAAACTTACCCCTCTGTTCGAAATGCGATACTTTCGTGAGCTCTACGACGTACGACCTTACCGCCAACCAAGGCACCGAGATTTTTCGGCTGCAGGGACGCAATGTGATGCATAGTGTGACGAATATCTGTTGAACCTTTACCTGCTCCGGTGGTCTGGCGATTTTCCAATAGCGAGTCTCCGCCATGCAGTCATCGCTGAATTAAGAACAGTCGGTATCTTGTTTGTCGTCTTGCTGCCGCAGATACATCGTCGCGTTAGAACACCTCGACACGGCTCCCAGATCCGTCGTTATATGCAAATGACGCTTGATCATAGAGGCTGTGCAGCTTTCCACGTCCGCTAATTATCGCAGCACGATTTCAGGATATTGGCCTTTAGATCAGATACGCAAGACGTTTGGGCTAGACATGGGTGAAACGGATCAGGTACGTTGAAACATGCCGCCTTGCCCACACATTCACACCTCGATGATGAGATTTTCTTTACCCTTTACAAAACTTCAAGATAGGAAGAGCCGGAAAAGGCATGGCCGGTATCGACAAATGCAGGTCGTCGATGCTTATACTTTGGGAATCTGAACGAATGTTTATTTCTGCATGTTTTGCTGCTGCTGCGTATAGCGAGTCGGAAGCTAACGGTGGGCAAATAGGTTGACCTTGAATCCATCCGTAGAGGATCAGCCCCGCCAAAGTTGCGGCACCGCTGTTCGGAGCTGCGGCGACTCACGTCACGTCATTACAATTGAGCGTCATTTAAAGGAGATCGGCATATTCCAATTATATATCTAGCTATCAGACCTTTGTCTTCAATCGAACCTCATACAACAATTTTTTTGGGCTCTTTATTATACTTGTGCATTCTAGCCTTTACAACTCCTTTCCTCTACCCCGCTTCTTGACATACATAATAGACTTGCAAAATGGCTTTGGCACCAAAATTCGCTGGACAAATCTTCGCCGAAAGCAGACAGCCAAAGGCTGTGCACAGTCTTGAGCTGTGTAAGTGACCAGTGGAAGAACCTTTTGATAGAAGGGTCAAGCTAATAAATATCGTCACTAGACCTCGACTACGTCTGCCCGTTCTCCAAGAAGCAGTTCACGACCGTGTACCAGAGCGTCCTCCCTCTCGTTCGCAACAAGTATGCTGGAAAGCTTCAAGTCGTTTTCCGACAACAGATCCAGCCATGGCATCCGTCAAGTACTTTGACTCACGAGGCTGGTATTGCCGTCCTGAAGCTCGCGCCCAACAAATTCTGGGAGTTCTCCAACGCGCTGTTTGAGAAACAAACCGAGTTCTTCGACGTCAACGTCGTGAACGAGGCTCGGAATGATACCTACAAGAGACTAGGGAAGATTGCTGCAGGTGTCGGCATTGATGAAAATAAGTTTTATGAGCTCTTGGAGATCTCGGACCAGCCAGGGGAGGGTGGTGCACTCAATATTGGTAATGGCGTGACGAACGACCTTAAGCTTTTGGTCAAGGTATGCATAATCTCACGACAGTTTGTTGGGAGCAGTTGGGGCTGACGAGACCTGAAGTACAACCGACTGGTAGGCATTCATGTTACTCCTACTGTTCTCTTCAATGTGAGTATCATTTGGCATTACTGATATAATGTGATGTGTGTTAAACTGTTTGTAGGGTGCCGTAGAAGGAAGCATTTCGAGTGGGTTTTCGAAGGAGGACTGGGAGCAGTGGCTTGCAAAGAATGTCGTCTGACTAGATCCGAAATTATGATGGCAGGACAGTCTGGTTGCAATGTCGTGATAATCTGAAAAGTTCGGCATGTTACAAGTAGTATGCCTCAATACGTACATGTTGTCTGCAATGACTGGTGGAACAATTGATGCTAGCAGAGGCTCACATCAGTAGATACACTATTATGGCACAGCTGTATTCCTGCGTGTCTTTGGTGACTGAATCGTCATGCAAGTCGTGTCGCAGCGTTCAATGCGCAAATGCACATAGTTCTGACAGAAGACTGGCGACAACAGGCGAGAATTACCAGTTTGAGCAGGCACTTCGGGGGTTGGTCGCGCACTGATACACCGAGGGCTGCTAGGGTTCTTTCAATGAGAAACGTAGACAAGTAAAACAAGTATTCTCACCATGGAATACAGACATCAAAAGGTACCATGAAGAAGGGAGAATATCAGATGTGAAGAAGATCGGAAATAGGAGAAAATTGATACAGCTCCGGGGGTCTTTCACATGCTAATACATGCTGCCAGACTTTCTCTCTTTCAGGACCCACGCAGGGCCCACGACCCAAGCGTTCTCCCGCCAGCCAGAGCTTTGGGGTTGCGCGTGACGGAGGTCATAAGCAAGACGCCTAGGATGCAACCTGTGAAGCCCATGCAGGTCGCCTTTCACATGCCGAGGACCTTATAATAGTGACAATTATTAAAGTTGGTTAATTACAGCTGCAACTGTTTATTACAGAACAAGCTGCGTCAGTAGAGAGTGCTATCCATAATTGCATATGCGCCATCTCAAGTACGCACGGGTGCAACTGTTGAATCATTGACATTCGGGTAGGCGCGATTGGCTGGCTATGCTGCTGCTAGTGCCCCCACTGTACCGAGGCTGCTGCGAGAGTCTGGGGCGACTGTGGGGAGAGAGTGAGAGCGAGAGGAGGAACAAGTGCATCGTACACACTCCGACCATTCCATACACTTTAAGAACTCGGCCCGCCGCCAGTCTGCTTCCACGTGCTGTTTGTTTCCTATCCTCTCTTCTCCTGCTCCATCTTCCCTTCTTCCATTCTCCATTCTCCATCCTCACCTCCACCCTCATCGTCTTATTGCATATCCATCATGTCGCAGAGAGTCATCGTAGTCGGTGCCGGCTGTAAGTTCACTTGGCCGCCACTCCCGCATATCTGTTTGTAGGCTGACAATATAAAATAGTGTCCGGTTTGAGCGCCGCACATTCCATCTACCTGGCTGGTGGCAACGTCGTTCTGCTTGACAAGAACAGTATGTGTATCTTGCGCAAACACCCGGGGCTGGAAGCTGACGTCGTTGCAAAGACTTTATGGGAGGAAACTCCACAAAGGCCACCTCGGGTATCAACGGTGCCCTGACGAGGACACAAGTCGACCACAAGATCGAGGACAGTGTGAAGCAGTTCTACGACGACACACTGAAGTCCGCGCGAGACAAGGCTCGTCCAGATCTGATCAAGGTCCTCACATATCAATCCTCAGCTGCCGTCGAGTGGCTGCAGGATGTCTTCAACCTCGATCTGACTCTTGTCTCACGGCTGGGGTGCGTATTTGAGCAGTCCGGTTCTTGATTCCATGCTAATCTTCTTGCAGTGGTCACTCCCAACCCCGTACTCACCGTGGCCACGATGCCAAGTTCCCCGGTATGGCCATCACATATGCCCTGATGCAACGATGGGAAGAGCTATGCGAGTCTGAGCCAGAGCGTGTTGCGCTTATCAAGAAGGCCAAGGTCACCAAGGTCAACAAGGACGGGAACAAGATCACTGGTGTGACCTACGAGTTTGGTGGTGAGGAGACCACGCTCGACGGTCCAGTCGTCCTCGCCACCGGTGGTTATGCTGCCGATTTCAGTGACTCTTCTCTTTTGAAGAAGCATCGTCCAGACACCTTTGGTCTTGCCACGACCAACGGCCAGCACGCCACTGGTGATGGACACAAAATGCTGATGTCGATTGGTGCCAACGGCATTGATATGGACAAGGTCCAGGTCCACCCTACCGGGCTTGTAGACCCCAAGGACCCTGGTTCCAAGTGGAAGTTCTTGGCTGCCGAGGCTCTGCGTGGTGAGGGAGGTCTTCTCCTTAATTCCAAGGGCGAGCGCTTCTGTGACGAGCTCGGACATCGTGACTACGTGTCCGGCATGATGTGGGAGCAGAAGGAGAAGGGCAACTGGCCCATCCGCCTCGTGCTCAACTCGAAGGCCTCAAATGTCCTCGACTTCCACACGAGGCATTACTCTGGCCGTGGCCTCATGAAGAAGATGTCTGGCAAGGAACTTGCAAAGACAATCGGCTGTGGTGACGCTGCTCTTCAGAAGACATACAAGACATATAATGCCATCGCTGAGGGCAAGGAGAAGTGCCCATGGAACAAGAAGTTCTTCCACAATCTACCATTTGACATCAGCGACACCTTCCACGTTGCCGAGATGGAGCCAGTGCTCCACTTCACCATGGGTGGTATCGAGATCAACGACAAGGCCGAGTGCTTGAACTCTGAGGGCAAGCCATTCGACGGTCTATTCGTCTGTGGTGAGTTGGCAGGTGGTGTCCACGGTGCCAACCGTCTCGGTGGATCCTCCCTTCTCGGATGCGTCGTATACGGACGTGTTGCCGGTGCCTCTGCCAGCAAGTACCTCTTCCAAAAGGCACTTACCGGAGGCGCGTCGTCCGCGTCTCAGCGTCTCGGCCAAATCTCTCTGCACATCGACCCCTCGCAACCTGGCCGCGTGACCGTCGACTGGAGTGGCTCATCAGGCACCGGCGCCTCCGATGCCGTAGCACGACAATCCCAGACCTCGGCCGGCCCCATCTTGAAGGCTGGTGCTGACAGTGCTGACCCGGGCAAGGTGTCCAAGCCCAGCGCACCAAAGGAGTTCAAGATCCCCGAGCGGGAGATTTCGCTCGAGGAAGTGGCCAAGCACAACAAGAAGGACGATCTATGGATCGCCGTCAAGGGTATCGTGCTTGATCTGACCGAGTGGGTAGACGAGCACCCCGGCGGTCCCCAGGCGCTATATAGCCACATGGGCAAGGACGCCAGTGAGGAATTCGAGATGCTACACGACGATGAGGTTATTCCCAAGTACGCGCCCGAAATAGTCATCGGCCGCGTCAAGGGCCAGAAGATCACCCTGGACCCGTGAGCGTACTGCTGCTGCTGCTGTATGCTTAGCCAGGGTGTTATAAATTGTAAAAAAAAGGGGGAGAGGGGAAGAAGTGTCTGTGTCTTCGGGTTTACGAATGATCTCGACTATACATCTTTTCATAGCTGGCTGTATTTTATTACATTTTGGCCGGGGGGTTCACGTCGCGTCGCAACGTATCTTTGTATTCGCAAGTTACTAGATGGCAAATGAATGAAAACTTTTTTTAGAATGAGTTTTTCTTGAATCGTTTGTTTCTTGGTAGTGAATTGAATGTACTGGAAGGGGGATTAGAGATATTTGTTTACCCTGCTGTGGCTTGGTTTGATTTGTTTTCATTCATTCGTTTTGCTGGGGTTGTTGGGGGTTAGTGGGAGGAGGGTTATTTGGGGTTAGTTGGTGTGTCTATGGATCAAATGTCACAAACTTCTTCCTCTTCTTCTTCCTCTTCCTCTTCCTCTTCCTCTTCCTCTTCCTCTTCCTCTTCCTCTTCCTCTTCCTCTTCCTCTTCCTCTTC